GCGACCGAGGCTCCGGCAGCGGCAGGTCCGGCGTCCCCGCGTCGTCCGTCTCCTTCCCCGAGCGAGGAGGATCGCCGACGCTTCTCGCGTCCTCCTCCGCGGGCGCGGGCGTCGGGGACGTCGTCCCCGGCGCGACGCCGCCCTTCGGCGTCGACTCCTCCGCGCCGCCCGCCGCCGTCGCCTGCGAATCAGAGTCAGAGTGAATGGATGCGCGGATGGATGACGCGCGTCAGGCGACGTGCGCGGGACGACGACGAGGCCGCGTCGTCGTCGTCGATGTCGACGGACGCTCGTTCAGTTCGTTTTCAAAGCGCCGCGACGACGACGACGACGACGAGAGCGCGCGAGAGAGAGATCGCGCGTCGACGCGCGATGAGGGAGGACGAGGGAGGACGCGTCGAGGCGCGCACCGCTACTGCCGGCGTCTCCTCCGCGGCGCGCATCGCCCCGCGCGCGATCGAACCGGCGCCGCCTCCGCGCCTCGCCTTCTGGACGCGGCGCGGGCGTCGACCGAGAGTTCAAATCGCTGGCGCGCACGGCGAAAAGACGGAGGAAAAGTACGCGCCCGTGTCGTACTCGTACTCTCTATGCGTTTTTAGTCACCGGGCGTTTTCAGTCCGAAAAAGGGAACAACAGGGCGCCCGCCGAGGGGATTCGCGGCATTGCGCCCCGCACGATGGGTCTTCAACCGAACCATTACGCGCCGATGACGCACCACCCGGGGTTCCCGAAGCCCGGGACCCTGGACAAGCCCCCGAGGGGTTCCTTGGAGGACCTCGCGGATCATCTCCAGGACATCATCAAGCAGCGCATAGAGGTGATGACTGGCTTCGGCAATCCGAAACGATTGCGCGACACCGCGCGGACGACGTTCGAGCGATTCGACAAGAACAAGTCCGGCGCCCTGTCGTACGCCGAGTTCGACCTCGCGCTGAACAGCATCCGATGCGGGGAGGGGCCGATCGCGCCGAAACGCGCGCTCTTCGACCGTTACGATACGAACCTCGACGGGCATCTCAGCGTGGACGAGCTCGTCGACGGCGTGTACGATCTGAAACCGCATCCGCTCGCGCACAAGGAGTTTCGACGGATGCTCGACCGCGTCCGCACGGAGATCGTCGAGAAAGGCGGCATCCACGGCGTGCACACGCTGCGGAGGATCTTCCGGATCATGGACGACGGCGGTAACAACCGGATCGAGCCCGCGGAGTTCAAGTTCGCGCTCAAGGACATGGTGCGTCGCGCGGCGTCGCCCTCTCGCGTCTTCGAACGCGATTCGATTCGAGGAAGTTTCCGCGCGGTGTTTTCGTGTCTCGATTAGGAACCCCCGATCGTCGATCCCCCGCGACGCCGCCGCCTTCCTCTGCGACGTCTTTTTACTAATAACGCCTCATCCTCATGCGTTATTATTACTCACCCACTCCTCACTTCCAGGGCATCTCCATCACGAAAGACGAGCTCGAGAAGGCGATGACGCTGTTCGATAAGAACAAAGACGGCGGCCTCGACGTGAACGAATTCACGAATGCGATTCGCGGAAAGATGAACCCTCGGCGCATCGACCTCGTTCGCGCGGCGTTCCAAGTCTTAGACCGCGAAGGCCGCGGCGTCGTGACGATGGACGACCTCGTGCAAATCTTCGACCCGAGCCTGCACCCGGACGTCAAGGAAGGCAAGATCACCCCGGAGCAGTGCGTGCGCGACTTCGGCAAACAGTGGGACACCCTCGAGCGAGACGGCGTGATCACGTTCGACGAGTTCCTGGAATACTACCGCGACATCAGCGCGGCGATCCCGATGGACGACTACTTCGAGCTCATGATCTGCAACGCGTGGAGGATGGCGCCGCCCGGGGCGGACTCGAGCGCGCACGCGACCAGGGTGTTGGTGACCTTTGAAAACGGAAGGAGCGAGATGGTCGAGATCGAGGACGACGCCGGGTTGGACACACACTGGTTCCCATACGACCGCGTTCGCGTGGTGAACGCCGATCCTTAAGGACTTTATCTCCCGGCGCATCTCTCCGCCCACCCCTCGGTTTCAATCCCGACACACCTCGACGCCTTTCGACTCCATCTGACGCCTTTCGACTCCACCCCGACGTTCGCTCGTATGGAACGACCCCAAGGTTGGACGTCCACAACGTCGCGGCGGTGCGGAAACGGCTGTACATGCAGGGCGTGAAGAACGTCGCGAGCATTCAGACGAACTGAGGTGAGATGAAGCGTTATTAATTAACTCAACTGAATTGAGAGGGGGGGCGTTATGAGGTTGGCGGCGGTGATCTCGAGGAGGCTGGCGCGCGCGTTTACCGACCCGCGCTGTGAATACAAACACTCGCTCGTCATTGCTGTCGTCAAACTCTCTTGCTGCTCATCTCGCCGAAACCGCGACGCCAATCGCTCGCGTCGTCGTCGCACTTCACCCGCGCGCGTCGTCGACCCGCCCGGCGCGGCGTCTTCGCGTTCCGCTCGCGCGTCGCTCGTCGATGTCGCTCGCGTCTTCCGCGTCTCGTCCTTCCGTCGTCGCTCTCGCGCCGCGCCGGCGCCGCGCGCTTCTTCCGTCGTCGTCGAGGGTCGCGCTTCCGCTTCCTCTTCCGACGCGCCGCGCGTCGTCGACGCCGATGCCTCCCGAGCGCGCGAAGCGCGACGCGTCCGCCGCCGCCGCCGCGTCGGACGCGACGTACGTCCCCGGCGAGGAGATCAAGAACGCGGTCGTCGTCGTCACCGGCGCGAACCGCGGCATCGGCCTCGAGTTCGTCTCGCAGATCCTCGCGAAGCATCCGTCCAACGCCGTGATCGCGACGTCCCGCGACGCGACGTCCTGCGTCGACCTCCTCGCGCTGCGGGAAAGCTTCGGCGACGCGCGGCTCGCGGTGACGACGCTCGACGTCGCGGACGAGGCGTCCATCGCCTCCTGGGCGGCCGCGGTGCGGGACCTGCCGTTAGGTGCGTTCTATACAAAAGTTTTTCACCCATAGCTCGGTTTCAACAATTGATCGCGTCTCCTTTCAACTGACCGATGGACTATTTTGTATGGAACGACCCTCTTCTTAGTGCGCGCCAACGGCGGCGCCGTCGACGTCGTGATCAACAACGCGGGGACCACGGGCACGTGCGGATACGATAAGTGGGAGCTGGAAGACATGACCTCTGATGAGATGATGCACGTGTTTAAGATCAACACGATCGGACCGCTGCTCGTGACGCAGCGGTTGTTGAAGGCGGGCGTGTTGGGAACCGCCGGCGTCGGCGAGAGACCCCGGGGCGCGCTGGTCGGAAACGTCACGAGTAAAGTCGGGAGCGTCGACGACAACGGCTCAGGCTCGGGCTACGCGTACCGCGCGTCGAAAGCCGCGCTGAACATCGTGAACAAGTCCATGAGCATCGACCTCGCGGACCGCGGCGTCTTGTGCGAACTGCTGCACCCCGGGTGGGTGCGGACGAGGATGACGCAGGCGCGTTCTATAGTCTACAAACGTCTCACACCCTTCGCTCGGTTTCAACACTTGATCACGTCTCCTTCCAACTGACCGATGATCTGAACATTTTTTGTACGTATGGAACGACCATCAGGGGCGAGGGCTCATCGACGCGGAGGAGAGCGCGCGGGGGCTGATCGCGGCGATGGAGGGGAAGTACGGGGAGGTGAACGGTCGCTGGTACGACTACAAGGGCGACGAGATCCCGTGGTGAGGGGTACGGGTGGAGCCGCGCGGTGGGATGCTCGCCCTGCGCGTACAGTATGTACCCTTCTGACGAGACGCGTCGGCGTTTTCTGGATCCGTTCTCTTTTACAACGCGCGCGCAGCCTCCTCGCTCACTTTTTGGGGTCCGCTCGCTTGGCCGAGAGACGACCGAGCCACTGGAAAAACTTGTACCGCTTAGACATCTTCCACGGGCGACCTTCCGGAAAGGGCAGCGGCGACCCGATGGCGTTGAACAAACCGAAGACGCCGCCCAACCCGCCCGTGTTCCCGATCGTGCGATCCATCACGACGCCGACGGTGATCTTCGTGATCTTCCCGCTCTCGTTGAAGGTCATCGAGAGCGCCTGCGGCGGGCACTCGACCTTCGTCCCCGTGGCTTCGAACCGACCGGCGAGCTTTCCCGCGTGCGTCCCGGTCGTCCTGTTCTGGAACCACACCCTGTTCGTCTCGAACGGATCCACCCTGAAGTGGTGGTAGTTGGACTTCATGTCCGGGAACCCGGTGGTGAGATCGAAACCGCCGACCGCGTTCACGAACGCGTCCCGCGGCAGCGGTCCGACGACGGGCCCGATGAACTGAGCGAACGTCGGAGTGGTGGAGTTCAAAGGCGTCAGGCAGGTGGAGTTCAAAGGCATCGAGGTGTGTCAGGATTGAAAGCGAGGTGTGGGCGGAGAGAATCGCCGGGAGAGAAAGTCCTTAAGGATCGGCGTTCACCACGCGAACGCGGTCGTATGGGAACCAGTGTGATGAGAACGCACCTCGAAGTCTTCCGCGAGCTCGTCGCCGATGTTGGCGAAGCCGGCGCGGAGCGCCGACTTGCACTTCGCGACGAGCTCGTCGGGCTTGATCGGGAAGGTGTTCGACGCGCCGTAGAGCATCTCGTCCTCGTCCACGACGTCGTAGATGGCGCTAGGGTTGGGCGCGTCGAGATCGAGATCCTCCGCGACGAGAACCGCGTCGTTTCCGGCGGTCGTCGACGTCGACGTCATCTCGGTCGCGCACGTTCGAGCGCTCTTCCTGTCGGACGATCTCGTGGACGGCGCGGACGCGCGACGCGGGCCCGGCTTGGAGACGACGCGGCGAGCGACGTTGAGAGGAGCGGCGTGGACGCGCGCGGGCGCGGCGGTGATGGTTCGCATCTCGACGCGACGCGAGGGAGGAGGTCGCGACGCGTGTCGGAGAAGAGTGACGACGGTTTCTTTCTTCTCTTCAGTTTTTTCTCGTGCATTCCGAAAAAACGTGCGGTGAGGTCGGCGCCCAGAGCGAGCACATACCAAAAGCCCATACGAGTACGTGTACGAGTACACAATATGCTATCATCCTACAGCGCTAACGCCGCGACGCCGGCGGCGACGTCGTCGCCGTCCTCCTCCTCCGCCCGCCGCGCGGTTGGACACACACTGGTCCCCATACGACCGCGTTCGCGTGGTGAACGCCGATCCTTAAGGACTTTTCCCGGCGTCTCTCTCCTCCCACCACCTCCTCCCCCTCCTTCTCTCCTCGGACACGCGCTCTTGACGTGCCCGCCGTCGCCGCACGCCCAGCAGTACGCGCGTCCGCTCGCGCCGTCGTCGAACCCCGCGGCGGCGCCCCACCCCTCTCGCGTCGCCGTCGCCCACGCCGACGCCGCCGACGCCGCCGCCGCCGCGACTGTTGACGTTCCGTCTTCCCCCGCGCCCGCGACGACCGCGCGCATCGCGCACGGCACGAACGCCGCGGTCCCGCGCGCGCACGCGCCGGCGAGCGCGACGAGCTCTCTGAGCAACGTCTCGGGGCCGAGAGAAGGGAGGATCACTGCGAAGACGCGCGGCGTCGCGCGCAACGCGAGGATCAACCCTCGAGGAAGACGAAACGTCAACCGTCGCGACGACGTCGAATGAGGAAGGATCACGACCAGTGGGACGTCGTCGTCGTCGCCGAGCACGTGCTTCTCGAGCGCGTCGCGGGCGTTCGCGACGGTCTTCGCCGCGTCGGCGTCGGCGGCCGACGCCGACGCAAACGCGGCGGCGAACGCTTCGACGCGCGCCGCGGAGACGGCGACGACGCGTCGCGGTCCCCACCGGTCCGGCCCGACGCCCGCGGCGGCGTCCGCGACGTCGGCCGCGATCGCGGAGAGCCCGCCGTCGATCTCGGGCGGCGCGAGGAGCGTCGCGGCGACGGGGCAGACGACGGAGCCGCGGGAGACGCCGGCGAGCCACGCGGGGAGCTTCGGCGCGGGGGAAGACGAAACGTCAACCGTCGCGGCCGCCGCGATCTTCGCGCAGTTCTCGCGCAAGATCCTCGCGCACCGCCTCGCGACCGCCGCGATCGCGCGTCGCTCCGCCTCCGCGCGCGCGTCCCACGGCGCGATCCTCGCGCGCGCCGCCGCGGCTTCCGCCGGCGTCGGCGGCGTCTTCCCCGCTTTCTCCGCCGCCGCCGCGCGCATTCGCGCTCTCGCCTTGACGCTCGCGGCGTCGCGCGCGTCGCGCGCGCCGGGGCACGCGAACCGCGTCGGTTCGCATCCCGGCCCGGTGACGTTAATCGCCTCGCCCGTGGCGGCGTCGACGTCGAACCACACGCCCTCGCCGGGGGTGAGCAGCGGCGGCGCGTTTTTCGTCGCCGCCGCCGCCGCCGCCGCCGCCGCCGCCCCGAAATCGACCACGGCTTCCGCGCGGACGACGACGCCGCCGCCGTCGCCGCCGCGGACGCCGCGACGGCCGTCCGGGACGATCGCGCCGATCCCTTTCGACGGCTTCCACCACGCGACGCGGCCGCTTCCGCGCGGTCTCGGCATGCCGCGCCAACCGCCGGCGCCGCCGCCGTCGCCGCCGCGTCTGTTGACCTCCACGTCGAACGCGCCCACGTACGCCATCCCGACGCGGTAGTCCGCGTACCCTTCCTCGACGTCGCGGTCACACGACACCGCCCACGCGTTGTCCTTCGGCGGGTTCGCCTGCCCTCGCACCGACTTCAGCTGATCGTAGAGCTTCGCGCCGCCGCCGGACGACGACGACGCGTCGACGTCGTCGTCGTCGCCGTCGCCGTCGTCGTCGTCGTCGTCGTCGTCGCCGCCGACGACGCGCCACTCGTCGTAGAACCTCGCCTCCCCCGCGGGCACCTTCCGCATGTGTTCCCACCGCACGGACGCGCGCGAGAGCTCGAGGTACGGACCGTGGTCGCCGAGGAGGACGCGCGCGTACCCCACGGCGATCGCGCGCTTCGTCGTCGCGCATCGAATCTCCGTCGCGGGATCGGCGTCCGCGGACGTCACGCCGAGCCATCGCTTCACCGCGCGTAAATCCCGCGCGCGGTTCCACGACAACGGCGGCGGGTCGTCCGTCGTCGCCGCGCCGCCGCCGGGGTCGCCGCCGCCGCCGCCGCCGGCGGCGGCGGCGCCGCCCGCCGCCGCCATCGCGCGAGGAGGAGTCATCTCGAGAGGCAGCATTTTTGCAACAGGCAACCGGTTGGAAATAAAATAAGGCCTTTCGGTCAAGCTATGAACAACTCGCTGGCTCGATCGTCCCTCACTTGTCCTCGAACACGCCCTGGTGCGTCGTCGTGCTGCACATGAACAGCGGGTTCTCCACCGTCATCACCCGCGTCTCGTCCCTGCACGCCTCGCGCACGGTGCGATTCAGCGAAAACATCCGCCGGTGCGTGATCTCGTCGTAATACGACAAATCTCCGAGCCCGCGCTCCCGCAGACGCGCGTCGAGCTTCCCGCCGCTCAAGCCATCCTCCACGGACAACGCGTCCGCTTCCTTCCTCACGACGTTGAACCCCCACTCGCTGCAGAACGACGGCACGCACACGGTGTACCCCCAACACTGCGGGAACACCGTCTTGAGCGTCTTATGAATCGGCGTGAAGACGTGATGGCAGTCTCTCACGGCGGCGCAGCCGCTCTGCGTCACGAGAATGCCCCCGGGCGCGAGCTTGGTCTTGCACATCTCGTAGAACGTCGTCGTGTAGAGCTGATAGCACGGGCCGCCGTCGAGCGGGTCGGATAAGTCGCAGATGATGACGTCGATGGAGCCGTCGGCGCGACGCTCCAAGGCGGCTTTCGCGTCGCCGATCTCGAGCTTAGGGTCGTTCCATACAAGCGATTGTCGGGGTGGAGTTCAAAGGCGTCAGATGGAGTTGAAAGGCGTCGAGGGCGGGGATTGAAACCGAGGGGTGGGCGTAGAGACACGCCGGCAAAAGTCCTTAAGGATCGGCGTTCACCACGCCGACGCCGTCGTATGGGGACCAGTGTATAGAACGCACCTTAGCGCGTTTGTCGTCGTACGCGCCGGCGTGGTAGAACGGCGTGTGCTCGCGGCACATCTCCACGACCTCGCCGTCTGGTGGGTGGCGTTAGTTGGGTGACGTGGCGTGACGTGGCGGTCAGCGATTCGTCCGGAATGCGTGCGAAGAAGACGCGAAGGAAGGATCCGAGAGACGAGAGAGAAAAGAAAAGAAAAACCCCCGCCGCCGCGTTCGAGAGAAGATCGGTCAGTCGGAACAAAGACCTCATGGGCTGCGTAATAGCCAGAGGCCCCGACGGCGACGCCGAGACCCCCGGTGCCTCCCCGTGAGCGCCTACTAGGGCTGCGGCTGCCTCACGGGCCTTTTAGCATCTCATCATTCCGCTCTTCTCTCTCGCGTCGGGCGGGCGGGAGCGGCGGCGCGGGCTCGCGAGCGGAAAAAAAAAAAAAAAAGCGAAAAGAAAAAGAGGCCTCGGGGGTCGCCGCCCGCGCACCGATGTCGACCATCTCGCACTCCTCCACGCACTTGTGCTTCAAGACCTCGCGAAGCGTCGCGCCCTGCGCGTGAGAAGAATACGAACCGTCACTATAACGTCGCAGACGCGAGCGTTTGCGTTTGTTACTATGGACGAACGAGAGAGAGACGAGACTCCGGAGAAAGCGAGGAAACAAACGCGCGACGGACGCACCTCGCCACCGCCGGCGATGAAAACCTTCTTCGGCGCGGGGTGCGCGGCGAGCGCGGGGTGGACGAGGCACTGATGATACACGTACTCGTCATCCTCGCTCGACTGCATGAGCCCGTCCGTGATGAGAAGGCGACCGAACGGCTTCGTCTTCACGACCTCCACGGTCTGGAACGCGCTCTGTCCGCGGTGCAAGACCTCGTCCACCTGCGCGATGGACGAGGCGGAGGTTGGCGGCGGCGTGATGAAGCGAGGGAGGATGCGTCAGCGCGAGCGGCGCGACGGCGACGAGGACGCGCGCGCGAGAGAGAGAGAGAGCGAGCGAGCGCTCGGGCGCGGACGACCGACGCGCGAGGTTCGGTTCGCGCGGCGGCGTCGACGCGGGGGCGAAGCGAGCGAGGACGGCGACGGCGAGCGGAGGTGGATGGATGGACGGCGAGGACGACTCCGACAGAGCGTCCGTCGTTCGTCGCTCGCTCGCCGCCGCCGTGACGACGACGATCGATCGCGCGGCGCGCGCGCGCACCCGGTACGAGATCGCGAGGCCTTCCTCCAGGGTTTCGTGGTACCAGTGTCCTTCATCGAACACGTGCGCGCCGATGTCCTCCGCCGTCGCCATCGCGGCCGTCGCGGGCGTCGCGGCGCGATAGGGAAGTGACGCGTGAAGGCGCGAGCGGTGGAGGACGAGACTCGACTTTCGGTCAGCGAACCGCGGTCGGTACACCAAGCCCCGCGCAGCCTCATTTGGAATCGATGATGATCCCCCTCGCTCGGGGGCACTCGCGACCGCGCGGAGAGGGCGTCGCGGGCGCGCGCGACGAGAAGAAGCGGGCGCGGAAGCGCGTGGACGCGCCGCGGCGGCGGAACCCCGCGAGGACCGCGCGCGGAGCACGTCAGGCGATCTCCGCGGAGAGAGAGAGAGAGAGAGAGAGAACCGCGCGGTCGTGAGCTGATAATTCGTCGAGGAGGCGGAGTCATCAGGACGACGAAAGAGGAATGGCGGATCCCGCAGCGGAAGAGGCGCCCCCCGCGGTCGTCGACGACGTCGCGGAGTTCGCCGCGATGGAGGCCGCGGTGAACGCGGAGGAGGCCGCGGCGACGGACGACGTCGTCGGCGTCGCGGGCGAGGAGGAGGAAGAACCCGCGCCGCCGACCGAGGAGGACGTCGTCGAGATCGCGTCCCCCCCGGGGGACGAACCGACGGAGGAGAAGGAGAAGGACGACAACGCGGAGGCGACGAAAGACGCGGAAGAGAACGGCGAAGGGGAGGAAGCTCCCGTCGAGATCGACGCCGAGGCGCCGTCGACGTCCGCGCCGGCCGAACGCGACGCCGCGGGAGCGACGGAGACGATGACGGAGGAGGAGGAGGAGAAGGAGGTCGACGACGACGCGGAATCGCTCGGCGAGCCCGACCCCGTCGCGGACGACGACCCCGAGCCGACGACGACGGGCGACGGCCCCGAGATCGAGGTCGCGGCGGACGGCGGCGTCGACGGCGCCGCGGGAACACAGACGGAGACGACGGGGGACGAGGGCGAAGAAGCCGCGGACGCGGACGCGGACGACGAGGACGCGCGAGGAGCCGTCGTCGTCGCCGACGACGCGCCCCCCGCGAGGGTGACATTCGTGATCCTCCCCGAAAACTTTCAGGCGCGTTCTATACACTGGTTCCCATACGGCCGCGTTGGCGTGGTGAACGCCGATCCTTAAGGACTTTTGCCGTCGTTTCTCTGCGCCCACCCCACGCTTTCAATCCCCGCCCTCGACGCCTTTCAACGCCAACTGACGCCTTTCGACTCCACCCCGACATTCGCTCGTATGGAATGGCCCTCAGCACGTCATGTCCTTCCACGTCCTCGCCGCCGCGATCGACATCAAGCGCGCGATCGCGGCGGAGCTCCCGATCCCGATCGAGACGATGGCGCTCAAGGCGGCGGGCGCGGTCGAGGGCGCGGGCGCGGTCGAGGGGGAGGGGGAGGACGCGGCGGCGGCGGCGGCGGCGGCGGCGACGATGCGCGACGCGACGACGCTGTTCGACGTCGGCGTCCGACCGGGCGACGAAGCGGAGCTCGAGCTCGTCGTGGAGTACGCGAAACCGTCCGAGGAGGAGGCGGAGGCGGTCGACGTCGATCCGAACGCGCCGAAAGTGTTGCCCGAGCGCATCGACGTCGTCGTCGCGCCGAAGGAGCGCGGCGGACAACCGAGGGTGGTCTCGGTGGTGATCGACGCGTCGAATTGCGAAAAGCCGCGGTATAAGGGCGGGTACCGGCACAAGCACACGGGGACGAGATACCACCACGCGGAGATTCAGACGATGCGTAAACCGAGGGAGTGGCCGAAGGACGCGAAGTTCACGCGCGACACGCAGACGACGGAGGCGCGGACGCGGACGATCATGACGAAAAAGGAAGCCGCGACGCAGATGAAGAGGAAAGATTTACTCATCAACGAGAACCGCGACGCGTTCGTCTCCGCGGGTCGGTACGTCGACAGCGACGAGTGGCACGCGATCCGCGTCGCGGCGACGACGGTGCTGCAGAGGTACGCGCGCGGGTGGTTCGCGAGGAAACTGAGGGACGTGAAGCGCGTCGAGAGGGACGAGAGAGCGAGGGCGAGGGCGAAGGCGGCGACGGAGAAGCTCGACGCGGAGGAACGTCGGCGGAGGAAAGAGATCGAGCGCCGGATGCGCCCGCGGACGCACGAGGACTTCGACATCTTGCGCCACGAGCTCGAGAAGTGGCGGAAATCCGAGCACGCGAAGATCGAGTCCGACGCCTCCGCGGACGACGCCGCGAAGGCGAGGAACAAACAGCTGCTGCTGCGTCGGGAGACGAAACTCCTCGCGACGATCGATCGGTTAAAAGTCACAGCCGCCGCGGAGAACAAAGACGCGCGCGTCGCGCGCGCGCTGGACGACATGTCCACCGCGAAGCGCTGGGAGTGCGACGACGGCAGCGTCGTGGAGGTGCACACCCCGTTCACGACGCGCGCGAAGGAGCTTCAACAGCTGTACAACGGCGTGCGGTTGCCGTTGGTGACGGCGGATGAGGTGCGTTCTATACTTACAAACGTTTTTCACCCGTAGCTCGGTTTCAACATTTGATCGCGTCCCCTTTCAAATGACCGGTGAACATTTTTTTCTATGGAACGACCCTCAGCGACTCGACGTGCTGCTCCACGTCAAGTGGACGGTGAAAGAGTTCGACTGCAACCTGACGCGGGAGATCGTCGAGTTGATCGATCGCGAGGCGGATTTGATCGATCGAGGGCGGGACGTCAAGACGATGGGCGGGCTGCGGCGGCGGCTGTCGAACTTGTTTCTTCAGTTCATCGAGACACCGGAGTTTAACCCGGAGGCGGCGAGGTACAGCGTCGCGGCGGCGGCGGCGGCGTTGCAGGAGCAGGAGAAGGAACTCGCGCGCTCGAAACGCACCGCGCGCGTGCGTTAGACGCTATAGTGATTGCGGCTCATCAGAGCGTACTGTACTATAATACGATACGATAGTCGTAATAAATACCTCGAGCGGTCATGTCAACTCGTACTCGTCTCCTCCTCGCGAGAGAGCGCCTTCGCGAGCGCCAACTCTTTCAGGAGCTTCTTCTCCGCCCAGAGGGATAACAACGCGGTGTACACGACGTTGATCGCCGCGTAGGTGCCCACTCTGAATTGAACCGGCGCGACGCCGTACACGATCACGTCCGCGGGGATCCACCACGCGGCGTCCGCGGCGTAGAGCGTGAACCACTCCTCTTTCAGACGTTTCCTCGCCGCCCTCGGCGCGGATTGCCACCACGTCTCGTCAGGGGCGTTCTATACAAGCGAACGTCGGGGTGGAGTTGAAAGGCGTCAGGTGGAGTTGAAAGGCGTCGAGGTCGGGGATTGGAAGCGAGGTGTGGGCGCAGAGACACGCCGGGAAAAGTCCTTAAGGATCGGCGTTCACCTCGCCAACGCGGTCGTATGGGGACCAGTGTATAGAACGCACCTCAGCGCGCCGCGTCGGCGGCGCGTCCCCGCGAACCCCGTCCTCCTCCTTTCCCTCCTCCTCCTCGTGCCCGTCTTTCGCGGCGAGCACCGCCATCGTCGTCAAGAACGCCGCGCACCACATCGGCGCGAAGATCGTCATGTCCGCGACGATCGACTCCGCGACGCGCAACCCCGCCGCGTTGGCGTTCTCGATGCCGCCCGCGACGCCGCCCGCGGGCCACGTGGCCACGCCGGGCCACGTGGCCACCGCGTCGTCCAGCCACGTGTACCACCCGTGCGAGAACACGCCGTCCATGGCGCCGAACGTGGCGTACCGGCGCAGCCTGCGCGCGTCCCACGTCGCGAGCGCGGGCGCCGACGGGGAGGGATCGACGAGCGCGGGCGCGCGCGTGTCCACCGAGGACGCCGCCACCTTGCGCTCGGAGGACTGCGCGATGAGGTCGGAGACGATGTAGGACGCGACCGCGACCGCGGCGTCGCTCGCGAGACCCGGATAGTTCCACTCGCTCAGGGGGAGGAAGATGGGGAACGCCGCGCGCGGGGGGTGGGGGCCGCGCGCGCGACCGCGTCCATCCCCGCGTCGTCGTCCGACGACGACGACGACGTTAGTATCGCGTTTTCCTAACGGACGACTGCCGACGCCGCAACGCGGCGACGGCGACGCCGCGGCGGCCGCGCGCGACGGCGTCGTCGCGCCGTGAAAGCGATTCGCGGAGGGCGACGCGGCGCGCGACCACCCCAACGCGGCGCTCATCCTCGCGCGCGCGGACCGCGACGACGACGCGTCGACGATCGGCGCGGATATTTGTCATCGTCAGCACGGCACGCCCGAACCGCTTTACGCTCTTTTTGTCGTCGTCACAGCATCAGGTCCCGCAGATCCTCCCTCGCGCGCCACCGATGGACGCCGCGCTCCTCGCCGCGGCGCCGGGCCTGCGCTTCCTCGGATGCGAGGTCGGCGAAGGCCCGCTCGGGCGCGGGTGCATGGCGTCTCGACCGGTGGGCAACGTCCCCGCCGGCGACCCGGTCGTTCGCGTGCCCGTGAATCAATCCGTCGCGCTGTGCGTCGACGGCGCGCACGACGTCGCGCGTTCGATCGCGACGCGCAGGCAGCGCGAGATGGGCGTCCCGGACGAGCTCCTCCGAGCGCTCGATCCGAACGAGAACGCCCCCGCCGCGTCAGCCGCCGCCGCCGCGTCCTCCTCCGCAAACTCCTCCTGGTCGCTCACCGCCTCCGAGCGCATGGGCGTCCTCCTGCACTGGGCGACCGCGCCGAATCGCGCGACGCCCAGGATGGCGGCGTACGCGTCCACACTCCCGACCGCGTCGGAGCTCTCCGTCGGCGCGCTGTTCGACGCGGACGAGACGTCGTGGCTGCAAGACGCCGCGCTCGAGGCGCGATGCGCGAGCGCGCGCGCGCGCCATCGCGTCGTCGCGGAAGAGACGCGGTCGCGAGTCTCGTCGGACGACGACGACGACGATTTTTTCGCGCTCTCGCTCGCGCGCGCGTCCTCGCGAACCTTCGGCGCGCTGAACGGCGCGCTCGGACTCATGTGCCCGGGCGCGGACATGATGAACCACGCGTTCGGGCCGTCGTGTAACTTCCGCGTCGTGAACGCGGACGGCGACGCGCCGACGGGCGAGCAGCTGTTATTCGGCGATTCCGACGACGTCTTTTTCGAGCTGTACGCCGTGCGCGGCGGCGGCGGCGTCCGCGCGGGCGAGGAGCTGTTCATATCCTACGGCGAGGAGCTCACGAACGCGGAGTTGATGATGAACTACGGGTTCGCGGTGCCGAGGAACCCGAACGAGGTGGTGCCGCTGGGGGACGGCGGCGGCGGCGGCGGCGGCGGCGGCGGCGGCGGCGGCGGGGACGTCTCCGTCCTCGACGCCATAGAGCCCCCCGAGGACGGCGGCGACGACCGCGTCGACGCCGTCTCGAAAGCCGCGGGCGACGCCGCGCGCGTCGGGAGCGACGCCGACGCGGTCGCGTACGCCGTCGCCGCGCGCCGCGCGCTGAAACGTAGCGCGAGAGCCGCCGCCGCGAACGGGGACGCGCGCGTCGTCGCCGCCGCCGACGCCGTCGAGCGCGCGCTCGCGGGCGCGCCCACGACCTTAGACGAGGACCTCGCGCTGTTGGCCGGCGGCGGCGCGTCGAGGTCGTGTCGGACCGAGGCCGCGACGTGGTACCGCGTCGAGCGGAAGAGGCTGCTGCACGCGTCGTTGGCGGTGCTGACGACGGCGGCGCGGCGGCGCGGCGGCGGGTGACGGCGCGCGAACTGAGACGGACCAAGCTAACTTAATTAATTATTTTCCGCGCCGCGCCGCGCCGCGCCGCGCCGCGCCTCGGGGCTACACTACTTGTTCTTCTTCTTCTCTTCCTCGAGCATCCCCTCCAGAAGCTTGATCTGCCGCTTCGCGACCGCCATCCCGGCGTCGAACCCTTTCTGCGTCTGCTCGATCTGCGCCTCGAGCTTGAACACATCCTTCTCCGCCTCCTTCAATCGTCCTCGGTACATCTCTAACCGTCCCTCCGCGTCCTCCGCCCTCGCGGTCGCGTCCCTCAGTTTCCCGCCGAGTTCGCTGCTGTGTGCGCGCTCCGTCTCGAGCTGGTACTCGAGCTCCGCGATCTTCGCCTTCGCGTCGCCGTTGCCGAACAGACGCGCGACGACCGGGCCTCGCGACCGCGACTTGAGCGATTTCGACGATGACGATTTCGACGCGTCGCCGTCCGCGATCTTCGGGGCGTAGAACGCGGGCGAGCGCCCGATGGGCTTCATCGCGAACACGCGCGGCGTCAGCGACGGCGCGGACGCGCGACGCGACGCCCCGGGGGCGACCGCGCTCATCCTTCCTTCCTCTCGCGCGCGGCGTCGTGTGACCGATGCTAACCTTTCGAGGCGGAAAACACGCCAAGTGGCCGCTCGAAGATTTTTTCGCGTTTTTGCGGCTCTCCACGCCACGTCCCTCCCGCGCGCCGACGCGCGCAGACCCTCGCGCGCCGACTCGGCCCACCGTCGATCCCGCACGCGAGGATGCTCGCGATCGCGATGACGACGCCGGCGTCCGTCGCCGCGCCGCGCGCCGCCGCGCTCGGCGCCGCGCGCCGCGCCGCCGCCGCGCCATCTCGTCGCTCGCGCGCCACCGCCATGGCCAGATCGTCGCTTCGACGCCGCGGTCGAGATCTGGTGGATCTGAGCCTCGCGAGCGTCCGCGCGGCGTCCTCGCCAACGTCCTCCTCCGCGTCCGCGCGCGTCGACGACGGCAGCGAAGACGCGCGTCGTCGTCGTCGTCGTCGTCGTCGCGGCGTCGCGCGCGGCGGCGTCATCGCGGCCGCCGGCCCCGGCGATCGCGTCTCGATCGGGGACATGAAGCGAGCGCTCGCGAACGCGGGCGCGGACGCCTCGTCGTGCTTCGAGCGCGCGGACCTCGAGGCGAAGTTCGCGCTCCTCACGGACGCGCAGAAGGCGAACGTGGGGGAGGCGTCCGCGTCGTCGAGCGGCGCGGAAGGAGGAGAGCCGTCGTCGTCGTCGTCCTCGTCGTCCTCATCCTCGTCGTCGTCGTCGTCGTCCGCCGCGGATGGCGATGAAAAGATGAACGCGGGCGGATCGTCCTCCTCCTCCTCCTCCGCCTCCGGCGAGGAAAAGGAAAAGAAGAAGGAGGGAGGAGGCTTCGACGCCGCGAAGGCGCTCGAGAACGTCTTCAGCGCGATCCGCGAGAGCGCGAACCGCGCGGAGGTGAAGTGGGGGATCGGCGAGAAGCTGCGAAATCAGACGTCCGGGTTTCGAGAGTCCGTCGTCAACCTCGACGCGAAGCTCGGAGTGTCCAAGTTCGTGAAGAACGCGGCGCCGCCGCTGTGGGAAAAAGTGCAGGCCTTCCGCGCCACCCCCGCGGGGAGGGTCGCGAACTTTATCTTCTACGCGTGGCTGTTCTTCTCCGGGTTCTTCTGGACGATCGTCTCGCTGGGGATCGCGGGCGCGTTTCTCGCGAATCTGCTCTTCCCGAGCTTTTTCCAGGAGAGGGCTCGAAAGGCGCAGGCGCAGATGGCGGAGCGCGTTCGAGCCGCGCAGGCGGCGCAGGCGGGCGGGATGGGCGGGATGGGAGGGATGGGAGGGATGGAAGGGATGGGCGGTGCTCCGGGAGGGATGGGCGGGATGGGCGGGAACCCGTACGGCGGCGCGGGCGGCGACCCTTTCGCGGGGAGACGCGGCGGACCGGGCGCGGGCGGCGGCGGCGGCGGGAGGAAGAGCTACGGCAGCGGCGACGTCTTCGACGTCGACGCGGACGTCAAAGACGCGTAGAAGACATTCGTTTCGTTCAATTGAAAAAACGGCGAGAGATGCGTCATCGTTACTACACGCGCGTTCTGCGTCCTCGCCAGGCTCCAACTTATTTTTCTCATCACCTCGCCGCGCCACTGCTCAACAGGCCTGGCACTGGTCTTCTACTAGCTAGGGTGATCGTTCGTCCGATCCCGACGCGCCCTGATCACCCCTCCCCCCCCCCAACCCGCACCCCCCCGGGCGCCGCGCCTTACCTTAATGCTTCCCCTCCCGCGCCGCGATCATGTGCCGGTACTCCGCCGGCCAGCACGTGATGTACGCCATCGTGAAGACGCCGCCGAGGACGTGAAAGATGGGCGCCGGGGACCCGGTGTTGATGTACCTCACGCGGTACTCCTCCATGAACGTCGTCGCGTTCCGCGTGACGTTCTCCGCGGATAACTTCCTCGCGAGGAAGTCCGGGACTTCCTTGACCTTGAGCGCGCCGAGCTGGCGGATGAACTGCGCCGCCATTTCGACAGGCTGGGAGCGCCGCGTGAGATCGCGGAGATCGCGCGCGGGTTTATGTGGCGCGACGCTTCAAACGTCCGTCCTTTGACGCAGTCAAGTTAAGTTTTCGTCGTCGCGCCGGCATTAATTCCTCGCGCGCGCGCGCCGCCTCACGCCGCCGCCCGACGCGACATGAGTTACAACGGGATCGGTCTCCAGACCACGCGCGGTTCCGGGACGAACGGATACGTCCAGACGAACAAGTTCCATCGCTCCGCGTCGCGTTTGGAGCGCAAGGAGTGGAAAGACCTCAAGGAGATCCACGGCGAGGGCGGCCGCGGAGGCGCGAAGAAGCCGTGCGAGGACATCTTAGAGCACAATCGCAAGCGAGAGATCGAGCGGAAGCTCGTCGAGCTCGAGGATGACTTGGAAGAGCGAGGGATCGCCCGGGAGGAGATCGACGAGATGCTCAAGGACGCGCGGGCGAAGTACGAGAGAGAGAGCGAGCGCAAGAAGGGCGCGGGCGCGAGGAGGTGCGCCCGATTCGAAGCCTCGCCCCGCCCCGTCCCAGATCTCGACCAGACCAGACCCCCCCGCGAGCGAACGAACGAACGAACCCTAACCCGAACCCGAACCCGAACCCTAACCCTAACCCTAACCCGACGATCGCAGGGCCGACGAGACGCACGCGATCGCGGCGAGGAAGGCGGAGAAGATGGAGTCCCTCCGCAAGGCGTTCGGGTTCAGCAAGGACAGGGCGGAGAAGGAGGGCGACGCGTTCGATCGCGATCTTCAGGAGGACCTGAAGCGCCGCCGCCGCGAGGACCGCGACGAAGCGCTCCGAGAGAAAGAGGCGAACCGCGTGAAGGAGGCGAAACGTCGCGAGAAGGAAGCGAAACGTCGCGAGAAGGAGCGCAAAGAGGCGATCAAGCTGAGAGAGAGAGAGGAGAAGCGCGCGCTGAAGGAGAAGAAGAAGCTCAAGAAACTCGGCGTCGACGTCGACGCGCGGCTGTCCGCGAAGCAGGCGGAGGAGGAGCTCGCGCGCATCGAAGAGGAGGAGCGACGCCGCGGCAGGGGGAGGTCGAGGTCGAGGTCGCGGTCGAGGGGTGGACGGCGGACGGGGGATCCACGGGATTCGAGCGCGCCGCCGCGCCGGAGCCGGAGCCGATCGCGCGACCGGTCGCGCGGCGGCGGCGGCGGCGGCGGCGGCGGGCGATCTCGGAGCCCCGCGCGCGGACGCGGGAGAAGCCGAAGCCGAAGCCGAAGCCGATCGCGCGACCGGTCGCGCGGCGGCGGCGGCGGCGGCGGCGGCGGGCGATCTCGGAGCCCCGCGCGCGGACGCGGGAGAAGCCGAAGCCGAAGCCGAAGCCGAAGCCGAAGCCGGAGCCGGAGCAGAAGCGCCCCCCCCCCCGCGAGGCGGCGCGGCCGCTCCCGCTCGCGGTCGCCGAGCGACCGCCGAGACCGCCGGAGCCCCAAGCGCGCGCGCGTCGGCGGGGGCGACCGCGACGGCGACCGCGGGCGGGTCCCGCCGCCGCCGCCGCCGCCCGGGGCGAACAGGGACGGCGGCGGGCGTGGAGGGGATAGGAGGAGGAGGGGACGCTCCAGGAGCTCCTCGAGCGGCGGCTCGTCGTCGTCGTCGTCGTCGTCGTCGAGCGGCGGCGACAGCCGGTCGAGGTCGTAGGGTTTTTACTTGTAGACGTTCTGTTTTCCATCGGAGTCGACGCGTTCACTTCACCCCACACGTCGACCACGACGTCGCGACTCGCGCGACGACGCGCGCCACGAAAGAATCCCACACGACGAACATGAGCGACCCCGCGCTCGGCGTCAAGTCCGGCGGGGACCCGACGCAGTGGCACGGCGACTACGACTGCTCCGCGTGCGGGCGGAAGCGCCTCCCCGCTGTCGAGTTTTCCGTCAACATGCAGAACAAGTACAAAGCCGATCGCCTCGCGAAGCTGCGATGTAAGAAGTGCACCGCCGCGGAGGCGGAGGCGGAGCGGCTCCTGTCGATCGAGACCGCGAAGTTGAAAGTCGCGGAGGCGGGCGAGGACGGCGCGCCGCCGGAGCTTCACGAGTGCGCGGAGTGCAAGGCGTCGAAACCGGCGAGCGAATTCAGCGGCAAACAGCTCAAGCAGAAAGGCCCGGGGAAGCAGCGCTGCCGGAAGTGCTGCGACGCCGGCGAGGAGGCCGCGGCGGCGGCGCAGACCGCGGGCACGAGCGAGAGGCTCAAGGCGGCGAGGGAGGCGAGCAAGAGGGCGGAGGCGACGAACGCGCCGGACAAGCTCGCGGTGTTCGCGCGCGAAGCCGCCATCGAAGCCGAGATGGTCACGGGATTGAAGCCGCAGAAGATCGGCGGCGGCGGGCGCGGGAGAGGAAGAGGGAGAGGATCGAACCCGAACAGCATGCTCGGGAGGGGGGGCGGGCGAGGACGCGGGTGAGGGGGGACGAAAAAGTCAAGTCGCGGTGCGGTGCGGTCGATATGCGTTCTTCTTTCGTTCTGTTCCGTTTGCGTTCTCAACGTTCTCGCGGCGCGGCGCGCCGTCGTCTCGTGCGTTCCTTCATCCGTCGCGTCGGCGGGGGATTCCGTCCTTCCGCCGCGTTCTTCGCTCAACATCACTACGTCTGCCAGCGCGGCCACCCCGGGTCGTCTTCCTCCCCGGGCTCCAAACGCGGCGGCGTGATCCCAGACGCGTCAACGGTGACGTCGCGCATCAGTTCCATCCTGACGTACGCGCCGACGTACTCTTCTTCCCCTTCCGCGACCGCGTCCGTCGAACTTTCGTCCTCGTCCTCCGCGTCGGCGGCGGCGACGTCGACGTCCTCACGCGTCATCGGCTTCTTCCACGTTTCGTCTCCCACGAGGTCGTGGTCCCAATCCGAGGACGTGTACTTGGGCCGGCTCTTCTTCTTCGTCTTCTTTTCTTTCGACGCCGCCGCCTCGTCCTTCTCCGAATCCCCCCACTCCGTCGCGTCGTCGCGCTTAAACTCCAACTTCACCTTCGTGTGCTTCACCCCGCTGTCGACGACGAAGAGAAACGGCCGGCTTGAGAAACGACGTTCGACGCGCGAGGGAGGACGTACCAGACCACGCGGGGAGGCGTCTCGGAACGTGATACGAAAGGAAAATGATTTCTCGACTCGACGCACCTGTCGATGACGCCGCTGCTCTCCACCGCGGCGACGACGTCGTCGAACGGCACGCCTCTGCAGTCGAACGGCCCGCGGACGTGCTTCGTCCGCGGCGGCGGGCCGTCGCCGATCGTGACGAGGACGTCCGAGTCTTTGAGGCGCGTCGCCGTGCATCGAACGAGGACGTCGCCGCGGCGCACGGGCGTGAGCGACGCCGCGGAGTTCTCGCGGACGCTCTCGACGACCGCGGCGTACTGCCCGCCGGCGTCGCGGAACGTGATGCCCATGTCCACGGCCGGGAGCTCGACGTCGTATATCAGCTCGTCGCGCCCGGTGACCGGGTCGTTGAGGATCGTCGCGGACGGCGGCGTCGCGGAGCGCAGCGCGTCCGGCGGGGGCGGCTCGTCGTCGTCGTCGTCGTCGTCGTCGTCGTCGTCGTCTTCGCGCGCGGCGTCGGCTCGGGTCGGACGCGCGCGGGGGAGGAGGACGCGCGCGGCGCGAGGGCGGGCACCGCGGCTTCTTCGCGCGAGGAGGAGCGGGCTTCTCGGGGTGGAGAGGCGCGGCGGTGCGGCGGCGGCGGCGGCGGCGAGCATCGTATCGGGCGTGGGAGGCGCGCGGAGAGAGTGCGGCCGTCGTGGCTTTCTCGAGCTCCGAGAGTTCTTTCTGAGCTGAGCTGTTTGGCGAAAAAATTGTATTTCAACCGACCGAGCGCTTCCTTCCCGCGCGCCCTCCTCTCTCCCCTCCTCGCTCCACTCGACGACGCGTCCCGCGCCGCCTCCTCTCCTCACTCCAACCTCCTCTCCGCCTTCAAATGTTGTTCGTATTAGTAGTAAGTTCAGTAATAGTAACGCACGCGCGTCAACCGTTTAACGGTAAAAGCACGTCAGCACCGCGAGCGCGACTGATGGGCGTTCCATACGAGCGAACGTCGGGGTGGAGTTGAAAGGCGTCAGATGGAGTTGAAAGGCGTCGAGGGCGGGGATTGAAAGTGATGGACCCTGGGCGGAGAGAGACGCCGGGCAAAGTCCTTAAGGAACGGCGTTCACCACGCCAACGCGGTCGTATGGGGACCAGTGTACAGAACGCGCCTGAGCAAAACGCGGTGACGATCACCTCTTGGTTGAGGAGGTACCACACCGGCACGGAGATCGAAAACATCTCGAAGATTATGTTCGGGAGGTAATACGTCGCGAACAGCGTCGCCGCGAACGTCGCGAGGACGATCGAGAAGGACCGGAAGAACCGTTTGTTGTTGTGCTGTTGCGCCGCCTCGCGGTCGATGTTCGCGCTGTCGGACGAGACGGACGACGGGGAAGGGAAGGCGGCGGGAAGCGATGCTATTGGTCAGCGGCATGATGACGTGGACGAGAGGGAAGAAAGGGAAGGGAAGGGAATATGATGTAGAGAAAAAAACGAAACGCTGCGACACCGTCCGTTACATTTTTCAGAAAGAAAATATCGTCTCGCGCACCTCGGTCCCGGGTCCACGTCCGCGAGCTTGGCGAACATTCGAAACATCATGAAGATCGTGGCGTAGATGATGGGCTGCAGGTTACGAACCGTCGCCGGGGTCATGTACGTGATGATCGTCGCCGCGGCCGCGATCGCGACGTTGACTTGCTTGTCCTTCATCACGCTCTCGCACTTGATCGGCGCCCACGGACCGAAGAGGGAGACGGCGTCCGCGTTGAGGATCTTTTTGTCGACGCCCGAGAGATCCCCTTTGAGTCGCGCGGCGAGCGACGCCTGGACGATGCTCTCGTACGCCTCCTCCATCTTCGCGAGCTTCTCTGGCTCGGACTTGTACAGGAGCTTCTTGCGGTCGAGCGCTTTCTTGATCTCGTCCGCGTCCGCGCCGGGCTTGACCCCGAGCGCTTTGTACGGGTCCGGCGCCGCGTCGCCCGCGCCACCCCCCATGGCGTCCGCGGCGGCGGACGCGACGACGGCGCCGCGGGCGCGGCGGGCGATGCGCGCGCCGAGGACCGCCGCGCGCGCGGCGACGACGCGCTCGGACGATACCGCGCGCGGCGTCGGCGGCGGCTTCGCGTTGGATCGCGCGCTGGCTTTGGACGACGCGGACGCGCGCGCGACCGACGACGAGGCGCGGACGGCGGCGGACGCGGAGACGACGAGAGACGACGACATCTCGCGGAGATTTCTTCTTCGATTCGGTTCGATTCGACGGGCGCGTACGGAGACTTGCGACGAGCGCGGAGACGACGACGCGACGGGCGTGCGCGCGCGCGTTCCGAGTGCGGCGTGCGACCGATGAACGGCGCGGCGTGCGCGTGAATGACCGCGGACGTCCCTCGCGCGAGGACGACGACCTCGGCGATCGACCGATCTTAGCCCTATCGACAGCAGAGCGGAAGATCTCCGAAACCACTGCACGTCTGGTCGCGGCGTGGGAGGGGGACGTTTCCCGTCACGAGCTCCCGCGCGCCATCTGACGCGCGCACAACGCCGCGCGCACCGAGCGCACGCACGCGACGCGCGCGCGGTCACCGAGGAACGCGCATCGAAGCGCGGCGGGCGGCGGAGGCGTCGTCGATTCGCGCCCGCGCGCGTCCGTCGTCCGCGGCGGAGCGGCGGCGATCTCGGCGCGAGAGGGAGGCGTTCTTCTCGCGGCAGCGCGCGGCAGGGAGAGCGTAATCCAGTCGTCTCGGGGAAACAACGACGCGCGAGCGATGGCGGGGTCGTGCTCGCGCGCGCCGAGGGCGAAAACGTTCGGCGAGCCGTTCGCGTTCGGCCGCCCGTTGAAGCTGAACAGTGATCCGCGCCCGCTGTCGGATCGAAGCAACCGCGGCGTCCATCGCGCGCATCATCGCGAGCGGCGCGACGGCTCGGGACCGCCGTCGTCCTCCGCCTCCTCCACCACCTCCGGTTATTCCGAGACGGCGGACGCGCGCTCGAACGCGCGGCGCCAACGCCGACGCGAACCCGTCGGCGGCTACGGCGTCACGCCGCCGTGCGCGATGGCGCCGACGCCGCTGATGCGCACGAGCAGCACGTCGCCGTGGGACTTCCGCGACGACGACGGCGTCGCGGACGCGAAGCGGATGCGAGGGGGGAACGCGAAAGACGGAGACGGATTAATATTCTACGTCCACCCGGACGACGTCCCCGCGCGCGCGATCAAAGCGCGGCCGTACGAGCCGTACAAGCCGCCGACGCCGGAGAAGGCGAGAGAGAAGACGCCGGTGAAGGCGGTCGGTGGCGACGACGAGGACGACGACGAGAAGGAGGACGACGAGCTCACGGCTGTCGAAAAGCTGACGCGCGCGCCGTCGCATCATCGATCGCTCAGGTGCGTTCTATACACTGGTCCCCATACGACCGCGTTCGCGTTGTGAACCCCGATCCTTAAGGACTTTGCCCGGCGCATCTCTCCGCTCACCAAACACTTTCAATCCCCGCCTTCGATGCCTTTCAACTCCACCTGACGCCTTTGAACTCCACCCCGACTTTTGCTTGTATAGAACGGCCCTCACGATCGAGGAGCGCACGAAGCGTTGGGAGGAGAAAGAGCGCGAGCGCGAGCGCGCCGTCAAGGAACGGAAAGAACGCCTCGCGATGGAGGCGAGGGAGATCGCGGCGGCGGCCGCGGCCGCGGCGGCGTCGCGCGGCGCGGCGCGGCGACCCGCGGCGCCGCGTGTCGCGTTCGGCGGCCGCCCGCCGCCCAAGCCTCCGAAACCGCCCCCACCGGAGCGTTACTACTCGCACGAGGACGAGCTCGACGCGTTCGCGCCGCCGAAACGACACGGCCCCGCGTTCTCCTTCGGCGTCCGCGCGTCGCAGAGCGCGATATTGGAAGGCCCGGGGAAGGACTCGCCGGGACCGGCGGCGTATTACGATTTGGAGATGACCCACGAGGCGCTCGTCGGCCACGTCCCGACGGCGACGTTCGGGAAGCCGCCCGAGCGCGGCGGCGGCGGCGGCGGCGGCGGAGGTGGCGGCGGCGCGTGGTCGTCCGCGTGGTCGTCCGACCCGGACGCGCCGGGCCCCGGGGAGTACGACGTGGACGTCGCCGCGGCGCGGACGAAGCGCGGCGCGCCGGCGTACAGTTTCGGAGGGAAACATTTCGACGCGGCAGCGCGCGCGTCCGCCGACGTCCCGGGACCTGGGGCGTACCACCCCGAAGAAGAGATCCAGATCCTATCGGACGGCACCGCAGTTCTTCTCGGCGGGGTCAGGGACTCGATCAATTCGAAAGGCTTCACGTTCGGCGCGCGCGTCGGGCCATCGTGGCACGACGCCGGCGCGGGCGCGGACGCGCCGGGCGTCGGGGAATACTACAAAGATCCGCTGCTTTTCCACGCGACGCGCGCCGCCGGGACGGACACCGCGCCCGCGTTCTCGTTCGGGACCGCCGCGCGCGGCGGACCCGACGCTCGCCACGACGCGGACCCGACGCCGGGACCGGGGGAGTACGTCGGCGTCGAGGCGTACTTCGCGGAGGCGGACGCGAGAACGTCCATCGCGCGGAGCACCTTTGGCGTCCGAAGACCGTCGCCCGGCGACGCCGCGTCCGCGACGGGCGCCATCGGTCCCGGCGAATACCACAGGGACCGGACGCTCGAGGACCCGGAGGCGATCCGCGGCGGACCCGCGTACACGCTCGCGGCAAGGCTCGCGGGTCCGACGTCGGCGACGTCGGCGAGCGCGGACGCGCCCGGCCCCGGGCAGTACGACGTTCATCTCGCGCGCGCCGCCGACCGCGGACCCGCGTTTACGATGGCGGGGAGAACCGGGAGACCGGGAGACGACGACGACGACGCGCGAAGTCGGGGACCCGGTCCCGGCGCGTACGACGTCCGCGCCGTCGCCGCCGTCGGCAGCGCGAGCGCGGGCGCGCCCGCGTACACGATCGGCGAGAGGGTTAAGACGCGCGCGCCCGCCGCGGACGTCCCGGGACCGGGGCATTACGGCGCCGCGCCGGGGCTGCCGAGCGACGCCATCGACGGCGGCTTCTCCTCGTTCGTCGACGGCGGCGGCGGCGGCGGCGGCGTCGCGCGAGGGTACACGATCGCGGGGAGGGACGCGTGGGAGCGCGGCGGCGCGGGGGACTCGGGGTTCGAGATGCCGGGGCCCGGGGCGTACGACGTCGGCGGCGACGCGACGGCGCGGCCGCGTGCGGCGGCGCCGGCGTTTACGATGGCGGGGCGCGCGCGCGACGCGTCGGCGCTCGACGACGCGCCGGGTCCGGGGGAGTACGCGAAGGAGCTCGACGCGGTGACGAAGGACGGGTCGAGCGGGCCGTCGTACACGTTCGGGCGGAGGCACGCGAACGACGGCGCGATGGGGAACATGAAGGAGAAGGCTGCCGTGCCGGGCCCGGGGGCGTACCGCGTCCACGACGCCGACGACGACGACGCCGACGACGCCGACGGGGGCAGCGGACGACGACGAAAGCGACCGAAACCGAAGCGAGGCTACACGATCGCGACGCGAACGAAAGACCCGGCGACGATCGGCGACGCGCGCGGCGGACCGGACTGGCCCGGCCCCGGGGAGTATCACGACTCGGACAGACTCGCCGCCGACGCGGAGGGCGGGCGCACGATGGGCGCGAGGCTGCCCGCCGCGGGGACGGACGCGACACCCGGTAAGGAAGGGCCCGGCCCGGCGATGTACGGCGGATACACGACGGCGGATCTGGAGGTGGGGACGGAGTGGAGCATGGGGGAGAGGCTCGAGACGGGGGGCGTGTTCGCGAACGCGATGGGCGAGGACGCGCCGGGACCGGGGTACTACGCGCCCGAGGTTTTTCAGTGGCCCGTCGGGAAAGTCGTGCCGTGGAAACAAGTCGGGTTCACGATTCGTCCGCGGAGGGACGACGACGGCGGAGGCGGCGGCGGGAGGTCGCCCGGGCCGCCGACGCCAGGGCCGGGATACTACGAGCCGGATACCTCGACCCTGGAGGCGGACGCGCGCGCGAAGACGCCGCCGTGGAGGATGAAGGGCGTCTCCGTGAAGACGCGCGAGGGGTGGGAGAAAGCCGCCGCGCGCGAGCGAAAAAGCGACGCGCCCGCGCCGACGGACTACGACCCGACGCCCCCGAACGGGAGATCCCCCGGGGGGCCCGCGCACACGATCGGCGTGCGTCGAGGCCCGAGCGCGCGGCGCGCGGCGGCGGCGAGACGCAACCCGAGCCCCGGGCCGGGCGCGTACGAGAACGGTCCGAGGCCGATCGGCGCGTCCAACGTCGCGAAATTGCAAAAGGGGGTCGTCCTCGGCGCGCGCCCGCCGGACCGAAAGGCGGCGGCGGACGCGGACGCGCCCGCGCCTGGGGAGTACTACCCCGACGGCGACGGCGACGACGCGAGGAAGAAGAGCTCGTCCCGGGGGCCCAACTTGGGGCGCGCGACGGGGCACGACGCCCCGGGAGGCGCGCTCGACGCCGCGACGCGCGCGGGGCGGACGCCGGGACCGGGGGAATTTTACGACGAGACGACGGACGCGCGGCGCGGCGCGAGGGGACGCGCGACGACCATCTCGAGGACCGGGCACGACGCGTACGGGGGGTTCATGGACGTCGCGCGGCTCGGCGGAGAAACGCCTGGCCCCGGGGAGTTTTATTCCGCCGGCGGGCGTCGCGGGACGACGCCGGTGCGGATCGGTCGGACGACGGGGCACGACGCGCCCGGCGGCGCGATCAGGCGCGTTCTATACACTGGTCCCCATACGACCGCGTTCGCGTGGTGAACGCCGATCCTTAAGGACTTTGCCCGGCGTGTCTCTCCGCCCACCGCTCGGTTTCAATCACCGCTCGCGTTGCCTTTCAACTCCGCTTCTGACGCCTTTCAACTCCACCCCGACGTTCGCTCGTATGGAACGCCCATAGCGGCGCCGCGCTCGCGCCGGGACCGGGCGAGTACCACCGCGACGGCGCCGGTCGGATCCGGGGCGGGGTGATCGCGCGGACGGGCCACGACGCGTACGGCGGCGCGTTGGACGCCGCGCGCGGAGCCGGCGCGACGCCCGGGCCCGGAGAGCACCACCCCGAAGACGGCGTCGGCGTCGCGAAGAGCGGATCGACGTCCAAGTCGCCGCCGCGGGGGCCGAACCTCGCGCGGATGACCGGCCGGAGCGCCGCGGGCGGGCCGCTCGACGCCGCGAGGGACGGCGCGGACACCCCGGGGCCGGGAGAGCACTACCCGGACCTCGAGGGAACGACGTCCGGGCGCGGCGCGGCGGGGAGTCGCGGTCGGGGCGTGAAAATCCCCGCCGCCGGCCGCGACGCGCCAGGGGGTCCCCTGGACGCCGCGCGCCGCGGCCGCGACGCGCCCGGCCCCGGGGAGTACCACCCCGACGACGGCGTCGCGAAGATCTCGAGCTCGACGACGTCGAAGATGCCGCCGCGCGGCGTGCACTTTGGGCGTCCGCCGCCGGCGCCGCGTCGCGGCGCCGACGCCGGCCCCGCGCCCGGCGAGTATCACCCCGACGAGCCGGTCGCGGCGCCGCCGAGGGGCATCCTCAAGAAGCGATCGACCGCGACGCCCGGGGTCACGATCCCGCGCGCGGAGGGGGGATCAAGCCTCGTCGCGAAGGACGCGGGCGATCGACCGGGGCCGGGAGAGTACGACGCGGAGTTCCACCCGAAGACGATCGCGGGGCTCGTGCGAGAGGCGTTGAAGAAGCCGGGCGCGATGGGGGAGCCGCCGCCGACGCGGAGGACGAGGTTCGCGGACGGGCCGGGTCCGGGGGAGTACCACGCCGAGGAAGATCCGTCGCGTCGAGGCGGCGTCGGGATCACGATCAAGACGAGGAAGGCGTGGGAGCCGAAGCCGAAGCCGAAGAGGGGCGCGGGGAGGGGGAGGAAGTAGTGTAGGAGGACATGTGCTGTAAGTTATTGTGAGAAACTCACTCTCTAGCTAGGTGTCTGTTCGTCTCCCTCGAGGTTTGTCGTGGATGTTCTCTCAGATCTGAACGCGCTCGTCCCCGCCTCGGCTCGGTCGCCGCCGCGGTCGTCATGCAGAACGCGTACGACATGCGCAGGTATAAGAAATCGTTCGCCGCGTTGGTCGACGCGATAGACGCGGCGCAGCGAGGTGACTGGCGAGCGTGCGTCGATTCCTACGAATTGTCCTTCAACCTCTCCGGAGGCCACCGCTCCATGTTCAAGAACCGATACTACGTCGTGTCCGGGTTCACCGCGACCCTGTGCGACGGCGCGTGCGAGCCCACGAAGAACGACTACAAGCTCATCGAGTCCATCGTCGACGACGAGAACGAGCGCCCGGAGATACGCGCGAAGGCTGCGTTCACGAAAGGCGTCCTGAGGTACGACAAAGGCGACAGAAACGGTGCCGCCCGCGCCCATCGCAAGTGCATCGCGATCGTCGACGCGGCGTCGCAAGCCGCGCGCGATCGCGAGATATTCATCGGCAACAGAGTCAACGCGCGCGGTCAGCCAGAGCACGACATGCAGCCCGCGGGCGTGGTGATGGACCGCACGAGAGCCAACGCGTCCAACAACGTTTCCGACAGGCGTGTCGCTCGAGTCGACGGCGACGTCGACTTGGACAGGGTAGTCGACGACCTCATGATCCAACGCGAAACGGCGAGGATGCGCGCGCACGGCGGAGGCGTCATCAGCAATGAAAGATCGCAGCACGTGGCGTTTCGCGCCGATCCGGACCTTATGCGAGAGCGCGGGGTGACGGGAGACGAATACAACGACAGGCTGGAACCGATTTGCGCGAGCTGTTACCGCTGCGGTTCGCGCGCCGGGTGCGCGGAGCGATACCCGTCGTGCGCCGCGTGCGGCCTCGTGGCGTACTGCGGGAAGCCGTGCCAGAGAGCGGACTGGGCGGCGCGTCACAAGGCGGAATGCCGCCCGAAGAAGGAGCTCCGACGCGGCGACATGGTCCAGTTGCCGCCGACGCGTGAGGGCGAGGGAGGGACCGAGGACGCGACGGTGACGCCCGTCGGGTTCGTGGCCGGCGACGTCGCCGACGGGACCGTCGCCGTGGAGATACGGCGAGGGGAAACGGTCGAATGCGAGGTGGAGAAGCTGAGGCGATTGCCTTCGAGGGCGCCTCCGCCGCCGCCGTGCGCGTAGTCGCGGGGATCATCGCCGGAATCGAACGAGAGGTACGAAGCGCGTAGACTACAATTGTCGTCAAGATTTTTCGTGAGCCGCGTTACACGTCGAGTCGCGTTCCCGTCGCCGCGCTATCAATACGGCCCCGCGCGGTAGTTCCCTTGCTGCTGCTGCGGCGGGTACCCGCCCTGATACCCCTGCTGCTGCTGCTGCTGCTGCCCGTACTGCTGCTGCTGGTTAGGGTACCCCTGCTGTTGATTCGCGCCGTACTCCGCGTAGGCGTTTTGCCCGTACCCGCCGCGGTCGACGCGGCCGCCGTACTGGTCCGGGTAGTACTCCCCGCCGTACCCTTGCTGCTGCCCCTGCCCGCCCCACTGCTGCTGCGGCTGCTGCCCACCCTGGCCCTGCCCCCACTGCTGCTGCTGCCCGCCCCACTGTTGCTGCTGCCCGTACGCGCCGCCGCCGTCCCACCCGCCGCCCCATCCGCCGCGTTCTTGCTCCTGATATCCGCGCTCGCGGTTCCAGCCGCCGCGGTCGTCCCATCCGCCGCCGCCTCTCCGATCGTCCCAGCCGCCGCCTCTCCGATCGTCCCAGCCGCCCCTCCGATCGTCGTAATATCCTCCCCCCGCGCGGTCGTCGCGTCTATCTCTGCCGTACGGGTGGTAGCCGCCGCCGCCGCCGCCGCCGCCGCCGCCGCGATCGCGGCCGCCGCCGTCGCGATCGCGGCCGTCGCGATACGCCGCGCGTCCTCGCCCGTCGCGGTGGTCCCCGTGGTCCCCGCCGCCGCGGTCGCGCCTCCGCGCGCGGACGCTGTCGCGCGTCTGCCCGCCGGGCTTATATTCCAGTAAGTACGCGGGAAGATCCGGGATCTCGCCTTCTTTTTGCACCCTCGCCTCCGCGCACGGGGCGCCGCCTTGGTCGACGACTCCCTTCTCGATGAGCTTCCTCGCGTGCCAACACTGCGCCTCCGTGCCGTTGATTTCCACCGTTCGAAGCGCGTTCGGATCGCCGCTCAGACGCCCGTTATCGTGCACGGTGATCTTCGCCCCGGACGCGTCGCGCATCGCGGTGATGGCGCTCCCGCGTTTGCCAATCAAACCGCCCGCGAATTCGGGCCGCACGACGAACGTCATCATGCACTGACCGACCGGGATCGGATCCGGGCTCCGTCCGTGCGGGTTATGCTTGTACCCCTTCGCCGCGAACTCCTTCGCGAACGCCTCCTGCTTCTGTCGGAAGTATCCCTCCTTGACGTCCGGGGCGTCGATCAGACGAAGAGGGTCCTCGTCCTCGCTCGGGGGATTCGTCCGGTGGTCGAGCTTCCTCGCGATGATGAGCAGCGCTGAGGGTAATTCGAGGGTCCATACAAAGCGATGATATCGGGATGGAGTTGAAAGGCGTCAGAAGCGGAGTTGAAAGGCGTCGAGGTGTGTCGGGATTGAAAGCGGGGGACCCTGGGCGGAGAGAGACGACGGCAAAAGTCCTTAAGGATCGGCGTTCACCACGGCGACGGGGTCGTATGGGGAACCAGTGTGAGATAGAACGCGCCTGAGCGCACGCAATCGTCCGAGCCTCTGATCTCGACGACTCGATCCGCGGGGAGCGACGTCGCGAGCGTTTCCGTCTTCGGGCGCAGCGCGATCGACGCGCCCGTGTTCGACGCGATGTCCGCGGCGATCGCGACGCCGGGAAGCGACGACGTCGCGTCCGGGGCGTTGGCGTTGGCGGCGGCGGCGTTGGCGTTGGCGTCGGCATCCGCGTCCGCGTCCGCCGTCGGCGCGACGTCCTCCTCCTCCGGGATCTCCCCCACGCACCCCGCGAGCTGCGAGCTCGGAATCACAACCCGCGCGACGTACTCCCCCGCCGGCCTCGCGCCGTCCGTCCCCGGCGGCGCGTGCAGGTCCACCTCCTGCTCCGTCGCTCGGAGGTGACACTTGAGGACGCCGTCGACGCCGTGGAAGAGCTCGGGATGATCCGCGGCGTCGCTCGACGTCACGACGACGACGCGGTGCGAGCGCCCGCCCTCTTGCACGTGCACGCCGCACTGCGTGGAGTCGCGCAGGTACTTCACGATCGCGCCGCGAGGGCCGATCATGTACCCCGCGCGCGAGGCTGGGATCTCGATTCGCAGCGCGGATCGAACGGCGGCGACGGGCGCCGCGCCGGCGCTCGCCGCGTCCTCGGCGGCGGCGGCGCCGCCGTCGGGCTTCTTCGCGCGGTCGCCGCCGTCGCGCGCGTCGGCGTTCGTCGCGGTCTTGGGTTCGCCGCTCGGATCCGCGGGCGCGTCCGCGGCGTTCGCGGCCGCGTCGTCCGTCGCCGTCGCCTCGTCGCCGTCGTCGTCCGCGGCGGCGATTCCGTCCGCGTCGCCTTCCGCGATGTCATCCTCCGACGCGGGATCGGTCGTCGTCTCGGGTTCGGCCGCCGCCGCCTCGTCCGCGGCGTCCTCTTTATCTTTGGGCATCGTAGCGCGCGGATGGGCGTGCTACCCCTCGCGTGCGTGACGTCGCTGACGCGCGCTGCGATCACTGACGCGCTCGCAATTACAGGTTAAAATGAAGAGCGAAGGCGAGCAGTCCTGTCTGCCTGTCCATCTGATGCTGTGTCCGCCGCTGCCGACGCTGACATAAGATAGCTAGAGGTCACGGGTCGAGAGTGCGACTGGAGCGCAGCGAAATCTCATCTCCACTCCGCGACGCGCGCGCCCCGCGGCGCCATGAAGCCCGCGCACGACGGCGACGTCGACCCGCTGTCCCTCCGCGCGGTCCTCGCCGGGTTCGTCGTCGGCTTCGTCGTCAGCGCGATGAACGTCTCGTTCGGCCTCAAGGCGGGATGGGCGCAGGGCGGAAGGCGCGTCGCGACCGATCGATCCCTCGCGGCGGACGAAAACGCGTCGATCGTCGCGACCCGACGCCGAATCTCATCTCGCCGTCCGTCGTTCCCTCCTCCATCTGACGCGCCCTCCCCACCCCCGACGCCCCCCTCCCTCCCCTTGCGCGCGCCCTCCTCCTCCTCTCCACCTCTCGTCCGTCGCAGCATCCTCGCCGCGGCCGTCAGCATCGGCCTCTTCAGCGCGCTCAAGCCCAAGGTTCCGTTCACGCAGGCGGAGGCGAACATCTGCCAGACGGTCGCCTCCGCGGCGGGGTCCATGACCATGGCCGCCGGTCTCATCGGCCCGATACCCGCGCTGCAGATGCTCGGGCACAAGTACGACGGCCTCACGATCATGGCGTGGGGCGCGTCCGTGGCGTACCTCGGCGTCTTCTTCGCCGTGCCCATGCGTCGGCACTTCCTCGTCGACCACCCGCTCAAGGCGCGTTCTATACACTGGTCCCCATACGACCCCGTCGGCGTGGTGAACGCCGTTCCTTAAGGACTTTGCCCGGCGTCTCTCTCCGCCTACCCCCCGCTTTCAATCCCCGCCCTCGATGCCTTTCAACTCCAACTGACGCCTATGAACTCCACCCCGACGTTCGCTCGTATGGAACGACCCTCAAGTTTCCATCCGGCACGGCGACGGCGGCGACCATCACGTCCATGTTCGCCGACGCGAGCCGCGCGCGCGACCAAGTCAGGACGTTGCTCATCTCCAGCGCGGTCGCCGCGCTCTGCGTCGTCGCGACGTGGCTCGACCCGTGGCTCCTGAAGCCGCCGATACTGAAAACGCTCGGGTTCAGGCGCGTTCACGTTTATTACGCCGGTCCCCATACGACCGCGTCCGCGCGATGTGAACGCCGATCCTTAAGGACTTTACTTCCCGGCGTCTGTTTGCATCTCTCCGCCCATCACCCCTCGCTACTTTCAATCCAAATACACGCCTCGACGCCTTTCAACTCCGCTTCTGACGCCCGCCTTTCAACTCCACCCCGATGTCATCGCTTCGTATTGGCAAACACCCTCAGCGCGTTGGCGAGGTGGGGGTGGGGCGTGCGGCTCGACGCGACGCTCGTCGGCGGCGGCGTGCTCATGGGTCCCAAGGTGGGGGTCTCGATCCTCTTCGGGGCGATCGTCGCGTGGGGGTTCGTGGGGCCGCACGCGGAGGCGATGGGGTGGGTGAGCGGGGACCCGCTGTCGATGAAAGGCGGCGCGCGGGGGTTGTTGTTGTGGCCGGGGGTCGCGGCGATGGTGGTGGATTCGCTCGCGCAGCTGGCGATCGCGACGGCGAGGAGTAATAAGGGCAGCGGCGGCGGCGGCGGCGGGAGAGGCCTTCCCGGGAAAGGGTCATTGGGCGGCGTCGGTGGGGACGGCGATGCACGCGTCGAGTGGGATTACGAGTACGGCGACGGACGGGTCGCACATACGGGAGGAGGTAACCTAGATATGGACGACGGCGGCGGGAGGCGCGCGGCGGCGGCGTCCGGGGCGATTTCTACTTCGAAACTCGCGGGCCCGACGCTCGTCGGCTGGGGCGGGTTGGAGTCCGGGCGGTCCTCCATCGACGACGCCGATATAGGTATGGACGACGCGCGACCGCTCGTGATTTCGTCCACGTCATCAAGCAGCACTACCACCACCGCACCGGGCGTCGTCGTCGCGCGGGATCACCACGACGTCATCCCGGCGTGGTGGTGGAAAGCCGGCGTCGCCGCCGGCGGCGCGTGCACCGCGATCATCCTCAACCGAAACTTCGACATGGCGCCGTGGCAGCCCGCGCTCGCGCTTCCGGTCGCCGGCGTCATGTCCTACATCGCGGTCCGGTGCACCGGGGAGACGGACATAAACCCGATCGGCCCGATGGGTAAGGTGATACAGCTCGTGTTCGCGCTCGCGGCGCCGGGGGAGGTGGTGACGAATCTCATGGCCGCCGCCGTCGCGTGCGGCGGCGCGGGGCAAGCCGGCGACCTCATGCACGACTTCAAGGCTGGTCTGATGATGCGATTGTCCCCGCGTAAACAACTCATCGCGCAGCTGTTGGGGATCCCCGTCGGTATTCTCGGCGCGGTGCCCGCGTACGTGCTGTTTCGGGACGTGTACCCGCTCGGGGGCGAGCAGTTCCCGGCGCCGGCGGCTGTGGCGTGGAAAGCCGTTGCGGAGGTGCTCACGAATCGGTCCAGCGCCGGCGGCGGCGGCGGGATCGGGGGGTTACCGAGCGAGGCGAAAGCGTTGATGCAACTCGCAGCCTGCTGCACGATCTTCGTGCGGCTCGTGGAGGTGTTCGGGAGGGATGGACACAGGAGGGGGTGGGCGTGGGTGCGTCACTTGCCGAGCCCCACGAGCGCCGGGATCGCGTTCATCATCCCGCCCGAGTTTTCCGTCGTCATCGCCGCGAGCGCGAGCGCGAGCGGGTGGTGGCGGAGGAGGAGGCCGACGCAGCACGAGGACCACGCGAACGTGATGGCTAGCGGGTTGTTGGCGGGCGCGGGGGTCATGGGCGTCGTCACCGCGATGGCGTCGATGGCGTTGGGGGTCGGGGATGTGACGCAGTAGTCAAAATCTTTATCACTCATTTAGTCAATCAAGCACTTAGGCAAAGATTTAGGCAAAAAATCGCTGCATGGGCTTTCGCAAAAATCCAGCAAAAATCACGTGTCTAAATCGTCGTTAAACCGTCAATTTTCTTCGATGGGAAATTTACCCCCAACTTTCCCCCCGAATCCACCCTGTTTTCACCCAATTCAATCTTTCGCCGCGGAGACAGAGTGTCTAAACGCAGCACCGAAAAAAAACGACACGCACTTTATGAGAGTAAAGCAAACGCGTCCGTCGCGCCCATCCCCGCGCGCGGACTCGCCCGGGAGCGACGCGGCTGCCGTCATGGAGACGCGCGACGTCCCCGGGAAGGGCCTGGGTGTCATCGCGACCAGGGATTTCGACGTCGGCGAGATCGTCTCCTCGGAACCCGCGCCCGTCGCGCTCGCGCTCGGGCTCGATCAGCTCGCGCGTCGCTGCGCGCGATGCGCGCGCTCGCTCGCCGCGGCCGGCGAAGACGCCGTCGCGCCGTGCCCCGCGCGATGCGGCGTGCACTACTGCTCCGCGCGATGCAAGAAGGACGATCAGAACGCGCACGGCGCCGGCGGCGAGTGCGCGTTCCTCCGCGTCCTGGGGCGCGATCCGAAGCCCGGCGTGAAGGTGCCGCGCGCGTGGCGTCACCTCACTGACGAGGCGAGGCTCGTCATGCGATGCCGCGCGGACGCGGACGCGAAGAACGTCCACGACGGGCACCACCCGGGCGAGATGATCGAGGACGAGGAGGGCGGCGGCGGCGGCGGCGGCGTCGCGGACGGATCGCGGCCGCCGCTGTCGTGTCTGGACGTGAACGAGACGCGCGGCGGCGGTGGAGTCCGATCGGAATCGGGTTGGGACGACCGCGCGCGCGTCGCGACGCGGACGCTGCGGAAGATCGCGGAGGTCGCGGACGCCGGGTTCTGCGCCGCGAGCTTGACGCGGACGTACGATAAGGCTGAGCTCGAGCGCGAAGCGAGAGAGATGAAGTTGAGGAGGGAGAAGAGCGGGGGCGAAGCGGGGGAAGACGCCGCGGTCGTGGTGTGTCCGCCCGTGGAGAACGTCGAAGACTCGAGAGAAGAAGACGAGGACGACGAGGACGACGAGGACGACGAGGACGACGAGGACGAGGAAGCGCTCGCGACGGCCATCGCGCGGTTAGAGTTGACGCTGGACCCGTGGTGGATAACCACGCGGACGGTGTTCGCGAACGCGTACGACGTGTCGCAGTGGGAGACGCGACTCGCGGCGCCGCCGCCCGGGAACGACGCCCCCGAAAGCAGCGGCGTGCCGCGCGAAGAACGCGTCGGCGGCGCCGTCTACGCCAAGCTGTCGCGGTTCAACCACTCGTGCGCGCCCAACTGCACGTGGCACTTCGCGCCGCCGGGGTCGGCGGACTCCCCGGTCTCCGTGACGGTGAAAGCGATCCGGCCGATAAAGAAAGGGGACGAGGCGACCGTGTGTTACCTGGACGCGAGCGGCGGCCGCGACGCGCGCCGGCGGCGGCTGTGGGCGGAGTACAGGTTCGCGTGCGAGTGCGACAGGTGTCAACGGTTGATTCGCCAAGGTGAAGAAAATCCAGATGACGTGGCGAAATCTCTGCCGCACGATTGGTTCCTCTCCGCGGCGGGGACGTGCGAGACGTGCGGCGGGTGGCTCGCCAAGGTGGGCGTTGAAACGCCCGAAGATGAAAAAAACTTCCCGCTCGAGGACGCGTTGCGGTGCGTCCACGGCTGCGCGCCGTCTCCCGCTGCCGCGGTCGCCGCGTCCGACGCCGTCCGCGCGCTCGTCGCGCTCGTCCACGAAGCCCGCGCCGTCATCTTCGACGATTCGGGTCCCGAACCGTCGTCAGGTGCCGAAAAAGTAACGGCCGCGACGCGGGCGTTTCGGCGGCGGTTACGAGAGGCGGAGGCGCTCGACGCGCGCGTGCACGCGTTTCACGCGACGCGGTTGGAAGCGCACGAGCTCCTCGCCGTGGCGCTGTCCATCGCCGCGAAGGCGAACATGTTCGAAAACAACAACAACAACGACGGAAATGTTGGAAACACGCCGCTTGACGTTACGATGAGACCGCTCGCGTCCGCGCTCGGCTTCGCGCTCGCGAGAGCCGCCGCGCTAGACGCGCTCGCGGCGGGGGAGCCGGCGTGCGCGGACGCCGCGGCGCGCGCGTGGATGGAAGTCAACGAGAGAGCGCTGTGGTGCGCGCAGGCCTGCTGCCTCGGCGGCGAAGAGAAGAACGATGGCGGCGGCGACGACGGCGCGGCTCTGCCTCTCGGGGACGAAGACGTCGTCGCCGCGTGGCGCGCGTGCTGCGGCGGGGACCCCGCGTTGGAGGAGGTGTCCGAGGGGATCGAATCGTGGGTGTTCGGCACAGCTCGCGGCGGCGGCGGCGGCGGCGGCGGAGGAGGAGGAGGAGGAGGGCGGAGGCTCGACGTCGTGTTCGCGCGCGCGTCCGAGCGCGCGCTGACGCGCGCGTTGACGTTACGCCCGGAGCTGGGCGCGCACTTGCGAGGCGCCGCGGAGACGCCGGTGTGACGCGGGCTTAGACTACACGTAGGCAGTGAAGAGAAACTTCACTGATCAGCTTCAAAAGAACGGGACTTCACGCGCGCAGCTGTCGACCGATCGCGATCAGATCTCGAGTCGCGCGGTCGCGTCGCTCGATCGTCTCGTCATGACCGCGGCCACCGCGGATCCGAACGGCGGCGGCCTCACGGACGAGCAGGCCGCGGTGTACGACCGTCAGCTCCGCGTCTGGGGCGTGGAGGCGCAGAAGCGGATGGGCGCGAGCACGTTTTTCGTGCTCGGGGATCTCGACGGCGTCGCCGCGGAGGCGTGCAAGAACATCGTGCTCGCGGGCGTCGGCACGCTGAGGATCTGGGACAACGGGATGGACGCGTACGACGCGAACGCGCCGCCGGGGAACTTTCTCGCGACGGCGGGGGCGGCGGGGAAGGCGGCGGGGAGGTGCGTCCATCGATCGATCCGTCCGCTAAGCGCTCCTCGCGAGATCGCGTCCGTCGCACGTCGCTCGCTCGATCTGGGCATCCCATCTTCTTCTCATCTCACGCGTCGTCCTCCCTCCCTCTCTCCCTCCCTCCCTCCCTGGGCCCTCCCTTCGCTTCGTCCTCAGCATCACCGTCGCGCGCGCGATGCGCGACACGCTCCAGGAGATGAACCCGTTCTGCTTCGTCGAGTGTCGCTCCGATCCCGGCGTCGCGCTTCCGAGCGCGCCGCTGATGGATGTGGAATTCCGCGCCGGCGTCGACGCGGTGCTGTACTCCGGCGCTTCGCTATCGGACGCGATCGAGATCAACGCGTCGTGCAGACGCGTTGGGCCCGGCGGCGTCGCGTTCTTCCACGCGCACTGCCGAGCGTCCACGGCGCACTTCTTCGTCGACCTCGGGGACGCGTTCGAGCACGCGCCGGACGCGGCGCCGGGCTCAGGCGCGTTCTATCTCACACTGGTCCCCATACGACCCCGTCGGCGTGGTGAACGCCGATCCTTAAGGACTTTTCCCGGCGTGTCTCTGCGCCCATCCAATGCGTTCAATCCCCGCCCTCGACGCCTTTCAACTCCGCTTCTGACGCCTTTCAACTCCACCCCGACATTCGCTTCGTATGGAACGACCCTCAGGAAGCGAAGTAAAAGAAAAAGAAAAGGAGGAGACGGACGCGCCGCCGCCGGCGCCGACCGCGGTCGCGTCGTACGTGCCTCTCCGCGACGCGCTCGCGGCGAAGTGGAGCTCCATGGGGAACGGCCGCGAGGGCGGACTGCGGCGCGTGAACAAGGCGGCGGGTGCGTTTCTGCTCTGCGCCGCGTTCGAGACGCGAACCGGGCGACGGCCTCTCGCGGCGGACCTCCCGGAGCTTTTGGACGGCATCGCGGACGCGGAGCGCGACAACGGCGTGAAGCCCGGGTGGCTCCCGCCGAGCGTCGTGGAGGAGCACGTCGGACGGGAGCTCGGCGCGGGCAGCGGGCATTCCGCGTCGCCGGCGGTGGCGGCGATCGTCGGGGGGGTCCTCGGGCAGGAGGCGCGTTCTATACACTGGTCCCCATACGACCGCGTCCGCGTGGTGAACGCCGATCCTTAAGGACTTTTGCCGGCGCATCTCTCCGCCCAGGGTCCCTCGCTTTCAATACCCGCCCTCGACGCCTTTCAACGCCATCTGACGCCTATGAACTCCACCCCGACGTTCGCTCGTATGGAACGACCCGGAGTTGCTTCGCGCGGCGACGCGGAAGGGGACGCCGGTGAGGAACGCGTTCTTCTTCAGCGCGGCGACGAGTCAGGGCGCGGTCGAGTGCATCGGGTGCGCGGATTGAGCGAGCGGCGCGATAGATAGACGGATGGACGAGAGCGAAGCGAATCGAAGCGAATCGTCGAATCGAATCACGCGCGACGACGACGGAACTACTAGGGACTACTTCTGTAGCGGTTACTCGATCATCGCCGCGACCGGGGCTCGGTTGAGCTTCTTCCCGTTGTCCGGCGGCGCCATCCCCGCGGCGGCCTCCGCGTCCCCTTGCTCGTGCGGCTTCGGCCCGTTCAAAACCCGTTTCCTGTCCCGTTTGTACTGCTTCGTCTTCTGATGCCTCGCGAGCGCCTCCGCGGACTCGAAATGCCGTCCGGTGAAGACGTCGTAGTGCTGCCCGCCCCCCGGCAGATCCTCGTTCCACGGCTGGTTCGCGTCCCCTCTGATCATCGCCTCCATGCTGCTGATCTCCCTCGCCTTGTTCCCCGCTCCGCCCTGGTTCTTCGGCGTCCCGTCCGCGTTCACGTGCTTATGCACCGCCTTGTAGATGACGTCCGCGTGCGGGAGCTCGAACTGCGCGCGTCGCAGGCGCTTCGTGGCGTACCCGACGCGGTTCTTCTGGCTGGACGTCTTCTTACCGCCCCCGGTGGGACATCGTCCCATGTCGACGGCGGGCGCGTTCCTCTTTCCGCGCGGCGCGCGAGGAGCGAATGCGGCCGTCTCGGAACGTTCGGCGGCGGAAAAAGAATGTCTGGTTGCGGCGGGCGCATAATCTGACGCACGCAGTGAAGAACGAAAGGTGTCGGCGAGGCGCGTCGCGACGATGAATACGATACGTGTTACGTTGCGATAACAAACCAAACATTACCCGCGGAGGGAAAACCCTTCTCCTCCTCCTCCTCCTCATCAAACTCTTCGCCCTTAATCAAAACTTCACCACCATCGCGTCCCTTCCCGGTCCGACGCCGAGGTAACGACACTCCACGCCGCACAGCTCTTCGATCCTCTCGACGTACCCCCTGCACCCCGCCGGAAGATCGCCGTACGCGCGAACACCCGAGATGTCCTCGTCCCACCCCGGGACCGTCTCGTACACCACCTCCACGCTCGCGAGGTCGTCGATGTCCCCCGGGAACGCGGTCGTGACCGTCCCGTCCGGCATCTTATACCCGACGCCGATCTTCAGGGTCGTTCCATACGAAGCGATGTCGGGGTGGAGTTGAAAGGCGTCAGATGGAGTTGAAAGGCGTCGATGGCGGGGATTGAAAGCGAGGGGTGGGCGGAGAGAGACGACGGGCAAAGTCCTTAAGGATCGGCGTTCACCACGCCGACGCGGTCGTATGGGGACCAGTGTATAGAACGCGCCTTCAGCTCCTTCAGACCGCTCAGCACGTCGAGCTTCGTCAAGTTTATGTGCGTGAACCCGTTGATGGTCGTGGCGTAGTTCAGCGCGACGACGTCCAGCCACCCGATCCTGCGCGGTCGCCCCGTCGTCGTCCCGTACTCGAACCCTTTCTCGCGGAGCTCGTCCGCGAGGTCGCCGAAGAGCTCCGTGGGGTACGGCCCCGCGCCGACGCGCGTCGTGTACGCCTTGGCGACGCCGATCACCGTCTCAAACTTACTCGGCGCGAGGCCCAACCCGGCGCAGACGCCGCCGAGGCTCGGGTTCGACGACGTCACGAACGGATACGTCCCAAAGTCGAGGTCGAGCATCGTCGCGTTCGCGCCCTCGACGAGGACGCGCTTGCCGGCTTTGTGCTCCTCGTTGACGAGCGCGACGGTGTCCGCGATGAACGGGATGATGCGTTCCGCGTACTTTTTATACGCCTCGATCTCCGCGTCGACGTCGTACTCAAACTCCGGGAAGCGCGAGGCCGCGTCCGCGGCGAGGAGCCTCAAATTCGCCGCGAACTTCTCCGGGTTGCGAATGTCCCCGACGCGCACGCCGTTGCGCGTCGCCTTGGACGCGTACGCCGGCCCGATGCCTCGTTTCGTCGTGCCGATCTTGTTCCCCGAGAGCTCCGCCTCTCGCAGCCCGTCCACCTGCGAGAGGCGATGTCGGGGTGGAGTTGAAAGGCGTCAGACGGAGTTGAAAGGCAACGCGGGCGGGGATTGAAAGCGAGGGGTGGGCGGAGAGAGACGCCGGGAAAAGTCCTTAAGGATCGGCGTTCACCACGCCAACGCGGTCGTATGGGGACCAGTGTATAGAACGCGCCTCCTTGTGAAGGTCGAAGAGCATGTGCGCGCGGTCGGAGATGCAGAGCCGGCTCGGGTCGATGGCCACGCCCGCTCTCTCGAGCGTGTCGATCTCCTCGAACATCCCGGGGAGGTGCACGACGACGCCGTTGCCCACGACGCATTTGCACTTTTCGTTGAGGATGCCAGAGGGGACGAGATGGAGCGCGTACTTCTTGCCGTCGTCGTCGTAGATGGTGTGGCCCGCGTTCGCGCCGCCCTGGCATCGCGCGACGATGTCGTACTCCTGTCGTCGGTCGAGGTCGCGGGCGAGGATGGATGGGGTCGACGGGGGCGCGGGGGTCGTGAGTTCGGGTTCGGGTTCGGGTTCGGGTTCGAACGGAGGGAGGGTCCGAGAGGAGCGAAAAAAACGAAACGCGCGCGGCCGCCGCGATCACGACGGTCGATCCTTTAGGTCTAGGTTTCCGCCGCGGCCGCGCGCGCGTCGCGATCGCGGGTCGGAGGCGCGTCGCGCGCGAGACGCGCGATCGATCGTCCCCCGGAAACGCCGAGAGGACCCGCGCGCGACGACGCGGGCGATCTCGAGCGACGCCGCCGCCCGACGCGGTCGCGGCGTCGAGCCGCGAACGCCCGATCGGAGAATCGATCGCAAATCGCGAGAGAGACGCGCGGAGCGAGCGCGAGAGAGACGCGATGCCGCCGACGACGCGACGCGACGGAGCGCGCACCTGGGCGAGGATGTCCACGAGCTTGCCCTTGCCCTCGTCTCCCCACTGCGACCCCAAGACCGCGCAGACGGAACCGAGGGTGTTCCACTCCTCCTTGTTCTTCTGGAGGACGTCCGACTGCTCCGCGACAGCCTTGCTCGTCGTCGCGACGCGCTGGCGGTGATGATGCCGCCGCGTCGACGCCGGCGCGCGGAAGCGCGTCGCGAGGCGCGCGCCGAGCGCGACCGGGGCGACCGCCGTGACGGCGCTCATGATGGCGTTAGGGAGGGGGGGGGTGCTGCGCGTGACACGCGAGAGGCGCCGACGCCGGGTGGACGCGCGCGCGCTGGAGTGCAACGGGAGGAGCGCGTCGTCCGCGACACGTGCGCGCTCGGCCGCCGCTGCGGTCGTCCGTTCCAGTCACTGCTGTGACGATGACGCTGACGCCCGGCCGCGCCCTCTTTCAGTTTGGAAATATCCACGGAAACGAGAGTGCTCTGGGGCGCGCGCGCGGGTTCGGCGGCGTCACAACGACCCGCGCGTCGCATCTCGCGCACGCGGCGGCGCGTGCATCAGAGAAGACCGAGCGCGCGTCCTCGCGTCGTCCGCGCGCGCGTCGAAGTCGTCGCACCGCGAGGCGGGCGCGACAGAGGGCGCGCCCATTCTCGCGATAAAATTCATCGTGTTATTAGCAGCGGATTATAATCCCCCGCCGAGCCGAACGTTCCGAGACAGAACGAAGCCCGCCACAGAACGATGAGCAGCATGAACGACTACTTCCGCTCGTCCAAGTCGTCGACGCCGCCGAACAGCGCGGGGAAGACGGTCACGCACGGGCCGGTGCCGCCCGCGCCGAAGAAGAAAGCGCCGACGCGATCGAGGGTGGGAGATCCGGAGTTGGACGCGACGAAGCGGAGACTGGATTTCATCGACGACGACGACGACGACGACGCGGCGGAACGCGAGGGGAACGAAACGCGCGCCGTCGCGGACGCGCCGACGACGAAACGCTGACGCGCGTCGACTGTGCGAACGTCGACGTCGTGCATCCCGTAGGCGCACGTAGCGATAGAGATGTGATAGGACGAGAAGGGACCTTACTCCGGTCGCTCGCGCGCGCGGACGCGATCAGTCAGAACGAACAGTCTAGCTAGAGTCTACGGTTCGCCCCGCCCCCGTCACTCCCCCAGCAGCTCCCTCGGGATCTTCCGTCCCATCCGTCGCCTCACGACGACGTCAGGCAGCGCGCACGATCCCCCCTCGCCCTTCCTCCCGAAGACGACGTGCCGATACCGCGCGACGACGTCGTACGCGCCGTCTCGGACCCGTCTCGGGACGAGCGCTAATCCCGCCCACCCCAGCGTCGACAGCGGGAGCCCGAGCGCTGTTAACGCCCTCAGGATCGCGGTCGACTTGACGTGCGTCTTGATCCTGTCGTCCTTCGCGACTTCCGCGCGCGCGTCGTGCTCCACGAGGACGATCGTGGAGAGGTCCATCGGCGCGTTCGCGCGTCGAAGCACCGCGCGCCCTTCCTCGGATTGCTGCGTCGCGAAGAGGACCACGCCGCGCGCGTCGAACGCGGAGACGAACCGCGCGAAGCCGTCGCACAGGACGCAGTCGCCGTCGACGAGGACGACGGACGTCTTCGACGACGTCGTGGGTTCGCCGGGCGAGCGCGCCGCCGCGGGCGGCCCCATCGCGCGCGAGACGAGTGATGAATGCGAAATCTATTTCTCGTCTCGGAATAAAAAACTTCAACGACGGCACTCGTGGGAGGGAAGCGACACGGGGGCGGGAGGCGGGGACTCGAACCGACGCGTGTTTCGCTAATCGCTTTAATTCCAATCACAAAAATACACCGGCGGGGGCGTCGTTGCGCACGGTTCCGACCCCGCCGGACTAATACGTCTATCGTCGTGAATACGTTATTTCCTTCGCGACGGCCGCGAGCGACCCTCCGCGTCGCCGCGCCGTCGGTGGGTTTTTTTTTTCCTTCTCTTTCTTCGCTTCTCTTCTCTTCTCAATCGTTGAGCGCGCAGAGCAAAGCGACGCCCTGCAGCACCCAAAAGTCGCTGTCCGTCCCCGGCTTGATCGGCAGCCCGACGCACAGCACAAAGTTCGTGGACTGCCCCGTCGTGGACAGAATCCCAGCCCGCACCGACGTCTTATACAGCGGGCACTGGTACTCCTTCGGATCCGCGGGCGCGAGCAGCGGCGGCGGGTTGTGATGCTGCACCGGGATGAAGTGCACCACGGGGAGATCGCTGCACATGATCCCCGGCTCGCTCTCGTCGAGGTACTTCTCCGCTCGGTTCCACCGCGCGTTGTCCACGAACAGGCCGTCGATCAAGACGCCGTCTTCAGGCGCCGCGACGACGTCCTCCGGCGTCTCCACCCCGTCCAGCACCTCAAAGGTGAAGTTCAACGAGTCAATCGGCTGCGCGTACTTCCTCGCGTGCGTCTGTAACACCCCGGTCATGAACCCCTGCGGGAAGAAGAACCCGGGGAGCCAGTACGTCTTCGGGTTGCCTTGCCGCAGCCACGTGTGCACGAACTCGATCCTGCGGTGGTAGTCCGCGATCCAGCCGCCGAGGGGCTTGAGCGACGGATACGCGGCTTTTTCCCACACGCCCGGGACTTGGTTGTTCAGAAAGTTGGTGTACATCTGCTCGAGCTCGCCGGACATGACGACGACGCCCTTGATCGCCTTCTGAAGCTCCGCGAGGGACGCGATGACGATCGTCGTGAGGTTGTTGAACCGCTCGATCTCTTGACCGAGGACGACGGACAGGGATTTCAACTGCCCGGTGTCCGTGCGATCGAAGAGGCCGAACGCGGCTTCGTCGAGGGACATCGGCGTCGCGATGGACGCGGCGAGCTCCTCGGCGAGCGCGGCGACAACCTCGTCCGGCGATCGCCCACCCTCCGCGGCGGTCGCCCTGGGTTGTATGGACAGCACCGCGTCCATCATCTTCTTCGTCTCTTGCATCTGGAACGTGATGTTCGCGTTCGGGTGCATGCCGAAAACTTCCGGCGCCTCCGTCAGCGGCAACGCGTTCACGAAATCCCGCACGCTCTTCAGATCCCCCTCCGGCGGCGCGTAGTACGTCCCACTCGGCGTGAACCGGTACGAGTCTTCCAACAGAGCGCTGACGTAGTACTTCTTCAGGTTGCACATCAGACAGCGACGGTCGAGGTCGTCCGTGACGCGCCCGCCGTAGTTGATCTGACCCGTCACGTACACGAGCGCGGCCCACGGGATTTGGTCCTGCTCCTCCAGAAACATCTTCAACGTGAGCATGGAGCACTCGATGTCGGACGCGTTGAACTCGTACCGGATGTTCCACCCGAGCGGACCGAATTTCCTTCGCTCTTGAATCACCGCGTGGAAGGTGCTGAGCGCGTACATGAGCTTCTTGTACGGCGCCGGCTTCGAGCACGACTCCCACTGCTCGTCGTTGATGTCGTTAAACGTTCGCTTCATGTTCGCGCGCACGCCCTTCGGGGGCTCGTTCGTGAGCTTAATTCCGTTCTGGAGGACCAGCGTGGGGAAGATGTCCGCGGGCATGGACGTGAGCCACAGGCGATGTTCGTCGTGGATCTGCTGCTGCGGCGACGACATCGCCGCGACCAGCCGCTCCAGGGATAACATCCACGACTTGGCGAGGTGACAATTCTGGAGGCACACCCAGTCGCCGGTGCTCTGCCCGCCCGCGACGAGCGCCTCCGCGACCGGCCCTTGCCCTTGCCCCAGCGAACAGATGTGCAATCGCTCGCCCGGGATCCACCCCATCTTCGTCGCGAACCGCTGAAGCATCGCGGTCGGGTCCGCGCCCGTGGAGAGGATGAAGATGATGGGCGTCCGCGCGTTGGTATCCGGGAACACGTCGTCCAACGTCCACGGCGGCGCCTCCGTGAACGCCTCCCCGAGCTCGACGCCGACGTACTGCTGCGCGCTCGAGACGGCGGTCTCCTCGCGGAAGAACTTCACGACCGCGAGCTTGACGAACGGCGTGAGCTTGTCGTCCCAACCGCGCGGGAGCGGCGCCTCGAACGGGGCGTCGGATTCCGCCCAGGCTCGGAACGCGTCCGAGTCGGACGCGAGGTCAGCCGCGAAGCCGTTTAAGACGTGAGAGAGGTCCTTCTCGAGGTACGCGATGTTTCTCCACACCGCGTCCGTGGCCCACTCGATCGGCTTGGGCGGGGCTTCGTAGTTCAGAGGCGTGCCGCGGAGGAACACGGACCACTCGCGCGGCTCGATTTTCATCCGCGCCGGCGCTTTGTCCTCTTCCTTTTCGTCGTCGGAGGAGGAGCCCTCCGCAGCCGAGTCCGCGGCCGCGTCCTCCGCCGGCGGCGCGTCCGAGGCGGATTTCTTCACCGGCGACGACGCCTTCGAGCCTCCTTCGCCTTCCTCGTCGTCCTCCTCCTTCGGCGGCTCGACCTCCGCGGCGCGCAGAATGCTCGTGCACAAGAGGAACGAGAACAGAAGCTTGTGCTCTTCGAACAACCCGCGGCACACGGCTTCAAACATAAACTGCGTCGTGTACGCCATCAAGTTCGTCAGGCGCTCGTCGAGCTCGTCGCTCGGCTCGCTGTTATCGATGCACAGGTTAAACAGCCGCATGAAGTACGCGAGCGAGTACTGGTACATCGGACCTATGAGCGCGAGGTCGGCGATGACAAAGTACAGGATGGAGCCGCGCGTCGCCGCGGCTCTGTACGTCTCTCGCGTCTCGTTGATGTTCTTTTCCGTCTCCTCGGCTTCGATGAGGCGGCCGCTGATCATCCCGGAGGTGATTTTACTGTTGTTCAGCGTGTCGATGAGGTCGACGTCGTCCAGGATGTTCCCTTCGGACTCTTTCAGGAGCTTTAAGATTTTGTCTTCCAAATCCTTGAGCTGCTTCTTATCGTTTGAAATGGACACGACGAGCCGGTCCTTCGCCTCCTCGAGGTCCGGGCGTTCCTTCCTCACGACGTCGCCCAAGAGCTGATCCTCCAGACCTTTGATCGTCACCGTGAAGTTGATGATCGTCACCTTGATGCAAATCTCGGGGAGGTAATGCGGGTTCGGCATCTTCGACGTGAGATAAAACTTGAAATTGGGATCGTAGTCCACGTCCGTGTCCCCGAGGCGAATCAACGTCCGGCCGTTCTGCGTGAAGACCGCCTTCTGAAGGATCGGCTCGAGCGCGGGGTCCAGCGTCTCGCCGATGTCCTCCACGAGCACCGGCGTGCCGATGCGAATGGAAGACTCGAGCGTGCGCAGGTAATTGGCGTCGGTGAGCTTGATAACCTTGAGCGCGTTTTTCGTCTCCATCGCCTTGATCCACGAGTTCGCCTGGTTCTGCGGGTCGATCATCAGCGGCCAGCGCTTCCCTCGCGTGACTAAGATGCCGTTGTCGATGGACACGTTGTCCGTGGGTAAACCCCAGATGTTCCAGTCTCGGACTTCGACCGGGGACGCGAGCGTGCCGCGCAGCGTGCAGTCGTCGCTCACGGGGATCTGGAGCTCTTTACACCGCTGGACCCACTTATCGACGAGCTCGTTCCTGTACGCGCCCGTGAACGCGCCAAAGTACGCGATGCATGCCGCGGAGAGGAACACGTCGCCGACGAGCAAGTCCGTCTGGTGCTTTAAGTCCTCCGCGGTGTCTTTCCAGCGGACTTGCTCGTCCGCGAGACCGCCGGTTAATTTCTCCGCGCGAATCAATCGATTCTCTGTGAGCACCGCCTGGTCCGCGAGCGATTGCTTCTCGTCTTGCGCGTCTTGCAACGCCTTCTCGAGCCGCGCGACGTTATCTTGCACCGCTTTGAGCTTATCCTGTTTCTCTTTCAGCTGAGCCATCGTCTCCGCGAGGGAGTCTTTCGCAGCCTGGAGCGCCGCCTTCTTCGGCTCGACGAGCTTCGCGACGCGCGAGTACACGTGCATCGCCCGCGTCCACATGCACAGACTCATCGCCGCTTTCGATTGCCGCTGCACGCTCTCGGGGGTGTAGTCCGGGTTCTCGACGTACACCGTGAGCTTCTTCATCACGCTGGCCTTGATGTTGTCCTTGTCGTAATCGAACAGCTCTTGCATGAACGTGCCGCGGGAGAGAACCTTCTTCGCGGTCTCCCAGTCTGGTTTCTCGCCCAAGAGGATGCACACGGCTTCCATCGTGAGCTGCACGAGCGGCGGCGGCTTCGGGAAGCCCTTCACCTCCGTGATGTCGCCCTTATTCAGCGCGTTGAGGGACTCCACGGCAGCCTCGAGCGCGGGCATGGCTTCGTCGAGGTCCGCTTGCGCGTCCGCGGCGATTTCCTCCGTCTTACGCGCCTGCTCTTTCGCGACGGCTTCTTCTTCGCCAACCTTCTCCTCGACGATCGCGGCGGCGGCTTTATCCTTGGCGACGTCCTCGATCAAGATCGCGGTCGCCGCGGATTTCTCCTCGAGCACGGGACCGAGAGCGGTGAGCTCAACCTGGAGCGAGTCCACGACCGCGTTCGTCTCGTCGAGTTTTTGTAAACCGTTTAGGAGGCGATCGCGCGCGGTGCCGAGCTCTTCGCGCTTCTCCGCGAGCAACGACGTGTACAGGTTGATCAGGTCGAGGTAGGACTTTGGGGTGGTGTAAAACTTCCTTCGGAGCTCTTGGAAGAAACGGTCGGACGTTTCCGTTACGCTGACGTGGATGTCCACGCACATCGCGGCGACCGCGTCGTTCGCCTCCGGCGTCCCCAGATCCACCGTCGACAAGAACCGCTTAGAGACGGAGTTCAGCGCCTCCGCGGGCCACTCCATGTACCAGTCGATCGTGCAGCAGTTAATGAGCGACGGGAACTGGCGGCATCGCGAACGGAACGCCTCGCCGACGGGGGACATGCACAGGATGATGTGCAGATTGTCCCTGACGCGGTTGATAAACGTCGAGTACAAGACGTCCTTCGTCGCCGGGAGTCCCAAGCTCTCGACGTACGGCCGAATGTCCGACATCAAGCGTTCTTTCTCGTCCTGCGCGAATAGACCGGGAACCTCGCCGCTGTTGAGGATGTTGTTTATGTCCTCCACGAACGACTCCGTGACGATCATCGTGTCCGTGAACAAGAAAACCGTCGGCGTGCCCTGAATCCCGGCTTGGACGTAGAGGGATTTCAAATCTTCGCGGAACTCGCCGAGGCCGAACCCGCGCGTGAGCTCGATGCTGAAGCACTTAAACCCAGCCATGAACGTCGCGAACCGCGTCAGGGACTGCTTCCCGCTGCCGCCGACGCCGACGAGCATCGCGTTCCCGCGCGGTTGGCGAAGGATGCGCGCGATCCTCGTCGCGTGCTCCGCGGCGTCCGCGAAAAAGACGAGATTCATCGCGTTCGTGCTCGAAACGTTGTAATCCTCGAGGACGTCCTCCATGATCTTCGTCATCGCGTCGAAGTCCGTGGCTTCTTGGTACACGCGATCTTCCGGCTCCGTGCCGGGGACTAAGAAGTCGCCGAAGATGATGTTGCGTTCTTCGAACAGCTGCGCGTAATTTGGCCCGCCGTTGAAGTTTTTCTTCACGAGCTCGCCGCACATCTTCTTGTAGTAGTTCTTGTCCTCGATGCTTATGAGGCGGTCGTGGAACACGCGCATGGACTCGTGCACCCACAGACGAATCATGACCTCTTTCTGTTTGCAGTTCTCCGGGGTCACGAGGAGTAAACCTTGCATCACCTTGCTTAAATCTCGCAGGTTGAACGTGTAGTGCGACTTCGCCGGCGTCGGGAGAAGCTCCTCGCTCATCCTTCGGTACACCTCCACGGACGAGCTCACCACGGGCTTGACCATGTCGTGGAAGTCCCGCGGGAAGTCCTGTAAGAACCCGTTGAAGATCGCGCCGAGAATCGTCTTCATGCTGTCGTCCGACGGCGGTGGCACGTTCAGCATGTTGAAGTGCCTGAAGAAACGCGGGGTGACCTCTTGGCGTCCGCCGCCCGGGGGCGCGCACGCGGAGACCAGAGTCGTGTCCTCGATGTCCTTCCAGTACAGCTTCTTGCGGTCGTAGAACCCGCGGAAGTCCTGGAACTGCCTCAGGAGCTCCACGGGCGGCTGCGCGCCGTACGTCTCCCGCGCGGGCATGTTCACGTCGTCGACGAAGAGAACGACTTTTTTATTCGGCGGAGCGCCGAATTTCGTCTTTCGCTTCTTCTCGAGCTTGGACTCGATCAACAGCTGCGTGTCGTACGCGGGCGTCTGCGCGCTGAAGTTGATGATGACGTTCACGAGACCTTTCTCTTCCTGCGATCGCTGCAGGTAGTCGGTGATGATGACCGACTTCCCAACCCCGGAGCCGCCGACGAGGAGCAGGCTCTTGTTTACTTCGAGGCACGTCTGCAGCAAAAACGAAAACCGCGTCGTGTCCACGTTCGGGACGAGGAGCTGGAAGTACGGCACGGACTTGCTGTAGTTGAACGGCTGCACGACGTCGTTCCACGGCGCGAACTTCCCTTTCGGGGCGTCCTTATCCTTCGTGATGACGTACCAGTCGTACACGGTGCCCTTCGTGGGTAAGTTGCCCACCTCCGGGAGCTTCTCGAGTAAAACCTCGCGCGTCCACTCGTCAAAGGCGTAGTAACACTCCGCGTCGACGTTCCCGCCGATGCTCCACACGTACGAGAACAAATAAATCTTCGCGAGCTTGCTGTGAAGGAGCTGCGGGTCGTCCGCGAAGTCCACGCCCTTTTCGGGCTGCATGAGCGACTTGAACAAGAACGTCAGCGACGTGATCAAGTTGATGTCCACCGTCGGGATCCCCTCTGTGAGCTTTTTCCTGACAAACTTGATCCCCACGTCGATCGTGTTCTCGAACATCTCGAGCATCCACGCTTTCGTTTCGTCCGTCATCGCCTCCGGGAGCTGCGTGTTCGCCCACGTCGTGACGTACGGGATCCACCCGAGCTCCTCGGGGGGAACGTAGACCATCCCGCATCGGGAAACCGTCGCCGGGGACGCGACGGCTAAATCTTGCACCTCGAAGAGCATCCGCATCGTGTGCGGGTTGAGCTTGATGCGCTCGCCGTTCGGGAGACACAACACGCAGTTGTCGTCCAACACCGTGTTCATGTTCTCGATCCAGATCGCGTCTACGGGGCCGTCGAAGACGACCCATTTTTTCTCCATCGTCGGGTCCGCGACGGCGTTGCGAATCAACGTCGAGCCGAGGCCGTCCGTCCACTCGTTCGTCATGAGGTTGTACTCGCCGTAGAGCTCGCCCATCTTGATGCACTTCGGGTTAAACACGTACGTGTGTATCTTCTGGAACGACTCGTTCTCGTGGCCTTCCTCCCGAAGGCGCGTCAGCGCGGACTTGAGCATCCGGTAGCACGTCGTCTTCCCGCCGCCGGTGGGGCCGACGAGCATGACGCCGAAGCGAACGTTAAACGTCTCGTACAGCTGTACGACTTTGACGACAAACTTGTGCACGTTCTGAAGCGTCGCTTCCTCTAACGACGTGATGATCGCCTTCTCGAGGTCGCCCGCGTCGTTCTCGGGGACGACGACGCCGGGGAATAAATCGCCGACGATCGCTTCGAATAACTCCGCGTCCTCGGATAAAAATTTCGGCAAGTTTGAATCGCGCATCGCGCGAATGAGCACGACTTGCTCGTCCAGATCCGGGGACCCGCGCTTCAGGGCGCCAGCCATGACGAGCACGGACTTGAGCGCGCGCATGCCAAAGTCGTAGTGGTCCTGCTGCGACAGCTGCTCGCTCGACAGCTTGTACAGCTTCACCATCTTCCGCGACAAGTCTTTCGACGTCTCGAACCCCTCGCTGAAGAGCATCACCTCCGCGACGAGCGCATAATCCGGAATCATCATCGCCATCGGTCGGAACAGCGCCTTCAGGTTATCCGGGAGCTCCGTGCGGCCGGCGTACCCGGGGTTCATCGTGATGAACACCGCGAACGAGTGCTGGAGGCGCATGTCGCGGCCTTCGAAGTTGAACCGCGTCAGCTGCGCCTTCATCGCGTTTTGAATCGTCAAGAGCTGCTGCGCGACGACGGATAAAACCTCGATGTCGATCCTGTTGAACTCGTCGAAGCACGCCCACGCGCCGCACTGCGCGAGCCCGGCGAAGAACTTCCCCATGAACTTGAAGTCCAAGTTATCGCCGCAGTTGAACACGACGCACTGAACCCCGAGCGCTTTCCCGAGATCTTTCGTGGACTCGGTCTTCCCGGTGCCCGCGGGACCGGCGGGCGCGCCGCCGAGTTTTAAGTGCATCGCCCCGGTCAACGTCATGTAACAGCGATCCGTCATCGGCGTCACGACGAGGCGCGACTGCGCGCCGAGGTACTCGTACGCGTACGTGAACATGCTGTTCGTCTGTCGTATGTACACGACGTCCTCTTCGTCGTTCCAGTAATACCGCAACTGCATCTGCCAGTTGAAGTCGTTCGTGCTCTCGGTTTTTTCGTTGTACAGCTCCTCCGTGATGTCGCGCGCGTGGACGTCTATCGTGATCAACGCGGCGATGATCTTGCGGTGCAAGGACGTGAGGTGGCCGCGGACGACGACGGTCATGTCTTTCAAGTCCGAGCGGTTGCTCTCGAGCCACTGATGCATGTTTTCCACGGGCGAGGACGACTCGAGCGCGTTCACGACGCCGCGGCACCAATAAATTTGCGAAACCGCGATGACGATTTGCGCGGGCTGCTTTAGCACCCACTTCGTCCTCTCCTCCTTCGGGTAGCTCAAGTACGAGTCCTTGCCTTGGCGCTTCAGCGACGTCACCATCGCGGCCTCGACCGCGCTGAGCCACTGCTCCACGTTCCCGCGCGCTTTGAGGTTCTTTCCTAACCCGACGCGCTCGCCTTCGCCGGAGAACATCGCGTAAATGTCCACGCTCTTCGGGTCGTCTCCAAAGTCTAAAGATTTGATCCCGTCGAAGCACTTGGACATGTGCGGCTGCACCGCTTGGACGTTCTTCGTCTGCGCTAATATTTCTAAGAGCTCGTCGTTCGAGAGGAAATAGAAACGCGGGAACGCCATGCGTTTCGTCTCGAGGTATTCCTCCAAGTTTTTCTGGATGCGGTCCAGCGTCTCGGACGCTTTTTGAAACGACGCCAGGTATCCCGGCGTCGTCCCCGCCTTGAGCGCGTTGTCGTTCTCCCGCGTCTTCCGCATGATGTCCTTGTACTGCTTGTCCACCGCGAAGAACTGCTTCGCCTCCGTGGGGAGCTGCCGCTGGATATCCGGCGCGCTGAAGATGGACTCGAGGTACATCCAGTTCTTTTGCACGTTGAGCCACTCGTCCAGGGTTTCGCCGAACAAGTTCAGGCTCTTCTCCACCTTCTCCACCTCGGTGCGAATCCCCGCGACGAAACGCGAGGACATGATCGTCGCCATCGTGACCTGGGAGTCCTCCAGCGCGGTCGTGATCTCCTCGATGCTGCCCAACACGAACGTGTCTTTGGTCTCTTTGTACGCGACGCAGGAGAAACAAATATCGTCCCACTTGGAAGTCACCTTCACTAAGAGCTCCTCGAGCGCGGACTCTTGCGTCGCCTCCACGGACACCTTCGCGATCTCTTCCGAGAAGTCCGGCGCTTTCATGTCCAGAATTTTCTGCAACGTGAAGTTGTCCTCGCGGTCGAACTGCCCGATGATGTCCATGATCTTGTCCCAGTGCCTCGGCTTCATCGACTTGTTCAGAAGCGCGTTGATCACCGGAAGCATGTTCTTGTAGTTGTCCACCTTCTCTTTGAACTTCGGCACGACCTGGTTCGGCGGGAGCCCCCTCTCGAGCTTGACGCACAGCTTGACGTACTTTTGAACAATCTCGTCCATGGACGCCATGTCGATCTGGTCGAAGAGAGACTCCGCCCACGACTCCATGTGCTTGTCGAACTCGATGTCGCTGATCCACAGCGACCGCTTGAGCTCGACATCCGTGGCCACCTCGGCGAGGTCTTGAAACTCGCTGACGGACACGCCGAAGATGTTTTGGTAGTCCGCGATGTTCTTCGCCTGCACTTTCTGCGTGTTCACCTTCTCCGTGAGGTCGGTCATGTACGCGATCACGCTCTCGCGGTCGGCGTCGATGTCTAGGATCATCTCCGCGTTGGCCTCTCGCTTGAGCTCGCTGAGTTCTTTCGAGATCTCCTCCACCTTCGAGTCGAGCTCTTCGCTGAACCGGCCGATGTTCTCGTCCTTCGCGGTCTCCGCCTCCTCGAGCACGGTCTTCAGGTGATTGAAGTCCGTTATCAACGTCGCGAACGCGGCGGCGTCCATCTCCTTGACGGGGTACTTGAACTCGTCGATGAGGTCGTACAGGCGCGACACTTCATCCGCGTCCGCTTCGAGCTTGTCGAGCAGGCCATCCCTCAAAGACTCCGCGAAAGACATCGACGCGACGAACTCCTCCGTCGTGGAAAGCTTCGCGGTGAGCTTCGTCGTCGCGTCGTGCACTTGCGTGATGAAGTCCGTGTACATCGACGCCGCGAGCTCGGGGAGCATCTTCTTGTAATCCGCGAGTTTCGTCACCGGCGACGGCAGGAGCGTCTCTTTGAGCTCCTCGGAGTTGATCCGCACGATGCCGACGTCTGAGGTGACGTAGAACCCCTCGATGCGTTCTTTTTGGTCCAAGAACTTGATCATGTCGCGACGGAACTGATCTAACGTCACCTCGCCGTTCCTGTACCCTTCCATCATCTCCGGCAGCGAGTGTTTCCGGTTCGAGAGGAGCATGTCCTTGAACTGATCGAAGTGCCTCGCGTACTCAAGCGCGGTGTCAAAGCCAAACTTCAGCGCGCGCTTCACGCGCCGCACGATGTCCTGGTGCCGCTCGTCGTCGATGAACTCCGCGAGGTTATCGTGCCCGGTCTCGAACGGCTCCTCGCCTTCTTTCACCTTGGACATGAGCGCGTCGTCGTCCGCGAGCCTTCGAACCGCGGATAACGTCCCGACGAAATCGCCCACCGCGGCTTCGATCTCGTTCGCGTACGTCTCCACGCTCGGGGTGAACTGAAGCGTCGCGGGCGTTGGGCCGGGCGCGGCGTCGTCGCCCTCGGCGCCGCACTCGCTCGCGGCCGAAACCTCCTCGCCCCCTTCCGGTTCCGCGAGAAGAAGCTTCAGCTCAAACTGCGGCGCGACCGGGTATTTCGGCTCAAACTTGTTCAGCCTCTCTTCCTCTCTGCGGTGCTGCCGTTCCATCGCGGCTATTTTCGCGTCGTCGCGCATCTTTTGCATCTCCGCGTTTCTCTTCCCAGTCTCCGTGTTCGAAGTCCTCGCGGCGCCGACGGTCATCTTCACCATGCGCATCATCGCGATCTGCGCCCGACCTCTCGGTTTCCGTAAATAGTACGGCGGATTCGGCGTCTCGAACTGCTCCTCCGTGCACTGCCGCGTCGCCGCGAGAACGTCGGAGACGGACGATATCAGCACCTCGTGCAGCGCGTCGCAAATCATGTAATCCATCGTCTTCACGTACGACGACAGCCGCCGGCGTTGCGTTCGACGCGTCGCCGCCACCGTGTACGCGAACTGCGCGGACTCGTCCTTCCGCTGTCCTCCTCCTTCCGCGTCGCCGCTGCGCTTCGTGCCGGACAGCGTCGAGGACACCCGCGCATTGACTTTGTCGTCGATCTTCTCCGTCTCGTGCCCGACGCGATCTTCGCGGATCGCGTCGTCCTCCGCCTCGGCGCCGTAAAAATCATTCAGTCGACGCTCCAAGTCTTCCATCGCGCCGTCGCACGCGCCGTCCACGAGCGCGATCGTGTTCTCGCCAAACTCGTGGATCGTCCGTCGCATCTCTTCCCGCGCCGCCGCCTGATCCCCGCGGAACTCCTCGAGCGTTCGAATCTCGCCGACTTTGAGCTTGGAGAGCCGCGTTTCGCTGAGCTCGAAACATCGCGCCCGCACCGCGAGCGTCGCGGCTTGGAACAGCGGATCTAAACAGAACAGCCGCTTCTCGATCGCCTTCTGCGCGCGCTTCATCTTCGAGTGTCGCACGCGCCCGATCCACGTGCTGAACCCTTTCCACGGGCGAAACTTACTGAACACCTTCAGGTCGCGCATCGCGTAGAACAGCTTGTACTCGCGTTCCCACTGCTCCAGCGTCGTGAACTCCGCGTCGACGCCCTCGACGAACCGCGTGATGCCCTGCACGCTCATCGTGTAGTAGTCCGCGGGGTCCACGTCCTCATACGGCTTCATCACGAGCGCGTACGGATCGTAATCGTTCGGGCTCTTATCCAGCCGACGCAGATACACGAATTCCGTGCTGTTCGGGAATTTACGGAGCTTCGCCGCGAGCTCGAGATACTCGCCGCCGTCGCGCCTCGCCGCCGTTTCCGAGTGCCTCGCGCGCTTACGGTACGTCGATGGATCCTCCGGCACGACGAGCTCCATCGCGGAGAGCCCGCTCGGGCGCGGGGCTTTCGGGCGCGTCGAAGCTTCCCTCGGGGTGGTCGTCCGCGCCGCGAGCTGTCGCAGTCGCTCGTCGCCGGCGGCCGCCGTCGCGGGCGCGGGCGCGGTCGTCTCGTACGTCGTGACGACGATCTTGCTCTCGGGGCGGCCGCTCGAGGTCTGCGAGAGGGGGGGGGAACGCGCGCGCGGGGGGTGGGGTCAGCGGGACGGCGACGACGCGCGGAGGAGGGCGACGGCCGGGCGGAATGCCGGAAATGGATGCGCGTCGATCGATCGCGCGGAGATCGACGGGGCGTCGCGCCGCGCACCTTGCGTCCGCCCTTGTTCGCCTGCGGCCTGAGCGCGGCGCCTCCCGGGACTTTCGGCTTCGGGTAGAGCTGCCCCTGAAGCGCGTTCCGGTTCATCTTCTTCGCGGGGCTCTTCGACGGGCTCGACTGCGGGGACGACGAGGGGACGGGCGAGATGGGGCGGGCGGTCGCGTGAGACGGACGTCGTTCTACCATGTGACCGAAGCGGGCATTCCGGTCTTCTCGCGGGACGGGACGCGCGCGCGCGCGCACCTTTTCGCTCGTCGAGACCGCGGCGTCCGCCGCCGCGATCTCGTTCCCGCCTTTCCCCATCGCGCCAGACGACGTCCGTCCGCGGTCGTCGCCCTCGCGAGGTCGCGCACCGCCTCGGTCGCGCGTCTCTCAGATGACCGCTCGGGGCGGATTCAGTCGCAGGCGTAGCAGGGTGGAGTCCTGCGCGCGGGGAGCGTACGGACCCGCCGTAGTACGGAAACGCGCACGTTCTGACTGACGCGCGTACGGCGGTCGGATTCAAGCGGAAAAAAAGGCGGCGAGCGCCGATCGCGAGATTTAGGGTCGTCGTGGACGCGCGCGCGCTCCCACTCCCGACGCGCGCGCAGCACACGCGCGGTCACCCCGGCGCGCTCTTCCCGCGTAGATCGATCGATCGATCCGCGCTTCTTCGCGGCTTCGCCTCGTGAGACGCGGTTTCGCGACGTCTTCGCGGCGTCATGCGCCCGATCCTCCTCAAAGGCCACGAGCGCCCGCTGACGTTCATCAAGTACAACAGAGACGGCGACCTCCTCTTCACGTGCGCGAAGGATCACCACCCGACGCTGTGGTACGCGGACGACGGCGAGCGCGTCGGGACGTACGTCGGACACAATGGCGCGGTGTGGACGTGCGACGTCACGCACGACTCGAGAACGCTCGTTACGGGCAGCGCGGACACCACGTGCAAGATGTGGGACGTCGAGACTGGCACGTGCTACTTCACGCATCAGGCGCGTTCTATACACTGGTTCCCATACGACCACGTCGGCGTGGTGAACGCCGATCCTTAAGGAGTTCGCCCGGCGTCTCTCTCCGCCCAGGGTCCCTCGGTTTCAATCCCGACACGCCTCGACGCCTTTCAACTCCGACTGACGCCTTTCGACTCCGCCCCGACGTTCGCTCGTATGGAATGGCCCTCAGTTCGATCAACCCGCGCGAGCGGTCGCGCTCGCGCAGGGCGACGAGAAGATGTGCATCTCCACGGACCCCTTCATGGGCGTCCCCGCTCGCGTTCACATCGTGAACGTCGCGGCGAACCGCGAGGAGCAGACGAACGAGATCGTCGCGTCCTTCGGAGACGGCGTCGAGGGACGAATCAACCGCGCGCTCTGGGGCCCTCTGAACGAGACCATCCTCACCGGCGGCGAGGACGGCGTCATCCGCGCGTGGGACGTGGAGACAGGGAAGATCAAGCTCGAGGCGAGGGACCACAAGAAGCAGATCCAGCACTTGTGTTTGAGCGAGGACAAGACGCACTTCGTCAGCGCGTCGCTGGATAAGACGGCGAAGCTGTTCGACTCGGAGACGCTGGAGTGCCTGAAGACGTACGTCGCGGACCGGCCGGTGAACGCGGCGATCATCTCGCCGATTCTCGATCACATCGTCCTCGGCGGCGGGCAGGACGCGATGGCGGTGACGACGACGAGCTCGAAGGCGGGGAAGTTTGACTCGAAGATTTACTTCAAGGTGTACGAGGAAGAGATCGGGAGCATCCGCGGGCACTTCGGGCCGGTGAACGCGCTCGCGTTTAACCCGGACGGACGGTCGTTCACGACCGGCGGCGAGGACGGGTACTCGCGCGTGCATCACCTCGACAACGATTACTTTCGCATTCGCTGATCGAAACGTTTCGGCGGGTTCACCATTATACTTAGAAGAATACACGCGATCTTAACTGAAATTTCAGGATAGTCACAACGCAACACGAACTCGCGATCGTCCTCGCGTCCTCCCTCTCGTCAGTCCCACTCCCCGCTGAGCTCGCACTCACCCGCGTAGTTGCAGTTCACGCTGCCGTACTGCGCCAACGTCAGGAGCTTCATCGTCGTCGTCGACGACGTCAGCGCCTCCGCTTTCTCGACGTAATCCTTCAAGTGCGCGCTCGCCTTGTGCTCCTTGTACGCAGCCTCGTCCTCGTACACCTCGTACAGGTGCACGACGTTCGGGTCGCCGTCCACGGGGATGCCGTAGTCGAAGTACATGCATCGGTCGTTCGCGAAGCAGTTCGTGATGTGCCCTTGAATCAGCTGCGCGGAGGCGTTTTGGTTTTCGGAGGTACTAACTGATGAATAAGGAGGTTGTTAAGAGGGAAGGATATCCGCGTCGGATCGGATGGTCACGCGGGCTCGAGGGGGGCCGCGTCGCACCTCGTTGTACTCGTCCATCTTCCCTTCCTTGACCGTGACGGTGACGAACAGAGACTGCCTGCCTTCCTTCGCCGCGCGAACGACGCCAGCCTGCGGTGTGGGCGGGTCGGGTCGGAGGCGGAGGCGGAGTCAGCGACGACGATCGGACGGTTGGATGGATCGGGCGACGGGACGCGACGACGGTTCGCGCGGAGGGAAGACGCGCGAGACGACGCGCCTTGACGGTCCTTCTCGCGCGCGTCGGCGCCGCGCGCGAGAGCGCGCGTCCGGTGATGAACGCAGAACGCGACGCGGTCGCCATGATTATCGAACGTTCGGGTCGCCGTCCACGTTCGCGGCGCCGGATAATGGAACACGTTTTTCTTCGCGTTGCGCAGTTTCGCGCCACGCGCTTCGAGTCGTCGTCCCATTTGACGACGGCGCGGCCACGATGGCGTGCGTCGCGCGCGCGTCCTTCGCCGCGTTCGCTTCCTCCTCCTCCTCCTCCTCCATCCCGAAGACCGGCAAAGGCGGATCGTTCGTGGATCACTGCCACGGCGTCGAGATCAAGGGCGGCGGCGCGAGCGCGACTGATGAGGGCGCGGGCGGCGTCCTGTCCGGGCTCACGTTCGCGGTGAAGGACAACCTCGATCTCGCGGGGCATCGAACCGGATGCGGCAACCCGGACTGGCTCCGGACGCGCGGCGGTACGCCCGCCGCGACGCACGCGCCGTGCGTCGCCGCGATGCTCGACGCGGGCGCGACCTGCGTCGGGAAGACGCAGATGGATGAGCTCGCGTGGTCGCTCCAGGGCGAGAACGCGCACTACGGCACGCCGTCCAACCCCGCGGATCCCTCGCGCGTTCCCGGAGGGTCCTCCTCCGGGAGCGCGTGCGCGGTCGCCGCCGCGCACGTCGACGTCGCCCTCGGCACGGACACCGCCGGGAGCGTCCGCGTGCCCGCGTCGTACGTCGGCGTGTACGGCTTCCGTCCCTCGCACGGCCGCGTTCCCGTCGACGGTTGCGTCGCGTTGGCGCGCTCCTTCGACTGCGTCGGTTGGTTCGCGCGCGACGCCGCGACGTTGATGGCGTGCGGCGCCGCGCTTTTGCCGCCCGACCGGCCGAGCGGGACGATTCACGCGGACGGGTTCAAGCGGTTGATCGTCGCGACGGACGCGTTCGCGACGTGCGACGCGGGGACGCGCGAGGCGTTGATTTCGGCGATCGAGAGAGCGGCGAAAGCCGGCGGCGACCTCGAGCCCGTGGGCGCGCTGTTCGAGAACAGGAGAGAGGAGACGCTTGGCGTATATCATGGTTCGGGAGATGGTTCGGGAGATGGTTCGGGAGATGGTTCGGGAGATGGTTCGGGCGGCGGCGCCATCGACGGTGTCCCGCCGTTTGAGGCGTGGTGGGACTCGTTCCGGACGCTCCAGACGCGCGAGGTGTGGCTCGAGCACGGCGCGTGGATCGAGGAGACGGATCCGTCGTTCGGCCCCGGGGTGGCGGAGCGGTTCGCCGCCGCCGAAGCCGGCGGCGGCGCGGCGACCGACGCGATCGCGGCCGCGAACGCCGCGCGCGACGCGATCACGCGACGCCTGAACGCGATGCTCGAAGGCGGCGGTGTGATCGTGTTGCCGTCCGCGCCGTCGCCCGCGCTGAAGACGGGCGCGAGCGCGGAGGCGACGGAGGCGTTTCGCGCGCGGCAGCTGCGGCTGACGACCGCGGCGGGGATGGCTGGACTGCCGCAGGCGCGTCGGTTCGGTCGGCGAATCGTCTTTCGCGCTCTTTCCTTCGATGTTCGTCGACCACACGATCGTCCACGTCATAAAAAACTGACCAATCGCTGCTCTCTCTCTCTCTCTCGTCGTCCGCCGCAGGTGTCGATTCCGGCGGCGACCGCGGATGGCGCGCCGGTCGGGCTGTCGTTCATCGCCGCGCGCGGGAGGGACGAGGAGCTGCTCGCGCTGACGGTGTCGCTCGAGCGCGCGTTGTTTTAGCGCGCGCGCGGCGGGGGGTAGACGTAGAGCTAGAGGGGACCGCGCGGCGAGGGCGCGCCTCGGAGGACGGGGGAAACCACCACTGTAATCCATTCCATTCGTTCTTCTTTCCCGTCCTCGCCGCGCGCGCGAAGCACGCTGTGAGATCCTGCGCTCCCGCAGATCGAAACCCTGCACCTCCGATCAAGTTGAAACGGGCCCGCGATCGTATCGGACCCGCTGCAGGCCGATTTGAAGCCGAAGAGTGCCGCTGTGAAATTTGTGCAGCCAATCAAATCTCGCCGCGCTGTCACGAATATCGTGTACAGTCAGCGAAAAAGCGTGCTGACGCGGACGGAGGGGTACCATCAGTTTCGCGAAAACAACGGTTTTTCGTGCGTCATTTCGTACTCTGTTCGTACGAGCAAACAGTATGAAGTACGCGTACGTCGCGTTTTTATCTTTTCGCACTTCTCGCGAAACTCGCATTATGGCCACGGAAAAAGTTGTAAAAAGGACGCGTTCTTTCACTCGGCGTCCCATTCATCCGTCACACGCGCAGCTCACACGCTCGCACACACCTTCTTTCCTTCACTCCCCTAAAAACCCTCACTTTCAACATGGATCAGATGGATGTCTCCCTCGCCGGCCGCGTACGTTCCCCGCGCGCGCGTTTTCTTCTCTCGCGTCGCGAGCCGTTCCCGCGCGGAAAAAAACACCTTCGAATAATTATCCACATTAATTGTGGGAGGGTTCCGCGCGGAATACCCCGCGCGTCTCGCGCGCGCGCTTCCGCGACCTCCCCGCCCCCCTCCAAAACACTCTGAAGGCTTTCCTCTAACATTCTCTTCCTCGTTCCTCTTCTAACAGATCAACGTCAGAGGCGACGGTAACGTCGTCGAGGACCGATTCTCGCTCACCGCCTCCGCGGACTTTGCGAAGGGTGGCCGCATCACCCTCAACGCGAACCCCGGCTTCCGCCCGAGTGAGTGCCCGAACGCGCGCATCATCGCTCCCGCGGTCACGAATCGCGTTCGTCGGCGCGTTTTGAGGCGCATTCGCCGCGGCGGCGCGCGTCCGCGCGACGTTTCGCGCTTCGTGACGCGTCTTTCCGGGCCGTCCATCGCGCTCCGCTCAGCCGCGGTTCTTTGTTCTTTTCCCCGAAAAGAACCTTCGCTGACGCGATTCCCGCCGCTTTCTTCCTCCCTCCTTCCTCCCTCGCAGGCGCCGCGCTCAAGGACGGCAAGACCAACCTGACGGACGCGTCCCAGCTCTCCGGCATCGGCAACCTCGACGACATCGACGTCTCGGTGCGCGCGCGAACCAATCCGCGACCCCTCCGCGTTTAAACCCTCGTTCGCGGTTCACGGTTCGAACGAACCGAACCTGACCCTTCCGAGTTTTTTTCCACCCACCGCTCTGCCGCGAGTCGATCGATCGAATCTGACCTCCTCCTCCTCCTCCTCCTCCTCCTCTTCCAGATCTCCAAGTCCGCGGACATCCTCGGCCAGGCCTGCGACCTCACGCTCTCCACCGAGTCCCTCGGCAACGGCGGCATCGCCGGCCTCCAGGTCAAGACGAACGTCGACAAGGTTGGAGACGTCACGCTCACGCTCGCGAAGAAGGGCCACAAGGCGTTCTCCGGCAAGAGCAAGGACGGCGAGGCGCAGGCGTCTGAGAACGACGCGTGCCGCATCGACGTCGCGCTCCCGCTCAGCGACGTGAACGCGGACCTCACCGGCTCCGTGAACTACGACCTGAACACCCAGGACGCGAACCTCTCGCTCGGGTACAAGAACGGGGACGTCGCGCTCCGCCTCCGCACGTCCATGGGATCCGACAAGTCGCTCTCGCACAAGGTCAACGCGGATTACAGCGGCATCGAAGGCATCGGCCTCGGCCTCGAAGTCAACGACGCCGGCGCGGGCAAGGTGACGGTCACGAAGGACAAGTATTCCCTCGTCGTGCCGGTGTCCAAGGATGGTGGTGTCGACACGAACAACGCGTCCCTCCGCATGACGTGGTCCATGGACATGTAAGCCATCTCTTCGATCGCTTTCGCCGTCGCGTCGCGCGACTTGCCACCTGACTAATAACGATGTAAAAAGAACCAGCCGGTTGTACCACCTGTTATTATACTATTATGTGCTTGAGTACGAGTATTACGGTCGAGTACGACTGCGTTTTCAATAAGACATTTCTTTTTCAATACACCTACGTATCAATCGCCGCGTCGCCTCGCCTAAGACTCGCCTCGACACGAGCGCGCGCGATCGTAAAAATTACGTCAACATCAACCCCGGAGTCGCGCGCGCGTCGGTCGATCGATCGTTCGATCACTCCGCGGGCACGATCGAGTTGTAGTGCACGGGCGAGATGTACGACACGTACAACCGCTTGCTTTTCTCCCCTCTCCCCTCCGCGGGCTCGTACAACAGGTACCAGTTGTCCTCGGTGCTCTGCACGACGTGGATGGGCGATCGAAACGCGTCCGCGCACGCCCTCAGCGTCAGCTCGTCGCCCCACGTCCTCGGCTTCCGCATCTCGCTCGCGTACGCCCTGAACTCCGCGTCGTCCTCGAAGAAGATGGCGTACTCGTCCGCGCGCTGTGAGATGTGGTCCACGCACGCGTCGCGCACCGCCTGAGGGTTGTTCCATACAAAGCGATGTCGGGGTGGAGTTCAAAGGCGTCAGTTGGCGTTCAAAGGCGTCGCGGTCGGGGATTGAAAGCGAGGTTTGGGCGGAGAGAGAGGACGGCAAAAGTCCTTAAGGATCGGCGTTCACCACGGCGACGGGGTCGTATGGGGACCAGTGTATAGAACGCGCCTGATGATGATCTTGCGAGCCGAAGAGATTGAACGAGAGCGATCGAAACTGGCAGTTCCCGTCGTCGCCCATTCGCTCCGTGCGGAGGCGCATGCTTCGGAGGCGCGACTCGAGCAGCGCGACCCCCGCGGCGTGGCCTTTCACGCTCTCGTTCGAGTTGGCGCGCTCGAGGTCTCGCTGCTTCTCCTTCGCGCCCGCGATGCGCGAGTCGTTCCTGCGAAATTTCGCAGCAGCGTTCTTCCCGCTCCCAACGCCGGTCGACGTGGACGACGACGAGGCTCCCCCGAACGCGGTCATCGCGAGCGCGCTCTTCTTCCACAGCGACATCGATCGGCGGTCCGCGAGCTCGGAGGTGAACTTCACCGGGACGGCTCGCACCGGCGCGGACGTCAGCCTGCGCTCGATCCCGCGGTTCTCGGTCGTGATGGGCGGGAGGTTCGGGATCGTCGTGACGCCGCGTCGCATCAACGCCTCCAGCGGCGTCTCCCCGGAGGGAGACGGCTCGTCCGAGCCCGCGGGCGCGGCGGCGGCGGCGGCGGGCTTCTTCTTCTTCGACGAGCACGCGCCCATGGCGACGGCGGGGCGTCGGCGACGACGACGCGGCGCGAGAGACGACTGACGGTGGTGTTGACTTCGTTCTGCCATTCCGTCACAGCAGTGCACTGCAGCTCTTCTACGACCCCTCTCAGGTGCGTTCTATACAAAAGTTTTTCACCCAGAGATCGGTTTCAACACTTGATCGCGTCTCCTTTCAACTGCCCGATGAACATTTTTTGTAGAGAACGCGCCTCAGCTTCCGCTCCACCCATCCGCCGCCGCCGCCCGTCCCGCGCGTCCTCTACACCTCGATCGCTATCTTCCCTCGCGTCCGCCGGCTCTTCAGCCTCCGAAACGCCTCTCGCACGCCGTCGTCCGTCAGCGGGACGACCGTCTCGATCGACGGCCGGAGACCCTTCTCGTCCGCGAGCGCGCGCAACGTCTCGAGGTCGTTCGCGCAGTTTGGAAATGTGATCCAAAACAACTCGCGTCGCGGCGGGAAGGCGTTCACCCCGGCGACGCGTTTCAACCCGGCTTTGACCCACCCGCTAAACTTCGCGCCGATCGTGACGTAGTTGTGTGGATCGCTGTTCGCGCCGGTCGCGAGTAACGGCGGGTTGTCGTGCGTTAACACGCGGCGTTCGTACGCGTGCGCCGCGTCGACGGCGTCACCGCTGGAGACGGCGTCGACGACGACGTCGAAAGGCGCGCCGTTCTTTTCCACGATCGCCGCCAGCGCGTCCATCACGCGGTCGCGACCGTCGCCGTCTCGCGATCCTAAACCACCACCTTTAGGGTAAACACCACTAGGGTTAGGGTTCTCCCTCGAGTCGTACGCCACGACGTCGTCCGCGCCGAGGCTTCTCACGAAGGCGACGTTTCGCTCGCCGCAGATCCCCGTCACGCTCCCCGCGCCGAACGCTCTCAGCACCTTCACCGCGACGTGCCCGACGCCGCCGCTCGCGCCGATCACGAGCACCCTCTGACCGGGCTCGAACCCGTGCTGCGAGAGAAGCTGCACGACAGTCAGACCGGGAAGGACGAGCGCGGCGGCCTCGGCGTGCGTCAGCGCGCTCGGCTTTCGACACAGCTGATTCGACGGCACGCGCGCAAGCTCGCAGAAGCTCCCTCGCAGCGGCGGGACCGCGCCGAAGACCTCGTCGCCTGGGCGGAACGTCGACCCCGCGGGCGCGCTCTCGACGACGCCGCTGAGGTCGAACCCGCACGTCTTCCCGTTCGTGACGAGCCGTCGCGCGATGGGCCGGAGGAATCCCGGGAGCTTGTCGCCCACTACCTCCTTCGCGTCGACGGGGTTGACGCCGCACGCGCGGACGCGGACGAGGACCTCGTTCCCGTTCCCGCGCGGCGGCGGCGACGACGGCGCCGCGCGCTGGACGACCTTCACGCCCTCGGGCGCGGCGTGGTCGTACACCGCCGCGCGCATTCGGACGCGGGCGAGCGCGGGCACCGTCGACGACGCGCTCGCCATTTGTGATCGAAGATCTCATCGGTGTCGTTGTTATGTTTTACTTTCGTAAGCGATACAATAAATAATCCCCCTCTCCCCCTCCGTTCCCTCCCCACGTCACGGCGTCCAAAAGAACGGATGCAACAGCGCGGTGTTGCACCCTAACCGCCCCCTCTGCAGGAAATTCCGCTTGCACACGAGCCTGCACGCGAGGTCCCATCCGAGCCCGCCGCCGACGTCCAACGCGGAGAAATCCCACCCGAGAGGCTCCACCTTCTTCCTCCACTTTCTCAGATCGTACCCCGCGTCTTCGAGGTTCGACCGGAACGACCCGTTCGGATCCATGACTTTCCGTCCCCGCAGCTGCGGCACGCACATCTGAAGGAATACCAGCCCCGCGGAGAAGGAGTCGAACAAGTCCGGCAGAAACGCCGCCCACACGAGCGGCGCGAACGTCGCCGCGAGCGGTCGCAGCGGCGGCGGCGCGGGAATCCGCTCCGGCATGATGAAGTTCTCCGGCGGGGAGTAAAACGGATCCAGAAGGCTCTGCTCCGGGTCGTAATTCACGCCGACGCGCAGATCCGCGGCGGCTCCGAAGTCCACGAGCTTGAACCGTCGTCCCATCAACACCAGATTCGCGGGCTTCACGTCCCGGTGCACGATGCCGATGTCGTGCAACCCGCCGAGAGTGAACAGCAGCCCTCGCAGCACGCTCTTCGCGACGGCGCTCGTGCGCTTCGCGTAATCGTCGCTCTCGTCGCGCTCGCGGCCGTATATCGCCTCCTCGACGCACTCCGGGTAATCCCTCCGAACGATCAGCTCCTCCAGCGTGACGTCGCCCTCGAACGCCCACACCAGGCACGGCGACGCCGCGTCCTCGACCACGTCGAACGACCCGAGGTACTTCGCGCACCCCTGCGCGACGAGCGGCGCGCGTCGGACGCGTCGGTTCATGTACTCCTCCGCGATCTGCAGCTGCGCGGCGCCCTGCACCGACCGCGCGCTCTTCACGACGAGCTCTCGGTCGGTCGCGACGTCCGTCGCGAGGTTGACCTGGCCGAAGCTGCCGTCGCCGAGCTTTCCCTTTTGTCGGACGTCCGACGCGTTGAACTTCTGCTCGAACAACACCGCGTCGATCGCGTTCGCGAAGTACGCGTCGAAGAACCCGGGGATGAGCCCCGGTCGCGAGGTGAGCCACAGGAAGGCGAGGAACGCGAGGAACAGCTCGTACTCGGCGTTGCCCGTGATCTGAGCGACGAGGGTCGAGGGTCCATAGTACGAAGCGACGTCGGGGCGGAGTTGAAAGGCGTCAGAAGCGGAGTTGAAAGGCGTCGAGGCGTGTCGGGATCGAAAGCGAGGGGTGATGGGCGGAGAGAAACGCGCGCCGGGAGAGAAAGTAAAGTCCGTCCTCGAGGAACGGCGTTCACCACGCCGACGGGGTCGTACGGGGACCGGTGTGAAGGAGAACGCGCCTTCGTGAAACCGCTGTTCACCTCCTCGCTCCACCACCGCTCGAGGAAGCCCTGGGACTCGCTCGGGAGGTACGCGTACGCATCCTTCGCCAGCGGCGCGGCCGCGTCCGCGATCGCCTTCGCCGTCCCCGGGACGCTCACGCCGAAGACGTCCGACGGGAGGTCCGGGAACAGCCTGGAGAAGTCCGAGCTCGCGGCGGCGGCGGCCGCGGCGTCCGACGCGACGGTCGCGAGCTTCGGCGCGAGCTCGCGTCCGAGATCCGCGGACGTCACGCCGGCGTCTTCCATGATTCCTCCGCGCGCGACGCGTCGACGCGGCGCGGGGCGGCGTCGTCGCGAGGGGCGCGCGCGGGGCGGCGGCGCGGGCGCGGTCGTCCACCGCGTCGCGAGCGCGGAGAGCGTCGTCATCGTCCGCGTCGTTCGATCGACCGATCGATCGACCGGTCTCGTTATCTACTCAGCTCCGCGACGATGGGGGACGCCCGACGACGACGGGACGACGGACGCGCGCCGCCGTTCGCGTCGCGCCGCGCGAGAGGACCCGACCCCGCGACGCGACGGGGCCCCGATTCGATCTTCAGACGATCGCGCGGGCGACGCGGCGTCGCGTGAAGTGACGCGGCGCGCAGACCGTCCATCCGTCCTCCGCGGAGGGTGCGGCCTGCAGCGTGACGCTGACCTGGCAGCAGGTCGCTCAGGCAGTCAGGGTCGTTCCTACAAAAAATGTTCATCATCGGTCAGTTGAAAGGAGACGCGATCAAGTGTTGAAACCGAATGATGGGTGAAATACGTTTGATATGAACGCACCCGAGAAGAGGTCCCGAGCGAGAAGTCACCGAAAAGATATCCGCAATTCCAACAGTCAGCATCGATCAGTCCTCCGTCGCGCGCGCGACGTGGGTGGATGCCCGATAAGAAGGACCTCTCGCGCGCGATGAGCGGCTTCTCGGAGAACACCTTGGGCGAAATCAAGGCCTCGAAGTCCGCGGCCGCGCAGAAGGAGCTGTGGATCGACCTCATCCTGAGCAAGGAGTTCGTCGCCAAGGTTGACGAGGTGTTCGATCGATGCAACATCAACAAAGACGCCACGCTCGGGAAGTCGGAGCTCGCCGCCGCGATGGAGATGCTGTACCTCGCGCTCGACGAGCACGTGGGCGGGGAGGGGAATCTGCCCAAGGTGAAGGCGAGCGTGGACGAGATCATACGGAAGTACGACTCGAACCACGACGGGGTGTTGGATCGAGACGAATTCCGGGGATTCGCGCAGACATGTGCGATCTGATTCGTCTCCCCTTCTCGCTCCGTCTCTCCCGCGTCCGTCGTCTCTTCTTCGCGTCTCTTCTTCGCGCTCTCCGCCGACGCCGCTCGCTCACGTCTCACTCGCGCCAACCAACGACCACAATTACGACGTGACGTGACGAAACGAAACGACAGACTTCTCTCGCGTCGAGCTGCCGAGGTGGCGGATCGCCGCGAAGGGCGCGATGAAGGGCGCCGTCCTCTTCATCGCGTGGCACGGCTTAATCGAGCCGCTCGCGAATAAGCTCCTGATGCCGCACGTGCTCGGCGCGGTGAAGAAGAGCGTCACCTCGGGCGTTCTGAACGAAATGCGGAAGAAGAGGAAAGAGGCGCGGCGCGCGATCAAGAAGAAGATCTATCACGGCGTCGCGCCGGGGGCGGACGACGACACGAATCTTCCGAGCGACGTCGCGAACGAGTTGGAGTACGAGAAGTTTTTGAACCGGTGCAAGGTGTGCAAGGAGCTCGGGACGTTCGCCGTCTCGGGAGGCGTCGCCGCGGTCGCGGGGTTCTTGTGATGACGCGATGGATGGACGCGCGCTGTGTGTGAGCCCCCCTTATTATTAGTCTATTATCGTGGACTACGCTACGTGTAAGATAGAAAGACAACCTACTGTAACCTGTGTGAGACGACTCACCACCACCGCCGACGCGTCTCATCCGTCCCGTCGTCGCTCTCGTCTCTTCTCCTCTGCTCGTCAGTACGTCGTGAAGCTCCTCGCCGCGCCGCCGTGCCCGCCTCTCATCTGCTCCATGTGCAGATCGTACGCGCGCGCCTCCGCCGCGCTCATCGCCCCCTTCGCGCCGCGCATCACCGCGGAGAGCCTCGTCGGATCGCGCGCGGGGACGTCGCGTCGGTCGCGCTCGAACTCGTCCGGCAGCCGCGCGCGCTTGAAGAGCTTGTCCGCGTGCTTCTCGAGCGCCGCGGCACGCTTCTCGTCGTCCGACGCTCGCGGCGCGGTCAGCGACGCCATCGTCCGCTTCAGACGCTCCGCGACGCGGTCGTCCGCCCTCGCCTTCGACGACCTTCGTCGCTTTTTCCCGACGCCGCTGTCCTTCTTCCTCTCCCCGCGCGACGACGACGACCGCTTCCTCTTCGCGGAGGAGGACTCTTTCTTCTCGCGCTTGCGCTTCCTCCTCCGACGCGACGCGCTGCTCGAGCTCGAGCTCGAGCTCGAGTCGCCGCTCGAGCTCGAGCTCTCGCTCCGTGACCTCCCCATCGCGGCGCGAAGTGACGTCGTTCCGCCTGTCGTCGCCGACCGCACTATCAGATGCGAACGTTTTTCACCCACACTTGGTTTCAACAATTGATCGCGTCCCCTTTCAACTGACCGATGAACTTTTTTGTGCGAGTCGCACTCGTCGCGGTTTGAACGAACGACAGGACGCGGACGGTCGACTCCCCGCAATCCATCCAGGCCGTCGCGCGCACTTCCGCGCGCGCGTCAGCTCGCGCACGCCGGCGATCCGATCACCCCGCTCGCGTCGTCTACGCACGCGCGACTCGCGATCGCGCGCGAAGAACCGCGTCGACGCGCACGAACGCGCTCGCTCCGCGCGTCTCAGATCCATCCGATCGCGGCGCGCGCGGATCTCGCTCGTCGCGAGTAATAAGTCGTCGTCGCTTTAGGGAAAGCGAAGCGCGCGAAGAAGACGCGCGATCGGTCGGCGACGCGAATACTACGTGAAAGATGGCGGACTCGCGGTCCAACTACTCGCTGACGACGTTCAACAGCAGCGGCGAGCTCGTGCAGATCAAGCACGCGCTCGCGGCGGTGGGCGCCGGCGCGACGTCGCTGGGCATCCGCGCGACGAACGGCGTCGTCCTCGCCACGGAGAAGAAGCTCCCGACCACGCTCGTGGACGAGACCACGGTGGAGAAGATCGCGCAGCTCACGGACGAGATCGGGATCACGTACTCGGGCATGGGACCGGACTTTCGCGTGTTGACGCGCAAGACGCGCAAGGAGACGCAGGTGTACTACAGAACCTACAAGGAGCTCGTGCCGTGCTCGCAGCTCGTGCGAGAGACGGCGACGGTGATGCAAGAGTTTACGCAACGCGGCGGCGTGCGGCCGTTCGGGGTGTCCCTGCTCATGGCCGGGTTCGATAGCAACGGGCCGCAGCTGTATCAGGTCGATCCGTCGGGTTCGTATTTCGCGTGGAAAGCGAGCGCGATCGGGAAGAACATGACGAACGCGAAGACGTTTTTAGAGAAGCGGTACAGCGAGGACATGGAGCTCGAAGACGCCATTCACACCGCGATCTTGACGCTGAAGGAAGGGTTCGACGGGCAGATCAGCGCGGAGAACATCGAGATCGGCGTTGTCGCGGAGGATCGGAAGTTTAGGGTCTTGACCACCGCGGAGGTTGCGGATTACCTCAGCGAGGTCGAGTGATGACGTGTCGACCTCGAGGGCGGAGCGCGGCGCGCCGCGTCGAATTGTTTTGATGAGGGTGGAATAAAAATAACCTACCACGTTGCAGGTATTCCGCTAGAGTCTACTACTCTATCATCGCTACTATAAGAGAACGAACGCGCGATCGCGTCAGTCCCACACGGACTCGTCCGGGAAGTTCCACGTGTCCTCCACCCCCGCGCGCGAGTGCATGACGTACGCGAGCGGCCGGTCGGCGTCCCCGCCGTTCCCGCCGCCGGCGTGCACGACGGCGTAGTCGTACATCAGAAGCGACCCGCGCGCGAGCTCCGGCGCGATCTCCTCCGCGTCCTCCCTCAGCTTCCTCTGCCTCGCGTCCAAGTACGCGGCGTCGTGGTCCCAAGCGTGCGACCCGCGCTTGAACGCGGTCGGCCCGTTCAATTTCGTGACGTGAACGAGGGGAACGAAGACGTTGACGATCCCGCGCTTCACGCCGTCCGCGTGAAAGCGCTGCGCCGGCGCGCCGGGCCTCGACGTCACGCACCCGACCGCGGTGACGACCGACCTCCCCGCGCCGTCGCCCCCGTCCGGGTCCGGGGACATCAACCCGGACGCGGCGAGGATCGGCGTCACGAACGGATCGGTCGCGACGCGGAGGGCGTCCCACGCGGCGGCGGCGGGCGTGGNCGCGGCCGCCGTCGAGGCGGGGCCTCGTCCCTCGCCCGCCGCGCCCGCTCGCCGACGCTCCGCGGTGACGTCGTACCGCCGCCCGCCGCGCGCTCGGCTGCACACCTCCGCGTAGCGGAAGATGTCCGCGCACGGGTCGAGACCTCGTCTGTCGCGCACGCCGTTGGCGAGCAGCTCGTGGAGGTACGTCGCCGACGCGTCCTTCGCTCGCGCGGCGAGTTCGTCTGGAACGATCCCGCCGCCGCCGTCGCTGTTCCCCTCCACGACGACGAAGCCGTTGATCGTCAACGACGCGACGCACGCGGCGATCGTCGCCGGGTCGAGGGAGGACGTCGCCGTCTCGGACGCGGCGACGACGACGCGGTAGGGCGGCCACTCTGGCGCGTCGTGGTGGTCGTCGTCGTCGTCCGACGAAGCCGCGTTCGCGGCGAATCGGCGTCGTCTCGCGTCGTCGTCGTCGTCGTCGTCATCGTTCGCGTCTAGCTCCGCGAACTCGTCCAGGAAGTCGCCCATCGCGCTGTTCGCGTCAGAGTTCACCTCGCTCAGGATATCGGCATCGTCGTCGTCGTCATCGTCGTCGCTCGCGGCGGCGGGCGCGGCGGCGGTCGGCGCGGCGGAGCGAACCTTTTTCACCGCGCCGCCGCCGCCGTCCAAACTCTCCTCCTCCTCCTCCTCCTCCTTCGCTCTCTTCGCCTCTCGCACCGCCTCTCTCGACAACGCGCTTGGCGGCGTCCAATCCTCGCCCACGCGCGCCGTTATCAGCACGTACCCGCCCGCGGCGGCGATCTGCTCGCCGTCGTGCGCGTGCTCCGACGCCGTCGCGACCGCGGCGTCGTCGTCGCCCTCGTCGCGCCGCAGCGCGAGCGCGTTCCCGTCCACGTCCAAGTCGTCCCCCAGCCCGCACTCCCTCAGCTGCGCCACGAGCTCCTCGAGCAGCCCCGCGCGTCGCAGCCCGCACGCGATGACGACGACGCCGCCGGGGGCGACGTGCGCCGCGACCGCGCGCGGAAGCGACGCGCAGTGCTCGGGGAGGTACAACGCGTCCGCGGCGACGATCAGCCCGTAACCATTCGTCTCGTCGGAGAGATACGAGGACACGTCGTCCCAGTCGAGCGCGATAACGGACACGTCGCAGGGTGAAACGCCGGAGTAATGACCGTTTATTTGCGCGTTCGCGTGCGACAGCGACAGCGTCGCCGGGTCGCGGTCCGTCATCGTCACGGACGACGCGCCGAGCGCGGCGCACGTCAGTCCCACCGCGCCCACGCCCGCGCCGAGCTCTAAAACGTCGCGGTCGCGAACGAAGGTCGACGCGATCGCGGGCGACGCGAGCCAGGACGACAGCAGACGCGCGCACGACCACACGCGGCAGCCCGTGCGCAGAGGGACGCTCTCGTTGTCGCGTTCTTCTCGGAGTTTGACGACGACGCCGTCGCCGAGGTCGACGGACGTCGTCACCGCGAGGACCATCCTGCGGAGGAGGAGGAGGGTGTTTGCCCATACGAAGCGAACGTCGGGGTGGAGTTGAAAGGCGTCAGAAGCGGAGTTGAGGAGGAGCGTCGGTCGCGTGGGGTGGGCGTTCGCGTGGTGCGGCGTGAACGAGGGTCGCGACGACGCGATGCGATCGCCGTCGCCGTCGGGTCGGGTCGCGGACGGATGTGCCGAACGTGTGCTCACTGGTACCGCCACACTCTTTTGAAGCGACGACGGAACCACCGATTGAACGAGGGCCTTCAAGTCGTGTCGCGGGAGAATAGTAAGCATGATGGAAGCCGCGTACTGGTGGGGTATCAAGCCACCTTATCCCGCGGCACCCGTCCCTTCCCGCGTGCGCGAGCGAGCGAGCGAGCGAGCGAGCGAGCGAACTGCGGACGGACGGACGGACGGAGACGAACGAGATGTGCCGAACGTGTGCTCACTGGTCGCGCCATCGGCAGGGTAGCCTCGACGCGACCACCGATTGAACGAGGGCCTTCAAGTCGTGTCGCGGGAGAATAGTAAGCATGATGGAAGCCGCGTACTGGTGGGGTATCAAGCCACCTTATCCCACGGCACCCGTCCCTTCCCGCTCGTCGGACAGATATCGGATCGATCGAAGCACAGAACGCGAGGGCGGACCGAATGATGAATAATGAATCCGAGAAGAAAAGACGCACGCCGCGATCGCGCGCGTCGCGTCCGCCGCGTGTCAGTGCAAGGATGACAATCGTGGTTATCGTCAAGTCCCAGCCGGCGAGCGCCGGAAGCGTGGGCGAACTCCGTGAGAAGATTAGCGCTCGCGTATCAGCTCATCATCCACGAGCGGAGCGACGCGCGACGCGGGCGGGAGACGCCGCCGGGGAATCGATCGATCGTCGAAGACGCGTTATTAGGTCAGGCGGAGCGGGAGGACGCCGCCGCGGCGCTCGAGGCGCGACGCACCTCGATTCGAGCGCGCTACCGGCGACGCGTCGCGCGCGAGCGCGGTCTTGCGAGCATCGCGCGCGGCCCCGCGCGCGCCATCTCGCTCGCGCCCCGCGTGGGTCCCGCGCGCGAGGGTATGCGAGGATGACGAGATCCCGCCGGTGAATAATGACTCGGAAGTTCGACAGCTGTAGATGTAGCTGTCAGCAAATCATCGTTCAGTGCGACGCGCGCGAACGATGGCGTCGGAGCCGAGGCGGTTCGTCCAGGGCGTCCCGCTCGGGAAGCCGCCGCCGCACGTGGGCCCGCAGCCGCGCGCGCGGCGGGACAGCGCGAACGGATGGGCCCGGTCGTCGCGGTGTAAGGGAGGACGCGCGCGGCAGGCGGCGACGATCGCGCTCGCGCTCGCGTGCGTCCTCGTCGCGCGCCGCGTCGTCGGCGGGTCGTTCGCGGCGGGGGAGGGGATCGTCGCGTCGTCGTCGAGCGCGGCGACACGCGTCGCGGCGCGCGCGTCCGCGTCCGAGCGACGCGAGGCGCTGCTGAGGAGCCGGGAGGCGCGCGGCGGCGCGGGCGACGGCGCGACGTCCGATCGCGGCGTCGACGACAACGAAACCGCCGCGTTGCCGCCGCTAATAAAGCGCGCGTGCGACTGCCCCGAGTGCCCGTCGTCGTCGCCGTCCATCTCCTCGGAGAAACCCTCCTGCGACGCGCGCGTCAGAGACGTCGAGGCGAGAGCGAACGCGTGGCTCTCCGAGGTCAAGGCGAGGGCGGAGCGATTGACGACGCTCGCCAAGACGGACGCGTGCGCCGCGTGCGGCGTCCCCTCCCACCTCGCGGCGACGGAGTCGGAGTCCTCGTCCTCCTCAGGCGCGGGCGGCGGGAGCGCGCGCGGCGGCGACGCCGACGCCGACGCGCCGCTGCCGCTGCCGGACCTGCTGGCGACGACGCGCGCGAGCGCGCCGTCGCCGCCGGCGCCGGGCACGCGGCGACAGAAGGAAGTCCTGGGCGTCTGCGTGCCGTACCGCGACAGAAGAGATCAACTCGAAGTCTTCTCCGCGTACATGAAGCAACACCTGGACGCGCAGGGCGTCCCGTTTAAGATTTACGTCGCGGAGCAGAGTAACCAGAGTGCGTTTAACCGCGGGTGGGCGCTGAACGCCGCGTTCATGAACGCGGAGCGAGACGGCGTGGCGTACGTCGTCATGCACGACGTGGACATGTTGCCGCTCAGGTACCTAAACGACGTAGACTCCTTTCGCGCGGCGCCGGTCCATACCGCTCCCCGCACAGTGATACTGTGTCGCACGGCATCTCCCCTCGGTTTCAACGTGCGTGACGTTCCACCGCGAGGGCGCGGCGATGGACGCCTTTCGACGATGCGGCTGACCGACCGACGCGCGCCGCGCCGCGTTCCCTCGCCCTCCTCGCAGCGGCGTGAATTACCGATACGACGACGCGTTGCGACGCGGCGGCGACGTCGCGCACCTCAGCACGGAGGCGTCGCAGTTCGCGCACCGGGGGTACCTTCCGTATCCGAAGTACTGCTCCGGGGCGTTCATGTCGACGACGGCGTTTTACCGCGCGATCAACGGACACAGCGCGAAGTTTTGGGGCTGGGGCGGCGAAGACGACGAGTTTTGCGCGCGCGTGGCCAAGTATAAGGCGCGTTCATATTTACACTGGTCCCCGTACGACCGCGTTCGCGCGGTGAACGCCGTTCCTTATTAAGGACTTTGCCCGGCGCATCTCTCCGCCCATCCCTCGCGTTCGATCCCGACACACCGCGTTGCCTTTCAACTCCAACTGACGCCTTTCAACTCCACCCCGACGTCGCTTTGAATGGACCCTCGACCCTAAGCACGGCGGATGGAAAGCGGCGGAGGCGGCGGAGGGCGGCTTGGACCGGATGTTCGGCCGACCGCCGCCCGGCGGCGGACGCTTCCTGAGCATGGGCGGGCACGACCAGTCTCGGGATAACCCGCGGTGGCACGCGAACAACAACGTCCTGCAGCGGTTCCTCGCGAGCAGCGCCAGGGTGAACGCGTTGGACGGGCTGAGCAGCTCCGGGTCCGCGGAGGAGGCGCGTTCGTTCACGCTTTCTGTTTTCACACTGGTCCCCGTACGACCCCGTTCGCGCTGTGAACTTCATTCCTTAAGGACTTTCTCTCCCAGCGCGCGTGTCTCTCCGCCCGCCACCCCTCGGTTTCGATCCCGACATACCTCGACGCCTTTCAACTCCATATCTGACGCCTTTCAACTCCACCCCGACGTCGGTCGCTTCGCGCGGACCGTCGACGCTCAGATCTTGACGGGGACGGAGGAGACGCCGCTGTTCACCATCTACAGCACGGCGTTCCCGGCGAGCATGACGCCGCCGACGTGGAAGCCGCCGCCGCCGCCGCCGAAGCCGCCGCCGAAGCCGAAGCCGACGGGGAGGGGGGGGGATTTAGGGGTGGGGGTGAGTAGGGAGAGCGCGACCGCGGTGCGCGGAAGTTAGTGGCTGTCGGCGAACGCTTTGAAAAAAATCTGACACGTGGTCGCGCGTCGTCTTTCCCCTCGATCGTGCCGACATTCGAAACGTCGCGCCCCCCGCGCTCCACTCCACGCGCGCCGCCACACGGCTTCACGCGCGAGATATCATGTCGCCGACCCCCGTGCACGTCCTCATCACCGGCGCGGCCGGGCAGATCGGGTACGCGCTCGCGCCGCAGGTGTGCCGCGGCGCGATGCTCGGCGCGGACGTCCCGATCGTCCTGCACCTCCTCGACATCCCGCCCGCGGAGGCGTCCCTCAAGGGTGTCGCCATGGAGCTCACGGACGCGGCGTATCCGCTCCTCAAGGGCATCGTCGCGACCGTGGACGTCGACGAGGCGTGCAAGGGCGTGGACATCGCGGTCATGGTCGGCGGATTCCCGCGCGGCCCGGGCATGGAGCGCAAGGAGGTCATGTCGAAGAACGTCGCCATCTACAAAGGCCAAGCGAGCGCGCTCGAGACGCACGCGAACGCGGGGTGCAAGGTGGTCGTCGTCGCGAACCCGGCGAACACGAACGCGCTGATTCTCTCCAACTACGCGCCGAAGATCCCAAAGGAGAACGTGACGTGCCTCACGCGTCTCGATCATAACCGTGCGCTCGGTCAAGTCTCGGAAAAAACCGGCGCGCCGGTGTCCGAAGTCAAGAACGTCATCATATGGGGCAACCACAGCAGCACGCAGTACCCGGACGTGAACCACGGCGAAGTGAGCGGCATGCCCATACGCTCCGCCATCGGCGACGACGCGTACCTCGACGGCGAATTCGTGAAAACGGTGCAGCAGAGAGGCGCGGCGATCATCGCCGCTCGGAAGCTCTCCTCGGCGCTCTCCGCGGCGTCGTCGGTGTGCGATCACGTGCGCGACTGGGTCAACGGCACCGCGCCCGGCACGTGGACGTCCATGGGCGTCGTCTCCCCCGGCGGCGACGACGCGTACGGAATCGAGGAAGGGCTGATGTACTCGTTCCCGGTGACGTGCGCGAACGGTCGGTGGAGCATCGTCCCCGGGTTGAAGATCGACGACCGGTCGAGGGGGCTCATGGACGCGACCGCGGCGGAGCTGAAGGAGGAGAAAGCGATGGCGGAGGAGCTCATCGCCGCGATGTGATGCGACGCGATGCGACGTGATGACGTGGGCGTGCGCGCGCGACGAGAAGAACGCGAACGACGAGTGATAAAAAAATCCACAGTCAGATGCTCATCTGCGTCGCGAGGCCGACTTGGAGCCCGTCTTTCACGCGATCGTTCGCCCCCGCGCGCACGGTCTTCACGTAGTTCACCTCGATGTTCCCCACCGGCAGCGGGAACACCAGCCCGACCCCCAACGACCCGCGGAAACCCTCGAGAAACTCCCTCGCGCTCGACGGCCTGTCCCCGTCGCCGCCCTCCCCCGCCGCCGCCGCCGCCGCCGCCGCGACGCCGGGCGTGTTCACCCTCGCGAGCGTCCCCACGTTCGCGAACGCGTGCGCGTACACCCCGATGTCGGACAATTTGCTCCACGTCGGCGTCGCCTGCACGGCGGTGAACGCCTGCGCGAGGAGATCCCCGCCGAGCGCGTCGCGGCTCGACATCCCCGCCGCCGCCGCCGCCGCCGGATCCTTCGGCGGCCGTCGGACGTCCGACGGGCCGACGCCGCGGGGCTCGAACCCTCGCAGCGACCCGACGCCGCCGAGGAAGAACCGGTCCGCGATGCACGTCCCTCTCTGGTCCTCGCGCGCGGCGGCGCCGAGCGGCACGAGCGCGCCGAGCTTCCCGCCGAGATGCCACGTCACGCCCTCCGCCAATCGCTTGAACGCCTTGACCTCCGCCTCCTGCTTGAAGAAACGCGTCGCGTTTCGGTCGAACCCGATCCCCGCGAGCTCGCTTCGCAGGCGCCACAGCGCGCCCGTCGTGGGGCGGACCGCTCTGTCGCGCGCGTCGCCGCCGATGGAGTACGACAGCGACGACTTCAGCGAGTGCCCGAGCTGATTTCGCACCGCCCTCGACGCGAGCCTCGTCGGGTCCGCGATCTCTCTCAAGACGAGCGCGTATTCCAAAGTCGCGGGGCCGCCGCCCAAGACTTGCACGGAGACCCCGCGGTCGGTCTCGTCGAACGAGGAGAGCCTGGTCGAGGGAAGCGAGGAGGGAAGCGTGAGCGGCGCGCGAAGAGAAAGTCAGTCCTCAAGAAACGACGCGCGACGCGAATACGGGGTCGTATGGGAAGCAGTCTCACCTCTTCTCGCAGGTGACGGATTGAAACGCGCGCGTCACGACGTCGACGTCCTCGTTGCGCACGCGCGGCTGATGCCACGACAGCGTGTACGTGCTCGAGCGCTCGTGCCCTCGTGCGATCTCCACGTCCACCTTCTCCGCGTACCCGAGCGCGTTGTTGACGCCGGCGGAGAGCTCCATCGAGCCTTCGCCGCTCTGAGGGTCGTTCCGTACGAGCGAACGTCGGGGTGGAGTTCAAAGGCATCAGATGGAGTTGAATGGCATCTAGGGCGGGGATTGAAAGCGAGGGGTGGGCGCAGAGATGCGCCGGCAAAAGTCCTTAAGGACCGGCGTTCACCACGCGAACGCCGTCGTATGGGGACCAGTGCATAGAACGCGCCTGGCTCACGAACGCGCCGCCTTTCAGGTTGAGTCGCTTCTTCTCCTCCACGCGCACGATCACGGACGCGGTGTCCGGTCGCGAGGACGCGCCCGCGTCGCACACGATGTCGATGCTCTCGAAGACGTCGTACGCGTTCAGCGCGCCGTTGGCGTCGACGCACTTGTCGCGCAGGTCGTCGAGCGAGGACGCGCGGTACAGCGGCTCGAGCGCGGCTTCGAGGATGCCGCGACGCGTGCGCTCGATCCCTTGGATCTCGACCGACTCCACCGCGATCGGCTTGTCCTTGAGGGCTTGGTACCGCGCCTGGTGGTCGTACCCGGGCGGGGGGCCGCCCTGCTGCTGCGGCGGAGGAGGCGGCGGAGGGGGCGGCGGCGGCGGTGGGGGCTCCTCCGTCGCGGACGAGGAGGAGGAGGGCGTCGCGTCGCTCGTCGCGACGTCATTTTCGATCGTCATCGCGAGGGCGGTTTCTCCTCTCCTCGCGTCGTCGCGATCGGTCGTTCAGTCGGTCGTTCGATCGACGCGCGCTAGAGCGCGACGGACGCGGACGCGCGCGGCGGGGACGGCGAGCCGGTGCGACGACGACGGCGCGCGCGAGACTGACGGCGAGGGGGCGGGACGGATGGATGGGTGCTCGCAGGCTGCTGCTCGAAAAATACAGTATCAGGTTTCATCGGGGACGTTTCACCTGGATGCCGATGAAATTGTTTTGGTTCCTGTCGCTTTTCCTTTCAAGGTTTTTTTCATCGGCCCGCCTCGCGACGACGTGAGCCGGTTCGGCCGAAACTTGCTGTGATGAGTTCGTTTTGAAGTCGGGGCGCGAGCGATCTCGGCACTGCCCCCGCCGCGCAAGAGCGACACGAGTCGCTCGCGCGCGCACGATGCCGAACGACGATGACAGGCGCAAGTGCGCGCCCGACCCCGTCGCGTTTACCTCCCCTCGGACCCTCCGCGCCCTCGACCGTCTTCCCGTCTTTTGATTCGCGCCCCACTGCCAAAAAACACGCCACCGACCGAACGTGCCCGAATCGATCGCAGGTCGCTGTTCAACTCCGCGACGCCGCAGGTCGCGAACGCGGACGGAGGAGCCAAGGTGCGTTCGCGTCGCAGCCCCCGACGCGTCTCCGCGGCTCGATCGCCGACGCGAGGACGCCATCGCGCGCTGTCCCGCCCCGCGAATGTCCCTCTCGCGCCGCGACGAATTTAAATATCGCGCGGCGATGATGCACTGAACGCTCCCTCCTCCCTCCCTCCACGTCTCGCAGACCGCCGCGCGCGAGGTCGTCGTCGAGGACGGCTTCAAGTACAAAAAGCGCAAGTCCGCGGCTCCCGGGGCGGCGGCGGCGGCGCCCGCGCCCGCGCCCGCGGCCGCGCCCGCGGGCGGGGTGATCCACGCGTCCGCGGTGGCCGCCGCGGGCGGCGGCCCCGTCGGACCTGGACCGGCGCCGACGCCCGCCGACGACCTCCCCGACGATTACCCGGGCTTCCACATCCACGATAAGATCCCGACGGACCTCCCGGAAGACGAGCGGTTCCAGATGCTCATAGAGGAGATCTGCGAGATGCAGTGCAAGGAAGAGAAAGCGAGGCTGATCGCGGAGCACGGCGCGGAGCTCGGGACGAAGATCGCGAAGCAGCTCGAGGGCGCGTTGTCCGAGTTTCAGCTCAAGGTGGAGGAGATGGTCGTCAGGGGTGACATCAAGTTCGGGCCCGGCGGCGACGGCGACGGCGACGGCGACGGCGACGGCGTCGGCGACGCGCTGCTCGACGTCAGAGACGCGAAGGAGGAGGCGATGACCGCGGTGATGACGCAACTCGAAAACGAGCTCGAGCAGTGGAACGAGATCGAGAAGCAGGTCGCCGAGGAGGGATCGGGGCCGTCGGAGGCGGAGGAAGCGCTCGCGAAAGTAGACGCGGAGGAGGCTATGAACGCGGTGAAGGTGTTGATGGAAGCGGAGGCGGCGGCGACCGCGGCGGGAACGGCGGGCGAGGGCGAGGCGGTGGTGATCCCCGGTCATTTGAGAGAGGCGGTGGAGGAGGCGAAGAGGAAGCTCGGGATGCAGGCGGAGGGACTCACCGCGTTGTGCGACGGCGTCGAGGCGCTGTGCGTCCGCGCGGAGCGCGCGTGCGAGGTGTTCTCCGGCGCGCTCGCGGAGAACGACTTTAAAGGGTTGCCGCACGTGAACTCGCCGCATAACTTGATCAAGAGCTTGGTCGCGTCGAAGAAGGCGGAGAAGGATGAGGGGAAGTGACGACGGCGACGAGCGGCGGCGGCGGCGTTCTCCTACGGTGTGAATATCTCGAAAAACCAAAACAAAAGGAGACTCGCGCGGTACACTACTAGGCCTATCGCCAACGAACTCATCGCGTCTTCTCTCTCCACGCGCGAATTCCGAGCACAAACACCGCGCTCTTCGTCAGCACGAGCAGATGTTTCTTCCCGCCGCCGCCGTCGTCCGCGTCGAGAAGCCGCGCGCCCACGCACGGATCCGACGACTTCGGGTCAAAAATTTGGTGCTCCCCCTTCGACCCGCCGGCGGCCGCTCGATACACGAACGCGCTCGCTCTCGTCTCCACGACGACCCCGCACGTCCCGTCCAACGACGCGAGCACGAACCGCCGGTTCGGCTTCCCTTTCGCGACGTACGCGAACGCGGGCATCGTCGACGCGTGCGTCGCCCTCCGCGACGCGCCGTCCGCGTCGCGCGCCAACGCCGCGACGACGCAGTGCACGCCGTGCGCGAGTCCGATCCCGCCCTCCACGGTCGCGCAGACGGCGTGACGCTGCAAGTCCGACATCGTCTCGACGAGCGCGTCCGGGCGCGTCGGGTCCACGCCGAGTGTGGGGCACGCGTCCACGCGGACGATCTCGAGCCGCGCGTCCCCGTCGCCGGCGCCGGCGCCGGCGCCGCCGTCGTCCATATCGTCGTCGTCCTCCTCGTTAAAGGCGCGCCAGACGTCGTGCGGGTTCACGACCCCGCCCGCGATCCCCGTCCCTTTCGCCGCGTCCGCGTCCGCGGCGTCGGCGTCGTACGCCTCGTCGTCCTCGGGGCCCCACTCGAGCTCCGCGGCGGTTCCGGTCGCGTCGCCCGTCGTCAGGGCCGTTCTATACGAGCGAATGTCGGGGTGGAGTTGAAAGGCGTCAGTTGGAGTTGAAAGGCAACGCGGGCGGGGATTGAAACCGTGGGGTGGGCGGAGAGACACGCCGGGAAAAGTCCTTAAGGATCGGCGTTCACCACGCCAACGCGGTCGTATGGGGACCAGTGTATAGAACGCACCTCAAACTCGCGTCCGCCGCGGTCGTCTCCGTCGCCACCGCGAACTGCGGCGCGAGCTCGTCCTCCCCGGCGGTGTGCGGCGCGCCTAAGTAGACGTGGCACCACGCCGGCGCGGTCGCGCTCGTCAAGATTCGCGCGGCTCTTCCAGGCCCTCTCGCGTCGGCGCGACTGGCGAATTGCCATCCGACGTTATCCGCGCCGCTCTTCACGCGGTTCCGCGACCACGCGTGAATCAACTGGATCGCGTGCGCGCAAATCTTCGTCCCCGTCGCGTCGGTCGCGTCCGGCCCCCAAACCAGAAGCGAGTAGTACTTCACCCCGACCGCATCGCGGTTGATCGCGAGGTTGGGCGCGATCGCCTCGATCACGAACCCCGCGTCCAAACCGGGGAGGTCCACCTTCACCGATTGCCATCGCGTCGTGGGTTTCCCGTCGTCGTCGACGAGCGTCAGCGCGAGGTCGCCGTCGCCTCTCGACGCGACGTAGACGCCGCGGGTGAAATCCGCGCTGTTGTATTCCGCGGAGATGTCGCCCGCGGGGGGCGCGCCGCGGTCGTGCAGCATCGCGACGGACGCGCCCAGCCCGCGACGACTACCCGACGACGACGACGACGACGACGCGTCCTCTTCCCCGCCCGCGGCGGACGGCGGCAGCGGGTCCATCGCGCCGCCGCCGTCGTGCGCTCCCAGCGGCTTCACGCGCGCCTCGCCGCTCGCGCTGAGGGAGACGACGGAGAACGTCCCGGACGCGTGCGCGACCGCGAACGCCCTCGACGACGGATCGTGATCGAAGCGCGCGAGGAGATTTCTTCTCGCCCCCGCGAGCGCGACGACTCGGTCGAACGACCCCGCGGCGGGGACGTCGCGCGCGTCCTCGGGCAGGGGTAGGACCGCGCACTCCTCGGGGTCGAAGAGATCGCGCGAGAGGCCGTACCCGGCGAAGGTGTCGTCCTGCGCGGGGACGGGGACGGGGACGGGGACGGGGACGGGGACGGGGGCGGGGACGGGGGCGGGGACGGGGACGGGCGTAAGCGTCTCAGATCTGGGTCTCATCGGACGAACTAACATCGCGGCGGCGTGCCGACAGGACGCGCGGCTCGGACGACGCCCTGGCGAGGGATCGGTCGCGCACCACGAGCTCGCGATCCACCTCGAAAGCGATGTCGCGCGCGGTCGGCATCGGTCCGTCCGGCGTCGGTCCGCGCGCGCGGTAGACTCTGCCACCGTCCGAGCTCGAGACACTAGTAGGAACGTCGATCGATCGAAACTTCTTTCGCGACGACTGGAAGCGGTCGGCGGACGCGGACGCCGAGCCAAATCGACCGGCGCGCCGCCGCCGCCGCCGCCGCCGCCGCCGTCCCCCGAACCCGCCGAAAGTCATGGGGTTCGGCCAGCTCGTCATCGGCCCGCCCGGGAGCGGGAAGACGACGTACTGCAACGGGATGGCGCACTACTTCTCCCTCACGAATCGCCCGTGCGCGGTGATCAACCTAGATCCCGCGAACCACGACCCGCCGTACGACGCGGACGTCAGCGTGGAGGAGCTCATCACGCTCGACGACGCGATGCGAGAGTTCAACTTGGGTCCCAACGGCGCGATGGTGTACTGCATGGAGTACCTCGCGAAGAACCTCGACTGGCTCCGCGAGCGCGTCGCGCCGCTCGTCCGCGAGGGGCGCTACCTTCTCGTGGACTGCCCGGGACAGGTGGAGCTCTTCAACGCGCACGACGCGCTCAAGACCATCGTCACCGAGCTCACGCGAAGTCGCGGCGGAAGCGATTCGTACGACTTGCGTCTCTGCGTCGTGCACCTCGTGGACGCGCACTTGTGCGCGGACCCGACCAAGTACATCGCTGCGCTGATGCTGTCGCTGTCGAGCATGCTGCACATGGAGACGCCGCACGTCAACCTGTTGTCCAAGGTTGACCTCATGGACAAGTACGGGGAGTTGGACTTCAACTTGGAGTACTACGCGGACGTGATGGACTTGTCGTTCTTGGCGGACAGGATACTGCGAGGGCCGTCGGGCGTGGGCGGGGGTGTGGGGGCGGCGGGCGAAGAGGGCGGCGAGAGGGGCGGCGCGGCGTCGTCGTCGTCGTCTTCCTCCTCGGCGGCGCCCGGGATGGGGATGATGCGACGGAAGTATTCCAAGCTCACGCGCGGTCTGTGCGAGCTCGTGGAGGACTTCAGCCTCGTGAACTTCCTCCCGCTCGCGATCGAGGACAAGACGAGCGTCCAGAGGGTCCTCGCGATCGTGGACAAGAGCATAGGGTACTTCAACGCGGGAGGGTTCAGCGCGGCGACCATCCCGGGGCCGGACGGGACGACGCCGGGGAACGGGGAGGTGGACGAGCGGACGTTGATATCGCACCGCGCGGTGGGGAGCGAGTACGAGCGTAACTTCGAGGTCCAAGAGCGGTTTTTCAAGGATCACGACTGACGACGAGATTAGAATTTTAGTTTAATGCCAAGCCGTCGTCAATCCAAATCCGACGCGTCCGCCGTCGCGGGCCCGCCCCCTCCTCGCTCCTTCTCCGCCTCGACCCACATCACGACGTCGTTCAAATCGAACGCGGGCGTCACCCCACCGAACACGACCATCGCGCGCGTCGCCGTCGCCGTCGCGCGAGCGTTCACCCTCAGCGCGGCGTGCGCGAACCTGGCGTCCGGCGGTTTCCCAGGCCCGCGCCCGCCCCCGCGCCCGCCCCCGCTCGCGCCCGCGCCCGCCGCCGCGCCGACGACGACGCTCTGCAACGTCCACGACGTCACCGCGCGCAACTCCACCCCGCGCAGGGCCTCGCCTGTGAACCCGCCGAACACCAACCCCGCGGGCTCCTCGCCCAAGGACCACGGGACGATCGCGTGCGCGCAGACGGGCCCGACGCCGGCGTCGCCTCGCCTCGCCCACCGCATCGCGTTCACGTCGAGCACGCAGACGTCGCCGAGGACCGTCCCGGACGCGCTCCTGCCGCCGACGATCATCATCTCGGACGGCTCTTCGCTCTTCGCGGCGGCGGCGGGCAGCATGCACGCGGCGTGCATCTCTCGCGGCTCCGGCGCTTGCCCGCCGATCGCCGGCCTCGACCAGAACGCGTCGCCGATGTTCGGACGCAGGTCGAGCACGTGCACGTCCCCGAGCGGGCCGTCGTCCGGGTTCGCGCCGCCGTACATCACGATCCTGCGCCCGCCGTGGATCGCGCACGCGACGTGCGAGTTCCTCGGCGGCGGCGAGTTGCCCTCGATCGCGACGCGCGACCACTCCCACGCGTCGCAGTCGAGCGCGAGGACGTCGTTGAAGCAGACGCCGGTCGTCGGGTCTTGACCGCCGAGGACGTACACCACGCGGCCGATCGCGACGGCGGCGGCGCCGGCGCGGTCGGGGAGCGTCACGCCCATCGCGCAAGTCGTGCTCTTCTTGATCCATCGCGCGGCGTCGCCGTCTAATGCGGCGGCGGCGGCGACAGAAGCAGACGCGTCGGAGGAGGAGGACGCGTCTCCGCCCGCGGATCCTCCCAGACGAAGCGCCCAGACGTCGAAGAAGCCGCGCGGGGTGCGATCGGCGCCGCCGATGAAGAGGCACAGGTCGCCGACGACGACGGCGGCGCACCCGCCGACGCCGGGGGGGGTCGCGCCTTTCACGACGGGCGTGACCCACGCCATCGCGCGGCGAATTCGACGGTGCGGGCGGGTCGCGGCGGGCGAGGTCAACGCGCGCGCGAAGTGAGTGAATCACGACGAGTCGGCACCGAGGTGATCAAATAGTTTGAACTTCTGAGAGATTTCTGTCGCCGGCTGGCGAGGCGGGGACGCCCGGGGCGACCGAAGAGAGCACCGCAACGAGCTAGTCTAGGGCTACGACGCGATCGACAGACCCTCAATAATTTCAAAACCGCGCGAGCTGTATCGCCGCCGCGCGCAGATCCCCGATCACGAGCGCTGACGCGACGCTCCCCCCGCGCGCCGTCCCCGGCCCCCTCGGCAACTCCAACAGCACGTCGGCGCCCGTCATGCTGCTCAGCCGGCTGCTGATCTGCCTCCCCGTGCTCTGCGCGACGGGAAGCGACCGCGCGTACGCATTCGCCTCGTCCGCCTCGTCCGCGTCGTCGTCGTCGTCGTCGTCCGCCGTCGACGCGACGCCCGGCGGCGCCGCGCACGGCGTCTCCCAACGCAAAGTTGCGCGGTGGTATTCCGGTCGCTCCGCGTCCAATCGAACGTCGGCCTCCAATCGGCAACGTATCCGACGCAACCGCGGGTCCGCCCACCCGAGCATCCGCCGCAACGTCGGCACGACGACGAGCTGGAACGTGACCGCCGCGCTGACGGGGTTGCCGGGGAGCGCGAAGACGAGCGCGACGTGACCGTCCGCGTCGCGACCGTCCGAGTCCGTCCGCGTCCGTCTCACCTCGGCGAACGTCAGCGGCTTCCCGGGCTTCATCGCGACGCGGCCGAATCGAACGACGCCCGCGATCCCCGCCGCAACGCACGCGGCGCTCTCGCCGGATAACACCTCCTTCAGGTGATCGCGGTCGCCCTCGGAGACGCCGCCGGTGGTGACGATGATATCCGCGTTGGCGTCGAGCGCGGCAGCGACGCAGCGCGCGAGCGCGGCGGGGTCGTCGCGGACGACGCCGAGGTCGACGACGTCGTCGACGCCGACGCCGGCGGCGACCGCCGCCGCCGCGAGCATCGGCCGGTTCGCGTCGTAAATCTCGCCGAGTCTTGGGGGCTCGTTCGGTGACGAAGAAGCCGAAGAAGCGACCCCCACGTCGACGAGCTCGTCGCCCGTGGACGCGAGCGCGAGCTTCGGCGTCCCGTGGACGCGCAACGTCCTGAGGGCCATTCCATACAAAGCGATGTCGGGGTGGAGTTCATAGGCGTCAGTTGGAGTTGAAAGGCGTCGAGGGCGGGTATTGAAAGCGAGGGACCCTGGGCGGAGAGACACGCCGGGCAAAGTCCTTAAGGATCGGCGTTCACCACGCCAACGCGGTCGTATGGGGACCAGTGTATAGAACGCGCCTGACGCCCGCGAGCGCCGCGACGCCGATCTCGTGCGGGCCGATCAGCGTCCCGCGCTCGAGGACGACCGCGCCGCCCGGGACGTCCGAGCCGATCGCGCGCGTCCAGAGCCCGGGCGTCGCGGCGTCGAGGACGCGCACCGCGCGCGCGGGCGCGCGAGCGTCGTCGTCGTCGTCGTCGTCGTCGAGGATCTTCTCGCATCGCTCGTGCGGGACGACCGCGTCCGCGCCGGGGGGGATCGGCGCGCCCGTGGTGACGTACGCGCACGCGCCGGACGCGATCGCGGACGTCATCGGCGCGCCCGCCCTCGACGCGCCGACGACGCGCAAACTCCCCGGGCAGTCCGACGCGCGCACCGCGTAGCCGTCCATGATGGACGCCGCGAACGGCGGGTGCGGGCGCGCGGAGACGACGTCCGTCGCGAGGACGCGGCCGAGCGCGGACGACAGCGGGATCTCCTCAGCGGGCAGCGGACGCGCGCGCGAGAGGACGACGTCGACCGCGTCTTGCATCGGAAGCATCGGGTACCGGTGCGGCGGCGGCGGCGGGGGAGTCATCGTGGCAAGAGACGCGCGCGGGCGCGGACCCGGCAGCGCGCGTCCCCGAGTGAGCAGATTGATTTAACAACGCGCGAGAATCGCATTCGTCTCGTCTCGTCTCGTCTCGTCGTCGCGCTATTCTACGAGTAGACTAATACCGTACGTAACGTGACGTCTCCCCCCCAGCCAGCACCCTCTTCACTTCTCACTTCAGCCGCAACATCCGAACCTCCCCCACTCGTCCGCGACGTCGTACCTCTGATCCCACACCCACGGCTCGTCCCTCTCCAGCAGCGGCGCGTTGTCGTCGAGATTGTACCGCAGCGGCGGGACGTTATAAGGAAGAGGGCACAACGCGAGCGTCGCGCTCGGTCCGCTCGCCGTCGTCGCGGTCGCCGCGCCCGGCGGGCGCGCGAGCGTCAGCGCGTGCGTGAGCACTACCGCGCCCTCACTCGTCGCCGTCGCCGTCGCCGTCGCCGTCGTCGTCGCGCGCGGTCGGACCGCGGCGAGGCAACGAAACGGATCCGCCTCCGTCGCGGACAGCGCGGAAAACGGCTTCGCGGTCCGAGCGCCGATCAACGACGGAAGGAACATGACCCCGAGCTCGTAGGAATAGACGTGTATCTGCGACCCGCCGTGCTCGAGCTTCCCCCACGCCGCGCCGCTGAGGTTGTGCGAGCACACGATGACGTACGCGAATTTCGCGCCCGCGACGCCGCCGCCGCCGCCGCGTTTTTTTTGGTAGGGCGTCAGCGCGTCGTACTTCGCGCGGAGGTCGGACTTCTCCACGCACGACGCGATGTTCACCATCGCGCTCTGAAGCGCGCGTTTCATCTCGCCGATCGAAGGGTCCGCGTCGACCGCCGCGGCGCTGACCGCGGGGACGTACCGCGAAAACGTCTTTATGTGCGGCATGTGCTTCCTCCGACCCATCGGATGCGCGTCGTCGTCGTCGTCGTCGTTCGGCTTGGCCCACTTGTGGAATTTCTCCGTCAAGTGCGGCCGGCGAACGTTCTTGCCGTTCCCGGGGATGCTCCCGCCCGCGGCGTACCCGACGTCACACGTCCGTATCTCCTCCACGGTCGGCCACAGCAGCTGCATCTCGCCGGGACCTAACGACCGATCGTTTGCGTTTCCCCCCACCGACCCCCCCCCGCCCCCCGCGCACGCGCCGGCGCACAAACTGTCTCGGAACTCCTCGTCGAGCCACTTCTTCGGCAGCGACCCGGTACTCGTGTACTGACACAACACGCTCGACCCCTTAAACGCGTCGTCGTGCGTCTCGCGCTCTAACGCGGTTCGGACGGCCATGTGCCCCCACCGACGCAGCTCTTCGCCGGCGTGCCGACCGGGCACGGACGCGATCAACTTGACGCCGGCGCCGGAGAAGTCGTACCTCCTGAGGGTCGTGCCATACGAGCGAACGTCGGGGTGGAGTTCAAAGGCGTCAGTTGGAGTTGAAAGGCGTCGAGGGCAGGGATTGAAAGCGAGGTGTGGGCGGAGAGACACGCCGGGCAAAGTCCTTAAGGGTCGGCGTTCACCACGCCAACGCGGTCGTATGGGGACCAGTGTATAGAACGTACCTGAGCGCCTCCGGGGACACCCTCTCGCCGTCGACGGATTCGCCGCTCCACTGGAGTCGCGACACGTACCGCACGAGGTCGTTTTCGAACGCGCTCCCGGGCGGCGACGACTCGCGCTTCAGCGGGAAGTCCTGGTACCACACCGCCTGGCACGATTTGTTGAAGTCGTGGTGTGTCAGGTTCGCGGTGTGAATCACGACTCGCACGCCGGCGTCGTACGCGAGAATGAACGCCTTCGTGTGGTGCGTTCCGTACTGCGGGCACGGCGGCTTGTGCGTGGACCAGTGCTTCGGGATCTCCGCGACGCCTGGGTGCATGTTGCCGTACATGAGGATCACTCTGCGCGCGGTTCGAAGCGCCGGGCACGCGGCGAGAAACCAGTCGAGGTCCACCGTGAAGTTCATCACGATCGCCCACCGAACGCTCCCGCGGACGACGTCGGAGATGCTCACGCACCCCGCGTTCGCGTCCGCGGTGACGCCCTCCGTGCTCCACAGTCGGAACGCGGGCGGGTCGACGTTGACGTCCGGCGGCGTCGTCCGAGTGGGGTTAGGGTTGGCGTTGAAGAGGGTGCCTACATTTAGATTTTCTGCGACGACGTCGTGTCGAGATCGACCGCCAGATCTCGGGCGCTTCGAGCCGACGCCGCTCGGCGCGGTCTCGCCCGTGACGACGACGTCTTCTCGACCGGCGGCGTCGCCCGCGGTCTCGCCCGTGATGACGATCGCGTCGTCGTCGTCGTCGCTGGCGTCGCCCGCCATGACGCGAGTCGCGCGCGGCTCGCACTGTACGAGAGTCGACGGGCGAATGTCAGTTTTTCGAGAGTGTCGTGTCCTGTCTCGCGTAGTGACACACCGGTGTGTCACCACTTCCATGCGCGCGGCTCGTCTCGGCTCTCTCGCGCGCCTCACCGCGAGATTCACGCGCCGTTCTCCTCGCGTTCGCACCGTCGCGGCGTTCTCGAGCGCTCCCGCGATGTCGTCCGCGGTGAAGAAGGTGCGCGATCGACGCTCGTCCCAGCCTCTCTCCTCGTCCGGAGATTCATTTCCCGAACCGCCCGTCGTGCTTCTTCTTTCGCGCGCTCATCGCGCGTCGTCGTCGTCCCTCGTTCCTCCGTCGCAGGTGGAGCCGCTCCGGTTCCCGTTCCAAACCCCCGACCCGTTCCTGTTCGCGGTGTATCACAACGACGACTACCCCGCCGGGGACGACCAGCTCCGCGCGCCGAGACGAGGCAACGGCGCGGACTTCGACCCGAACAGCGCGTACAGAATGTACCACGGCGACAGAGTCCCCGGATTCCCTCAGCATCCGCACCGCGGGTTCGAGACGATCACCGCGACGATGATAGGCCTCGTGGATCACACGGACTCGGTCGGGAACGCGGGGCGGTACGGCCACGGCGACGTGCAGTGGATGACCGCGGGTAAGGGCATCGTCCACGGCGAGATGTTCCCTCTCGTGAACGCGGACGCGCCCAACCCGCTGCGATTGTTTCAGATTTGGCTCAACCTTCCGGCGCGGAGTAAGATGGCGGACCCCGCGTTCGTCATGCACTGGGGCGAGGACGTCGCGACGGCGAAGAGCGCGGACGGGCTGACGACCGCGATCGTGTGGGCGGGGGAGCTGCTCGGCGCGCGGGGCGGGACGCCGCCCCTTGAGAGCTGGGCCGCGGACGACGCCAACGACGTCGTGGTCGCGTTTATGACGATGAAACCGGGTGCGACGTTCGCGTTGCCGCCCGCGCGCGTCGGCGGCGACGCGAACCGGAGCGCGTACTTTTTCGAGGGGAGCGCGCTGCGATGCGAGGGCGAGACGCTGAGGAAGGGCGTCGCCGTCGAGCTCGACGCGAGCGTCGGCGCGGAGCTGAGCGTCCCGAGCGACGCGAGCGAAGACGCGATGGTGTTGATTCTGCAGGGGCGGCCCATCGGGGAACCCGTCGCGCAGCACGGCCCGTTCGTGATGAACACGCGAAGCGAGATCGCGCGGGCGTTCGCGGATTACGAGAGCACGCGGTTTGGGGGTTGGCCGTGGGACGACGACGCGCCGGTGTTTGGGAAGAAAGGGCGGTTCGCGAAGGTGAACGGCGTGGAGTATTATCCCCCGTCCGCGGCGGCGGCGGCGGCGAAAGACGAGCGCTGAGGCGCGTTCTGATAGCTGTACGTTTAGTACAGCTTGTGTCCAGTGTGGACCGAAGGTCCACTCTGCCGTCACTCTGTTCTGTTCCGTTGAGAGCATTTAATTTTGTCTGGTAGTCAACCCACGTTCGCTCGTTCGATCCGTTCCGTTCGTTCGTTCGCGCGTCGCACGATGCCTGCCGCGTTTTTCCTTCATTCAGTTCACGGACTGTCCCCGTCGCCCTCCTCCTCCGCTTCCTCGCCCTCCGGCATCGTCTCCCTCGCGATGCTCCCAAGCGCCGCCATCTCCCGCCGCGCGTTCCGAAGAAAATCCTCCGTCATCTCCGTCACCGGCGCGAACGCCAGCCGTTCGCTGCCGAGTAAACTCTCGTACCGCGCCTCGGGCGCGCACGCGATGTCCGCGACGCTGCCGCGGCACAAACCCCAGTGCCCGCGCGCGATCTCGCCCAGCAGCTGCGCGCGCGACCACCGCGCGTCGCCCCAGAACGCGAACACCCGCCCGCCCGCGCCCTCCATCGGCTCCAAGTTTTCCGGCTTGACCTGCTTCCCGTCGCCGTTGCGCAGTCGCATCAGCCATCGCCCCGTGGACGCCTCGAACCTGAGGGTCGTTCCGTACGAGAGAACGTCGGGGCGGAAATGAAAGGCGTCAGTTGGAGTTCAAAGGCGTCGAGGGGTGTATGTCGGGGATCGAAAGCGAGGGGTGATGGGCGGAGAGAAACGCGCGCCGGGAGAGAAAGTCCTTAGTAATAAGAAACGGCGCGCGCCGCGCCGACGCGGTCGTACGGGGACCGGCGCACAGAACGCGCCTCAGCGCGAGCCCGATCTCGCCGTTGAGCTCCGGGCGCGCGCTCAGACCTTTCAGACGCACGGTCTGCGACCCAGACACGCGCCCCTGCGCGTCCCCGGCGCGGCGCGCGGCGCGGCCGTGCGCGAGTCGAATCGCCGCTTCCAACCCGCCGTCGCGTTTCGTCACGACGGTCCACCCGCGGCGCACGCCGCCGGGGACGACGCACGTCACGATCTCGCGCTCGTCGCATGGCCCGCCCGCGAAGTGGGTGATCTCGACGGCACGCGCGCCGGGGTACTTCGCCGCGACGGCGTCCATCGCCTTGGAGACCGCGAGTCGCGCGGTCGCGCGCCAGCCTTTTCTCGCGCGGCGGTCGTCTTCGAGGTCGGCGACGCGGTCGCGCGCGCGGCGGCGGCGGCGGCGTTCGAACGCGATCGGCGGCGGCCGCGGCGGCGGGGGGGGGTCGGGCGCTTGTGCCTCCTCCTCCTCTTCCTCCGCGTCGTCGCCGCCGTCGCCGTCGCCGGCGCCGGACGCGCCTTCCGCGACGACGACCGGTGGGGAAGGATCGCTCGTCGTCGCCTCCATCGCGGATTCTTCTTCCCGGGCTCGCGCGTCCTCAGGGCCGTTCTATACAAGCGAACGTCGGGGTGGAGTTCAAAGGCGTCAGTTGGCGTTGAAAGGCATCGAGGACGGGGATTGAAAGCGAGGGGTGGGCGCAGAGAGACGCCGGGAAAAGTCCTTAAGGATCGGCGTTCACCACGCGAACGCGGTCGTATGGGAACCAGTGTATAGAACGCACCTCGGAGATGTCTCCGTCCTCGGAGCCCTCCTCCTCCTCCTCGGAGCCCTCCTCCTCTTCCTCCGCGTCCATGTCGTCGTCGCTTCCGTCGCTTCCGCGCGCGGCGCCTTCCATCTCCTCCTCCTCCAAGTTCACCCCCGCGTCGTTCCCCTCCTCGTCGTCGTCCTCGTCCTCCTCCTCCTCCTCCTCCTCCGGGAACAACGGCACCAGACGCGCCAAATTCACCGCCGTGACGTGGTCCTCGCCGCAGTCGGGCTCTTTCCCCGTGCTCAGTTTCAGCTCCACGGGCGCGCGCGCGGCGCACAGCGCGCGACGCAACGACTCCTTATCGCCCGTCACGCCGCCGACGCTCACGAGCACGTGCCTTCGGCCGCTGACCATCAACCCTAAGTCGCGCTCGGTCGCGCCGTCGCCGCCGCCGCCGCCGCCGCCGCCGCCGCCGCCTTCGTCGTCGTCCGTCGTCGCGTCGCCGACGAGGAGACGGTCGCGAATCTGATCGAGCGTGTCGCCGCTTCGTATGGGCAGCGTGACCGTGCCGTCGTCCGGGGTCACGCCGGTGATGAGGTACACGCCCTTGATCCAGTTCCTGTACCCGCACACGAGCCTCTGGAAGAACGGCATCGAGACGAGTTGACGCTCGAGCTCGTCCGAGAAGGCGCGCTGGGAACCGATGACGCACCCCTCGTCGACGAGCGCGGCGATCTCCGCGCCGGTGAAGGTCTGCATGAGCTCGTTCCTCGTCGGCGGCGGGATGTTAAAGTTCGCCGCGCAGACGTTACACTTGTGGTGCCGGACGTCGTCCTCGTAGAACGCCGGGTGCGTCGGCTGCGAGACGAGGACCATGCGCTGCCAGCGACGAAGGCAGTCGAGGTGCACGTGCTTCTGTCCGCCCGCGCACGCGCAGATTCCCGAGAGCATCGTCCCTTCCTCGGGGCCGTCGAAGCAGTAGCGACACAGGATCTCCTCGCCGTCGTCGTCCACGGCGGGGGTTCCGGGCGCGCGTTCCGGGGGTTGGGGGTCGGGCTCCGTCATCGCGTGCGCGCGCGTGCGGCCCGCGCGCGCGGAGATAACGTTGTTGCTTTGCGAGACGAAGGAAGCTTCTGTTTCGGTCGCGACGCGACGATTCTTCCCGCGAAAAATATCTCCAGCCGTCGTCGACGCTCGACGCGTCAGATCGCGCCGCGCCGCGCCGCGCCGCCATGGCCTCCGAGACCGGGGACATCGGCGTCATCACGCGCAGAGCCTACGCGCGCGTCGGCCTCCTCGGGAACCCCTCGGACGGGTACGGCGGCAAGTGCGTCTCGCTCGCGATCGAGAACTACCACGCGGAGGTGAGGCTGACGCCGAACCAGCAGCCGTTCAGCCCGCGAATATGCATCGAACCGGGGCCGCACGACGTGAGCAACTTCGACTGCCTCAAATCGCTCGCGACGCGCACGAAGGCGCACGGGTACTACGGCGGCGTGCGGCTGCTGCGCGCGCTGTGTTACAAGTTCCACGAGCACTGCGACGCGAACGGACTGACGCTTCACGGGCGCGGGTTCACGCTGGATTACAAAACCAACATCCCCAAGCAGACGGGCATGAGCGGCAGCTCCGCGCTCATCGTCGCCGCGCTCAACTGCCTCACGACGCACTACGACGTCGACATACCGCTGGACGACAGACCTACGCTCGCGCTGTCCGCGGAGAGAGACTTGGGGATCACCGCGGGGTTGCAGGACCGCGTCGCGCAGGTGTACGAGGGCGTCGTGTACATGGACTTCGCCGAAGAGGCGCGTTCTATACGCTGGTCCCCATACGACCGCGTCGGCGTGGTGAACGCCGATCCTTAAGGACGTTTGCCGTCGTCTCTCTCCGCCCACGCCACGGTTTCAATACCCGCCCTCGGCGCCTTTCAACTCCGCTTCTGACGCCTTTGAACTTCACCCCAGGCGCGCGTCGGGCGAGGAACGTACGAACGCCTCGACGCCGCGGCGCTGCCGCCGTTATACCTCGTGTGGTGCGACAACCCGAGCGACAGCGGGAAGGTGCACTCGGACGTTCGAAGGCGGTGGGACGAGGGCGACGCGCTCGTGCGAGAGACGATGCGCGAGGTCGCGGGGTACGCGGAGACGGGCGCGGACGCGTTGAGGCGCGGCGTCGACGTCGTCGAGACGCTCGGCGCGCTGATGGACGCCAACTTTGGCGCGTCCTCCCGCGCCGGTCCCCGTACGACCGCGTTCGCGTCGTGAACTTCATTCCTTGAGGACTTTCTCTTTCTTCCCTCGCGCGTCGCGTGCGTTTCTCTCCGCCCGCCCGCCCGCCGCCCGCCCCTCGGTGGTTTCGATCCCGACGCGCCCGATCGTCCTCGCGACGCCGACTGACGCGACGCGCCCGCGGTCGCCTCCGCCCTCGTCAGACGCGCGACGGAAAATGTTCGGCGACGCCGCGCTCGGCGCCGTCAACGTCGACATGATCGAGACCGCGCGCGGGGTGGGCGCGCGCGCGAAGTTCACCGGCTCCGGCGGCGCGATCGTGGCGATGTGCCCGGACGGGGAGGAGCAAGCGGAGCGGCTGAAGTCGGCGTGCGCGGGGAAGGGGTACGTCGTCGAGAGAGTCGTCGTCCGCGAGCCGCGCGCGCGGAGCGCGCGAGCGCGCGAGTCGTTCGAGAGAGCGCGCGAGTCATTTAGGGTAGGTAACGTTTAGGAGGGGTTGTTGTTTCATTACAAAAAGACGACTTCGCGCGCATCATACAGTACAGGAAGTTGTTATCATATGATATCTCTCTTAGAGTCACTCACGGGTCGTCCATGTCCGCGGTCTCGTAGTCGAAGTAATCCAGACGCATCGTCCGCCGCCAACTCTTCAGCAGCTTCGCCTCGTCCGGCGCCAAGCGCCGCACCTCGGGCAGTTTCTTCATGTGCCGCATCCACCGGCTGAACTTCTTCCCGCCCATCTCCGCGAGCTCCGTGTCGTTGAACTCCCGCATCGCGAGCTCGAACCTCTCGACGAACGGCCACAAGACCACGTCCGCGACGGACGGGTCCACGCCGCACAGGAACGTGTCCCAGTCGTCCATCTGGTCTTCGATCTTCGCCACCTCCGCCGCGAGCGTCGCGCGTCTCGCGTCCCCGGGGTCGCCCTCCGTGAACCCCCACCCGCCGCCGATGAAACTCAACCCCGCGGCGATGAACCCGCCGTCCGCGGCCTTCACGAGGCGCAGCGCGCGGTTCCGCTCGTCGTTATCGCTCGGCATCAGCGGCGGGTGGTTTTCGCCGACGAAGCTGGCGTCGAGCCAGTAGCACAGGTCGATCGACTCGTTCAGCACCTCGCGCTCCCTCGTGCGAATCACGGGGACTAAACCGCGCGGGTTCACCTGGAGAAACCACCTCGGCTTGTTCGATACGTCCACGTGCTTGCGCGCGTGCGGGACGCGCTTGAACGCGAGCGCGAGCGAGACCCTGTGCGCGTACGGGCACAGCGAGTGCGTGTAAAACTCGCACAGCGCCGCGTCGGACGATTCTTCCTCCACCGCGAACGGCGGCGCGTTCGGCGTCTTGGACTTCTTCTTCTTCATCGCGCGCGGGGGGGACGGCGCGCGACGCGCGACGCGGGAGCTCGTGCTCGCGCGCGAGGCGGCCCGGCGCGCCGCGAGCGCGGGGGGGGACGGCGCCGGAGCCAGAGGTCCGCGCATCGCGAAGTGAGCGAATTGTTGTCAAGTTGTTAGTTTTTCGGATTCTAAAAGATAATATTTCGATAACGCCGCCGGTCGACGCGACTATCATACGACCGCTACAGCGCTCGGTACCGGATGTAATACCGATCCCGGAGGTTCCCGTTCGTCCACATCGCGTCAAAGTACGACCCGCCGTAATCTTCCGGCACGCCCGCGCGAAACGGCCGCGCGCCACCCTCCTCCGTGGGCGCGAACATCCCCGCGGCGACGGACAGCTCGCGACACATGCGCATCGCGTACGTCGGATCATCCGTGACGAACGTGACGTGCCCCGTCCCGTCCTTCTTCAGCGCGCGGTGACACGCCTCGAGAAACGCGCGGTCGACGAGGCACTGCGACGACCCGACCCACTCCGGCGGGTCCGGGTAGTTGACGTGAATCTCCTCGACGCGATCCGCCGGCACCCTCGTCGAAAGCGTCTCGTGCGCCGTCCCTCGAAGCAGCGCCAGGTTCGTCAGCCGCCGGCGAATCGCCTTGTGCCACGTCATCGCGACACGGTTCTTCCGCATCTCGATCGCGAGCCAGTTGCGTCGCGTCGCGTCCGCCGCCGCGCGCGACGTGACCCAGTCGCCGTGCCCGGAACACACCTCTACGCGGACCGGCAGCGACGCGTCGTCAAACGCGTCGACGCCGAGGCGCAGCTCGGCGCCGGGGCCGTCGTGAACGCGGACGCGGCCTCTCTCCGCGCGCATCCCGTCGGCGATATCCCTCGCGACGGCGCGCAGGACGTCGTCTCCCTTAGCGAGGAACGCCTCCGCGTCCGCGACTTGCCGCAGCGCGTCGCTGTTCCGCAGACGAAGAAACTGCCGCACGCTCTTGCTGGCGTCGACGGCGGCGGTCGGCGCCGACGACGGCGGCGTCTTCGTCTTCGCCGCGTCGTCGTCGTCCGGCGCCGCCGCCGGCGCGTCGCTGTCGCTGCCGTAGCCCCCGACGCCGACGCCGACGCTGCCGCCTGTGATGGCAATGCCACTATTATTCTCTTCGCGTTGTCCCTCGACCGTCCCCGCGCCGTTCGCGTCCACGGCGCGTCGCGCGGCGTCGCACGCGCGCCTCGCGAGGTCGCCTCCGTTTAACTCCTCGCCGTCGTACTTCACCAGAAGGTCGCACCGCAGGCTCGACGCCGTCGCCAACGCCGCGTGCGTCTGCGGCGACGGATCTAACCCCTGCGCTTCGAGCTCCTCGAGCGCCGCCCACGCGCCCGCGATGTCGTTCGCCGCGCACCTCGTCTTGACGAGGTAATCGAACGACGCCGCGTCCGGGGCGACGTCGGAGTCGCGCATCGTCTGGAAACACCGCCGCGCCGCCGACGCGTCCGCGTGTCGGACGCAATTCCGTAACAACGTGCTGAACGTCCGAACGTTGGGCGTCACCCCCGCGCGCGGCATGTCGCACTCGATCACGTCCGCGGCCTCGTCGAGTAAACCCTCCTGCGCGAGGCCTTTCACGAGCACGGTGTACGTCACCTCGTTCGGCGTCGCGGCGTCGTCTTTTTTCATGCGCTCGAAGAGATCCCGCGCGCGCTGGAGCTCGCCCACGCGCACGCACGCGTTCAGAAGGTTCGTGTACGAGTACACGTTCGGTCTCAACTTCCGCGGCCCCTCCGCGATGCGTCGAAACGCCTCCTCCGCGAATCCGAGCTGCTTGTCGTTCCCAAAGTCCTTCACGAGGCGGTTGAAGAATTTCAATCGCTCCTCGTCGCTCTGCTTGAGGTTGACCGCTCGCTTCAACAGCGTCTGCGCGTCCCTGGCGCGCTTCCGGTTCGCCTTGACGTTCCTCGCCATGCCCTCGTCTAACGCCGCGAGCGCGCCGTACGACACCGGCTCGATGCGCGTCGTCCCTCGCCCGGACGTCGAGAGTGGCGGGGTCGAGCGCGGCGGCTTCGAAGGCGGCGCCGACGTTCGCGCTCGTTTTTCGGCGGCGGTCGTCGTCTCGTCGCCGTCGCCGTCGCCATCGCGATGTCCCTCGTCTCCCCCGAGGTACTTCAGCCGTCGAAGGTACTTCTTCGACGGCGGCGACCGCGCCGCCTCCGCGAGCACGCGCTCCTCCAGGCGCTTCCGTCGGCGCATCTGGAAGTGATGACGCGGGCGAGATTTCTGTGGAGCCGACGCATGCAAGCAGCAAAATGGATAAAAGCGCGACGCCGCGCCGTCCGCGGGCACACCGCACACCGCGCGCGCGTCCACTTAGATAAAGACGCGCGCGACCTCGATACGCTCGCGAGGAGCGACGCGAAGCACCCCGCCGCGGACGCGAGATACGACGCATGGCGTCCTCTAGTAGCGCGGTCGCGACGACGCTGTCGTCGCGGTCGCTGGCGGCGACGAATTCGCTCTCGGGCTCGACGACGGCGAGACTCCGAACCCGAATCCCGCGCGGCGCGCCCCTGGTCACGCGCGCGGGCAAGGGCAAGGGCAAGCGGTACCGGAACGAGGTGAAAGACCCGTACGCGGCGAAGGAGACGCGCGCGAAGCCGTCCGCGGACGACGGCCCGCTGAACGCGGTGTTCGCGCCGGGGGACGACACCGAGGAATACTTTCTGTTCGTCCGTAAAGTGCGAAAGGGGTCCGCCGCGGCGTCCCCCGCGGCGTCCCCCGCGTCGACCGCCGCCGCCGCCGCCGCCGTCGACGTCGGCCTCAGCATGCGCGGCCCGAACGCCCCGGGACCGGGGACCGGCGGCGCGGACGAAACCAACGAGCGATGGCTCCCGCTCGGCGACATCGTCATCTCCGCGGGGGGCGATTTGGATCTCGCCGTAGCGGAGCGCCGCGCCGTCCTTCTCGCGTTCGCGAAGCGGAAACACCTGAAGATGCTCCCGATCGCATCCGACGAGGAGGTCCAGTTCGGCGCGCGGACGCAGCGCGGGCCGAAGCGCGCGGGCGCGACGGACCCGAGCGAGACGTTCCCGGTCGCGACGGGCGCAGCGCACGCGGCGTTGGAGTGGGACGAGGAGACGCGCGGCGAATTTGGCGCGCCGTCGGCGCGCGCGGAGCTGCGGCTGATGAGCGCGCTGCCGACCATCTCGACCCAGAAGAAGAACGAGATGCTCGCGGGGAGCATGTCGATGATCAAGGCGCAACAGGAGAAGATGAACGCCGAGATGCAGCGATCGAAGAAGGCGTAGGCAGACGACGAACGGTCGACGTCGCGCGCGTTTGTCGTAGTCTAAGGTGTCGCGTTCGTTCATCATTCGCGTTGGGCGCGACGACCAGACGCCGCTACTTCTTGCCCGCCTTGCCGTCCGGCGCTCTCGCGGCTTCCTTCCCCGCCCCCCCCTTCCCGTCGCCCCCGTCCTCTTCTATCCCCTCCGCCAGCGTATCGTCGTCGTCTGCCCACCACGACACCAGCCCTAACCCGTCCGCGTTCACGTCCGCGACGACGACCATGGGCGCGAACCGATGCGGCTCGCCGGCGCCGCCCTCCAACGCGCTCCTGGTCGCCAGCATCGAGCAGGAGGCGAAGAAAGGCACGAAATTTATCGACTTACCGTACGCGGTCAAAGGCATGGACGTGTCGCTGAGCGGCGTGCTCACGTTCGCGGAGAAGGAGGCGAGGCGCGTATTCCTCACACTGGTCCCCATACGACTGCATCCGCGTGGTGAACGCCGATCCTTAAGGACTTTCTCTCCGCGCATCCTACGCTTTTTCAACATTCGACCCTATGACGCCTTTCAATTCCGCTTCTGACGCCTTTCAACCTCACCCCGACGACCCTCGTCAGGGAGCGCATGCGTCGCGGCGAGTGCACCGCCGCGGATCTGTGCTTCTCGCTTCAGGAGACGATATTCGCGATGCTCGTGGAGATCACGGAGCGCACGATGGCGCACTGCAACACGCAGGACGTCCTCATCGTCGGCGGCGTCGGGTGTAACGTGCGGCTGCAGGAGATGATGGGAGAGATGGTGAAACAACGCGGCGGCGCGCTCTACGCGACGGACGATCGATACTGCGTCGACAACGGCGCGATGATCGCCTACGCCGGGCTGTTGGCGTTCATGGAGGGCGACGTGACGGCGATGAAGGACACGACGTGCACGCAGCGATACCGCACGGACGACGTGCTCGTGACGTGGAGGAAGGATAAGGAGTAACGCGCGAGCGATGGAGACGTAGACCTCGTTCGTCGTTACTCGTACGATGGCGGGAATAATAATAAAAAACGAAACGCCCGGCGAGGCGCCCGAACTGAAGCGGACGCGGCCGCGCCCGGCCGCGACACGCTGTCATCAACCGAAAGAAAGATCGGAGGAATATCTCGCGCGTTCCCTCCGGCTCCGCACTCGACTCTGACGCGCCGCACGCCGCACGTCGAGAGATGAGCTTCACGCTGTGCGCGAGCATGCACGCGACGCGCGCGAGCGCGTCTTCGTCGAGCGCGCCCGCGCGCTCTTTCCGCGCGCGCGCCGCGCGCGCGGAACGAAATGCAGCCCACGTGTCAACGAGTTCCAAGGCGTCGTCGCGAGCCTCGTGCCCGTCGCTTCGCGCGCCGCGCCCCGCCGCGCGTCGCCGCGCCGCGATCGCGCTTCGCGCGGCGAAGGACGACGCCCCGAAGAACGAGGATGACACGAAGAAAGAGCCCGAACCCGAGCCCTCCGCGGCGTCGAGCTCGGAGGACGCGGAGAAGCTCCCGACGCCCGAGGACGACGTCGCGCCCGCGCTGGAGGGCGACTGGCGCGATTTCCGCGCCAAGCTCGTGAACTCGGAGAGCGCGGGATCCGACGCCCCGGGCGCGTCCGCGGACGAGGCCGCGCGCGTGGAAGCCGCGAGCGGAGAAAACATCAAGCTCCTGAGCACGCAAAACCCGGAGCTCGCGTCCGAGACGCCCTGGGCGCACGTCATCGGCGCCCCGGAGAAGGGATGCCTCCTCCTCGCGTCCGAGGAGGAATTCAAACTCGGCCAGCAGTACTTCCACCAGGCGGTGATCTTAGTCCTCGAGCACCACGAGAAGGGCAGCATGGGGGTCATCCTGAACCGCCCGACGCAGTACAACATGGGGTACGTCGGCGGCGACGACAGCAGCCCGTTCGCGAACAACCAGCTCTACTTTGGCGGCGACGTCGGCGACGGCACCGTCTCGTTCCTCCACGGATCTTCCGAGGTTGCCGGCGGGAGCGAGGTCTTACCCGGGGTGTACCTCGGCGGGTACGACAGCGCGTGCGAGCTCGTGAAGGACGGCACGCTGAAGCCCACGGACTTCAAGTTCTTCGCGAGGTACTGCGGCTGGGCCCCGGGGCAGCTCGAGAGCGAGTGCGAGAGAGGGGTGTGGTACCCGGTGGCGTGCTCGCGGCAGCTCGCGCTGAAGCAGGTGATTCAGCTCCCCAAGCCGCTGTGGAGGGAAGTCATGGAGCTGTGCGGGGGGGAGCTGAGGCAGACGAGTAAGCGGAGCTACGGCGAGGAGGAGACGTAAAGGTGGGTGAAGACGTCGTGAGACGCGCTGCTGCGCGCGCCTTATCATATCAGCGCGGGAGCGGCGGGGGAGGGGGGGCTGGGCGGGGGGTCGAGTTGAAAGAAATTAGCGCGGGCGGGGACGGGTGAAAGAACAGAACGAGGAGAGTCGAGTTTCGAGAGCTGCGAGCGAGATATCGCGATAGTATATCGCGTTTCAATGAAGATGTACTGTACTACTACTGCGAAGCACACGAAAGACGCGCGCGCCGTGAGATGGACGAACGCCGTCGAGGCGCGCGGGTGAAAAACGTAAACCTCGTTCAATGTTTTCAACCATCCTCAACTAGAGGCGGGAGCCGACCCCGTCGGTCCCGTCCTACTTACAGACAAAAAGTTATGCTACACACCCGATCCGATCGCCGCGCGCCGCCGCCGTCTTCCGACTCGCTCGAAGACGTCTCAACCGTGTTTTGTGCCGCGGGAAACGCGCGAACGAAACGAATACTTTGGGCTCACTGCTCCTTCTTCGCCTCGCCCGTCACCGCGCTGACGGGTTCGTCAAACTTCGGGACGCACCCGTCCTCGTCGCAATCGTTTTCGCTCTTGAACTTCGCCTCCTCGAACAGCTCCGGCGCGCACCCGTCGTCGTCGCACACAATCTCACAGAAGTACACGGGGAATCGCGTCATCGCGAATCCGCCGACCGTCGCGGCGATCCCCGAGGAGACCAGAATCGCGAGCTTCGCGGTCACGCTCGCCACCGGCATCCCGACGAGCGCCTGCTCGATCAGGAACAGCGACATCGTGAAGCCGATCCCCGCGAGCATGCCGACGGTGAGCATGTGCTTGAGGTTCATCCCGGGCGGGAACGAGCACAGGTTCATCTTGATCGCCGCCATGCAGATCGCGGCGATGCCGAGCGGCTTGCCCACGAGGAGACCCGCCATGATGCCCTGGCCCACGGGCGCGGTGAAGACGCCCGCCATGGCCGACGCCTGCACCACGACGGCGCAATTCGCCAACGCGAACAGCGGCATGATGAGCATCGACGATATCGGGTGAAGGAAGTGGATGAGGTCGTCGATGAGCGTCACCTTCATGCCGTCCTCGAACGCGTGCGCGTGGGATCCCGCGGGGGCGTCCGCGTCCGCGGGGATGGCGAGCGCGGCGACGACGCCGGCGATGTCCGCGTTGATGCCCCCCTTGAGAAGCGCGAACCAGAGCGCGACGCCGAGCGCGGAGTAGACGATCATGTTGGACACCTTCTTCTTGCAGCAGATCGCGAGCACCGCGCAGATGCCGGCGGAGGCGGCGAGGTACGCGGGGACGATGCCCTTCGCGAAGCATACCGCGATGACCGCGATCGCGCCGAGGTCGTCCACGGTGGCGAGCGTGAGGAGGAAGGTGGCGACGGCGGGGGGCATGCGGTTCTTGAAAAAGTTGTACACGCCCATCGCGAACGCGATGTCGGTGGCCATGGGGATGGCCCAGCCCGCGGGGATGCCGCCCGTCACGGAGTTGAGCGCGAGGTAGATGCCCATGGGCGCCACCATGCCGCCGAGCGCGCCGAAGCACGGAAGGAGCGCGGCTTTGACGTTGGAGAGAGAGCCGAAGACGAACTCGCGTTTGATCTCGAGGCCGACCATGAAGAAGAAGATGGCCATGAGACCCTCGTTGACCCACTCGTGCGCGTTGAGGTGGAGGCCGAGCGAGGCGGGGCCGATGTGGAAGTGCTCCCAAAACCCGATGAAGCCGCCGCTCATCGCGGAGTTCGCGAGGAAGAGCGACAGCGCGGTGGCGCCGAGGAGCATGATGGAGCCGAGACCTTGGTCGAGGAGCTCGTGGATGTCCATCTCGCTCCATTTCTTCTCGCGGACCTCGCCGTCGCCCTCGACGACGGCGACGGACGACGGCGACGACGCGGGGATGACCGAGCGCCTGCGGTGGGGGCGGCGGGGGGGGAGGAGGATGGTGAGTTTTTGGGGGGACCAGGACCGGAGGAGGACGGCTACCAATTTCGTCCAACCCGTTGAAGCGTGAAGAAAAGACCACACGTGAGCGCGATCTCGAGGGTGGCGCGCGCGCGCGGGACGCGACGAATCGCGCGCGCGCGCGAACGCGCGCTTCCTCGCGCGCGCGCCAAAAGACGGACGAACGCGTCGAGCACGCGCGAAGAGTCGCACCTCGCGGAGCTGCGGCCGAGCGCGACGGGCGCGCGCGCGGACGCCATGGTCGCGGACGCGCGAGCCCTGCTGGAGGACGCCTTCACCGAGAAGACGGGCGCCTTCGCGGAGACGCGCGCGCGGGCGACGCGCGTCGTCTTCGCCGCCATCGCGGAGGCGGAGAGCCCGGAGATCGTCATCGCGGCCATGTTTGCTCGAATTGAAGGAGTGAGCGTCCTTGGGGTGCGTTGATTGTGCCCGGCGCGCGCCGCTGGGATCGTAACAACTTTCGCAGAGCGACGAGACTACGGTTGGCGCACGTTTATCCAAGTTTGCGAGCTCGGACGTTGACCAATCAGAAGCGAGGGAGGTGGGCAACCAATCGATCTCTATATCGATCAAAGTGCGAAAATTCTTCAAAGTACGAATCGATGACTACATTTACATACGAGCATTTTCGTATCGTACAAAAATCCTTTAAGGCGGGAAACACTGTTAAACTGTGCCGACTAAAGTGATAATCCGAACCGTCGTGCACGGTTTCAGTGCGTCAGCCTGCGTCAGCGGTCAGCCTTTACGGTCGGCGTCGGTTTCAGGGCGCGTGTTTCAGGGTGAACTTTTTTTTTTCAACGCGCCGAACCTCCATTTTGCACTTCCAGGAGCACGGACGACGCCGCCGGCCGCGCCGTCCCTCCCTCGCGCGCGATCTCTCTCCCCTCCTCCTCCTCCTCCTCGCTCATCACTTGTGGTACGTCACGACCGCGCGGAGGCAATCGCCGCCGTGCAGCGCGTGGATCGCCTCGTTCGTCGCCCCCGCCACGTCGCCGCCCTTCGCGTCGATGGCGTGCGTCACGTAGTGATCCACCGGGAGCTCCCCCGCGAGAGATCGCTCCACGAGCTTCGGCACCGCGCTCCGCGACTTCCAACCCCCGAACGCGGTGCCCTTCCACACGCGCCCGGTCACGAGCTGAAACGGCCGCGTCGCGATCTCCTTGCCGCTCGCCGCGACGCCGATGACGCACGACTCGCCCCAGCCGCGATGCGCGCACTCCAACGCGCTTCGCATCACCTCCACGTTGCCGGTGCAGTCGAAGGAGTAGTCGACGCCCCACTTGGTCATGCCGACGATCACAGACTGAATCGGGATGCCCTCGTGGTCGTTCGGGCACACGACGTCCGTGCACCCGAGCCGCGACGCGATCGCGAACTTGTCCTCGTTGAGGTCGACGCCGATTATTCGCCCCGCGCCAGCCATCTTAGCCGCCTGCACGACGGCCAGGCCCACCGCGCCCAACCCGAACACCGCGACGGAGGCGCCGGCCTCGACCTTGCACGTGTTCCACACCGCGCCGAGGCCGGTGCTGACGCCGCAGCCGAACAGGCACGCCTTGTTGAGCGGCATCCGCGGGTTTATCTTCGCCGCGCTGATCTCCGCGATGACGGAGTACTCCGAAAACGTCGAGCATCCCATGAAGTGGTTGATCACGGTCCCGTCCTTCTTCGCGGTGAACCTGGACGTGCCGTCGGGCATCACGCCCGCGCCTTGCGTCGATCGGATCGTCGGGCACAGGTTCGTCTTCGGCGACGCGCAGAAGATGCACGCGGGCGCGTTGCACTGCGGGGTGTAGCACGGGATGACGTGGTCTCCCGGCTTCACGGACGTCACGCCCGGGCCGACGGACTCCACGATCGCGCCAGCCTCGTGCCCGAGGATGCACGGGAAGAGACCCTCCGGGTCGTGCCCGTCCAGGGTGTAGATGTCCGTGTGGCACAGCGCGTTGGAGATGACTTTCACGCGCACCTCGCCCGCTTTCGGCGGCGCGACGATCACGACTTCGTTCGTCAGCGGTTGCTTCGGCCCCCACGCGACCGCGGCGTTGCACTCGATGTCCTTCCCCGCCGTCTTCGCGAACTCCGCGAGAAGCGCCGGGTCGGCCGTGACGTCCACGGCGTCCGCCATCGCTTGCGCCTTGGACGCGAGCGCTTTCGCGTGGAACTTCACGTGGTCCTCCATGAAGCTCGAGATGAAAAAATACGAGTGGTCGAACCCCGCGTGCCTTCGCACGCTCACCTTCTGACCCACCTCTTTCGCGACCGCCTCGAGGTTCTCCGGTTTCAGCTGCTCGGTCAAGAACTGATCGTCGAGGCCTTGATCGACGAGCACGTCGGCAAACTCGGGAAACGCGGCGCCGCGCTTCTTCAGGAGCTCGCACGCGTCGTGGTCTTTCCCCGCCTCCGCTGAGCCCAAGTACGTCTCGAACGCCTTCTTCCCCCACGGCACCGCGGACGGGTTCACGATCGGCGCGAACGCGCTCACCGCGGCGTACTCCGTCGGGTTCTTAAACGCGATCGTCAGCGCGCCGTGGCCGCCCATCGAGTGCCCGGTGATGGATTTTAATCCTCTCGTCGCCGCCTCTCCGCGCGTCCCGGGTGGGGTGGTCCGGGAACCTCACCGACTGCACGCGGACGCGAATCTTCTCCTCCAGGTCGAAGTGCATCTTCTGTTTGGCGTCGCCCTGGTACTCCCACACCCAGAGCTTCTCTTTGTCGTCGAAATTGGAGGGATCCTGGAGGAGGTGCGCGGGGACAAACACGTCGTCGAAAAAGCCGAGGCTGACGCGCAGTCCCTCCTCGTCGCTGCGCTTCAGCGTCGCCTCCAGAACCTCCCCGACGAACGGCCGGAACACGACGACGCGGAACACGACCTTGAAGTGCGCGCTGCCTTCGCCCGGGTACACCGTCCCGCCCTCGACGCTGACGACGTCGTACAGCGTGATGACCAGCCCTAAATCTCGAATGACCTTGTCCACGTACAGGCGCTCGATGACCTCGACGATGGCCTCCAGCGTCGGCTTCCCCAGGTTCTCGGGGAGGATCTTGACGTTGTCGTCCTCCAGTCGCGAGAGTTGGAACATGACCGACGGCCGCCCGCGACGCCGCTTCCCTCCCTCCGCCCGCCGCGGCGGCGCGCTCGTGTCGGGAGTGGCGCGAGCGCGAAAAGCGCGATTCGTTCCGGAGGGCAGACTGAGCCGGCCGGCCGCGGCACCTGGCCGCGGCGCGGCGGCCGGAAATAAATCAGTTTCGGCCCGCGAGCGTTTTTTTCCAACGCACGCCGTCGCCTCACGACCGCCGTCGCACTCGTCCGCGCGCGCACGCGTCGTCGTCGCCGCGCTCGCCTCCCGAGCCTTCAGCGAGACACTTCGTTCGTCGCGCGAGCCAGCCGCCGCGCGCGTCTTCCCGTCGGTCGTCGTCGCCGCGTCGTCTCGTCCGTCGTTCCCCGCGCGTCTCGAGAGATCGATCATTCATCCACCAGGACGATGGGAGGAGGCGGAGAGTCGACGCGTCGAAAAGGATCCTCCCCCAAGTACGACAAGACGATGAACGAGCGCGCGACCGAACCGTTCACGAACTCGTGGGGGGAGAAGCCGCGGTTCGGATGGGAAGCCCCCGGCGGGATCGATCGCGCGGGCGACGGCCCGGAGGCGCACGTCCTGTTCGCCCCGGAGCGCGTCCACGAGGCGGCGTGCAAGGGATTTCTCGACGAGGTGATCTGGCTCCTGGACAAAGCGCCCGAGGACGGCGGCCGCGTCGGCGTCGATCACCTCGACCCCGGCGGTCGAACGCCGTTACACTTCGCGTGCGGGTGGGGGCGCGAGGACATCGTTCGCGCGCTCATCGACCGCGGCGCGACGCTCGAGGTGAGAGACATGTGGAAGAAAGCGCCCGTGGACTGGGCGCTGCAGGCGCGGCACGATCGCGTGGTTGAAATTTTACGCATCGCCGCGGTGATGGTGCGTCCTCCGAGAGTTACGTCGGTTCCCGCACGACCGCGCGCGCGCGGTGCACGCCGTTCCTCGAGGACGTCGCCCGCGCGCGTTTCTCTCCGCCATCCCCTCGGTGGTTTCGACGCTCGACCTCGACGCCTTTCGCGACTCCACCTGACGCGCCTTTCGACTCCGCCCCGCTCGATTTTTCGCGTCGAAGCGCGGCGTGCACGGCGGGAAAGGCCGCGTCGCGCCGCTGTCGACGATGACGGAGGTGGTGTCCGGGAAGACCGACGACGAGGTCGAGACGGACATCAAGGAGTTCACGTGCGGCGTCTTCGAGGAGTACGCGAAGAGGGATACGGTGCCGGAAGGGCACACGTTCGGCGGGAAGGTCGTGGACCCGTTCAAGGAGGAGGCGTGAGGAAGGGAGCGCGATGTGCGTTTCGTCAGTTTGAGCGAGTCAACATTTTGAAACCAACCAGAGCCAGACCGAACGCGACCACTCCGTCATCAGATCTCGCGCCCCGCGCCTTCCTCCCTCGGCGTCCGTCGCGACGATGGAGGCTCCCGCTCAGGCGATGGCCGAGCTCGAGCTCCCCGACGACGAGAAGGAGCTGTCGCACGTCGCGGAGAGAGACGAGGTGGACGCGATAATCGCGCGCGTCGTCGAGACGGGCGGCGCGTGCGATCGCGCGGACTTCCATCGCGTCCGAGTCGTCGTCGAGCGGTACCAAGAGCAGTCGAGCCTGCTGGACCCGCACTTGGAGAGCTGGATCGCTCCGCTCGCGGGCGTGATTCGCGACCAGGCGCACCTCGGCGAGGACGCGGACATGGCGCTCGTGCAGCGAGTGAGCAAGGTGCTCCACGCGTTCGCGACCGTCCGAGGGCACAAGACGGTGGTTCGCTTCTTCCCGCACGAGGCGAAGGACCTCGAGCCCGCGGTCGCGCTCCTGACGCGATCGCACGGCGCGGACGCGCTGCGGCCGAGAGATGGGAGACCGCCGCTCGGCGCGGAGGAGATCGAGGAGCTCGGGAGCGCGTGGGAGACGCGCGCGACGATCATCCTGTGGCTCTGCATCTTAGGCGCGTTCTATCTCACACTGGTCCCCGTACGACCGCGTCGGCGTGGTGAACGCCGATCCTTAAGGACTTTTAATCCCGGCGCATCTCTCCGCCCAGGGTCCCTCGCTTTCAATCCCGACACACCTCGACGCCTTTCAACTCCATCTGACGCCTATGAACTCCACCCCGACATCGCTTCGTATGGAACGACCCTCAGTGCTCATCCCGTTCGACCTCGTGACGGTGGACTCGAAGGTGACCACCTCCGCGGACGGGAACGACGGCGCCGCGATCGCGGCCGCGGGCGGCGGCGACGCGGAAGCGCCCCCGGTCGTCATGCACATGCTCGAGCTGTGCCAGAAGCGCTATTTATCCGACCCCGGCATCGTCCGCGACCGCGCCGCGTTTTTGTTATCGAAGCTGTTGACGCGGCCGGACATGCCGAACGCGTTGCGCGGGTTCTTGACGTTCGCGACGGACGCGCTCGCGCGCGCGAGCCGGCCGAAAGATCACACGCGCGGCGCGGATGTCATGACAACGGACGAGACCACGGGGGAGCCGCTGACCGCGCTCGAGCTCGCGGCGAGAGAGCAGGAGGCGACGTTCTTAGGCGCGTTCTCCTTACACTGGTCCCCATACGACCGCGTCGGCGCGGTGAACGCCGATCCTTAAGGACTTTTCCCGGCGCATCTCTCCGCCCACCCCTCGCTTTCAATCCCGACACACCTCGACGCCTTTGAACTCCATCTGACGCCTTTGAACTCCACCCCGACGTTCGCTCGTACGGAACGACCCTTAGTCCCCGGCGTCGCGAGAGCGCTCGCGGCGATTTTCAAACTCGGCACCAGAGCCGCGCTGCTCGAGGTGGCGGAGAGGTCGTGGAGAGACGCGCGGGACTTGGCCGCGTCCGACAGCGCGCGCGGGTCCGCGCTCGTGCGCCAGCTCGCGTGCAAGCTCACGCAGCGGATCGGGCTGCTGTTCTTGAAGCCGCGGGTCGTGACGTGGAGGTACCAACGCGGCGCGCGGTCGCTGGAGGATAACTTAGCCGCGGGCGGCGCGGCGGTCGCGGCGGTAAACACCCCAAGTGTAACACCCCAACCTGAGGACGAAGAGGACGATTGGGACATCCCCGACGGCGTCGAGGAAGTCATCGAGGCGCTGCTCGTCGCGTTGCGGGATAAGGATACCGTCGTGCGGTGGTCCGCGGCGAAAGGGTTGGGCCGCGTCACCGCGAGACTCCCCGCGGAGCTCGGCGACGACGTCGTCATGTCCGTCCTCGAGTGCTTCGAGCCCACGGAGAGCGACGCGACGTGGCACGGCGCCTGCCTCGCGCTCGCGGAGTTATCCCGACGCGGGCTTCTCCTCCCCGCGCGCCTCCCCGACGCGGTCCCGCACGTCGCGACGGCGTTGTCGTACGACGTGCGAAGAGGCCCGCACTCCGTCGGCGCGCACGTGAGAGACGCCGCGGCGTACGTGTGCTGGGCGTTCGCGCGAGCGTACGCGCCCGAGGTGCTGACGCCGCACGCGCCCGCGCTCGGGCCGCCGCTGCTCGTGACCGCGTGTTTCGACAGGGAGGTGAACTGTCGCAGAGCCGCGAGCGCGGCGTTTCAGGAGTGCGTCGGACGCCTCGGCGCGTTTCCGCACGGCATCGACGTCGTCGCCGCGGCGGATTACTTCGCGCTGGGGACGCGGACGAACGCGTACTGCGTCGTGAGCGACTTCATCGCCGGGTTCGACGAGTACCGCGGCGCGCTGTTACAGCACCTGTGCGACGTGAAGCTGTCGCACTGGGAGCGCGCGACGAGGGAGCTCGCGGGCAGGGCGCTGTCCGTCGTCGGCGCGCGCGACCCGGAGTGGATAAAAACCGTCGCGTTGCCGACGTTACTCAAGCGCGCCGTCTCGCCCGCGCTGGAGGCGCGGCACGGCGCGACGATCGGCGCCGCGGAGGCGCTGCTCGCGCTCCAGAACGCGCGCGAGCCGTGCGTTACCGGCGCGCTCGCGGAGGAGGTGGTGACGCTCGTCGCGGCGATCGAGAAAGCGCGGCTGTACCGCGGCAAGGGCGGAGAGATCATGCGCGCGGCGGCGTGTCGGTACGTCTCGTGCCTCGCGCGCGTGGGTCAGCCGCTCGACAAGGGCCCCGGCCCGCCGACCGGGCCGAAGAGTCTGCGGAGCGCGCTGTTGGCCTCCGTGGAGGACAGCCTGAAGCACCCGAGCTCGGACATTCGAGACGCCGCGGTGGACGCGATCGGCGCGTTCGCCGACGCGTACATGCGCGGCGGCGGCGGCGTCGCCGGCGCGAAGCGACTCGTCGTGAAGTTGGCGTCGTCGCTGCACACGTTCGGCGAGGGTGGGGGCGCGCCCACGCGCGACGCGAACCCGGCCGCGCGACGCGGCGCCGCGCTCGCGCTGGGGGTGATGCCCGCGGAGCTGTTGCTCGCGGAGGTGCCCGAGCCCGGCGGGGCGTTCGTCCCCGCGTCGGACGCGGCGAAAGCGTTCGCGTCCGAGTCCGGGGCCGGGGGAGAGGACGGAGAAGAAGCGCCCGCGCCGCCGCCGCCGCCGAAGACGACGCCGGCGTGGCGGCTCGCGGTCGACGCGCTCGCGGCGTCGACGATCCCCGAGGAGGACGCCGAGGCGCGCGACGCCGAGGCGCGGACGTGCGCGGTTCGCGGCCTGGCCGGGGTCGTCCGCGCGCTCTCTTCGAGCGGCGACGCGGACGCTGAGGCCGCGGCTTCGGTCGCCGCGAGAGAGACGATCGAGACGTTCCTGACGTGCCTCGAGGATTACTGCGTGGACAACCGCGGCGACGTCGGGTCGTGGGTGCGCGAGGCTGCGATGGAGGCGCTGCCGGGGGTGCTCGCCGCCGCGCAACGCGGCGGCGGCGTCGACGCGACCGTCTCCGCCGCGATCGTCTCCGCGCTCTTGAAACAGTCGAGCGAGAAGATCGACCGCGTCCGCGCGGCCGCGGCCGCGTGCGCGTGCGCGGCGCTGCGCGGGCGCGACGCGATCGGTCTGAGACCGCTGGCGGACGTCCCGGGCGTCGCCGCGGTGCTCCGCGCGACGACCGAGACGGAAGCCGGCGCGGCGGCGTGGGCGGTTCCGACCGTCGCGTTTCCCGCGCTCGTCGGGTTGATCACCGCGGACGACGACGCGGGCGTGGGGGACGGGGGGGACGGGGGGGGCGGGGACGGGGACGCCGCGGGGCTCGCGACGTACCGCGCGTCGCTCGTGGAGGGCATCGTCGTCTCCGCCGGCGGCGTCGGCGATAGCCTTGGTAAAGCCGCCGGCGGCGCGTTGACGCGTGCGCTGAAAGCCGACGTCGCGCTGCAGCGCGTCGTGACGTCCGAGCTCGTGGCGCTGCTGCGTCGACGGAAGGGCGTCGACCGCGTCGTGGTCCCGCTCTTGCGCGTCATCGACGTGCTGTTCTCCTCCGGCGCGCTGAACGACGTCGCGCCCGCGTTTCCGTCGGCGCCGGACGCGTTCGCGTTGCCTCTCGCCGACGCGTTGCGCGCGGAGACGAAGGGCTCGAGGGACGTCGCGAAGCTGTGTCTGTGCGTCGCCGCGCTGTGTCATCTCGCGGGGTGCGGGCCGCCGGGGGACGGCGCGGGGTTGGGATGCGGCGACGGCGGCGACGACGCGAGAGCGGCGCGCGAAGGCCCGGGACCCGAGGACGCGGCGGACGGCAGCACGGCGCGCGTCAGCGCCACGCTCGGCGTGCTCGCGTTGCTTTTGAACCGGTACCCGCGCGTGCGAAGAACCGCCGCGGAGGCGCTGTACGTCACGCTGTTAGGGTACGAGGACGCGGCGGCGGAGTACGCCGGGCACGACGGCGTGGACTTGGCGGCCGCGATCGAGGTTTTGGCGGAGACGCGGTGGGACGACGAGCTGCAGAGGGTGAAGCCGCGGAGGAACGAGCTGTACGGGTTTCTTCGGTTGACGCCGCCGGCGAGCGCGGCGAAAGCGGCCAAGGCGCCGGCGACGAAAGCGAGAGAGGCGGACGAGAACGAGAGCTACGCGGCTTTGGTCGGGAGCGCGGGGTATTGATGGATGATGTATCGCGTGAGCGCGACGACGACGGCGGTAAGCTTATTTCGATTAAAACACGAACCTCGGCGGCGTCAAAATGAACGTCGGGCAATCCACGAAAAACTCCCCCCGCCCCGTCGGCGCGTCGATCGAACCCTCCACGAACGTGAACCCGCCGCCCATCGTCGACGTCGAGGCGAAGTCGGTGGGGACTTGCCTTCGCCGACGGACTGTTGTCGTCGTACAGCTCGCGTACTCGAACGGCGCGTCCCCAGACGGATTCCCGCGTCTGAAGGCGCGTCCCGAACGAAGCGACGACGTCGGGGTGGAGTTCAAAGGCGTCAGTCGGACTTGAAAGGCGACATCACGGTCGAGGGGTACGAGGAAAGATACGCGGTCGTTGGGAACCAGCGTTTAGGACGACGCACCTGAGGAACGGAAACTCGCCGACGACGCCCTCGCCCTCGACGATTTCGTCTTCCACGAAATTGCTCAAATTCTTGATCACCCACCGCCGCGACTTGAGCTGGCACGACGCGATCGGCGCGTCTGGAAGGAGGTCAAATCGCACGCGGTACGTGAAGAAGCCTTCGTGCAGGTCGCTCATGGGCTGACCGTCGACGAAGTTAACCTGGTATTCTCCTCCACTCGAACCACCCGGCCCCCATTCCGACTTCTCCGGGACGAAAATCGACGACACGCGAACGCGCACGCCGTTCGTGACGGCCGTGTATACCGTGCACTCGGGCTCAACACGAAAGGCCGAGTCGACGTACGGTTCACACGGGAACAGCGACAGTTGAGGAAATCGGGCCCCAGGGGCCTGGTTCGGGATTAACACACACGGGCTGTCGCACACCCGGTAAATGCCGAGCCTCACGCGTCGCGAGAACTCTTCAAACCACGTCAAGACGTCCATCTCCAGACGCAACCCCATGAGAGCGATGCCCGCCAAATCTTCCATTTGCCATCCGATCGACACCTCGCCGCTGAGCGCGTCCGCGTAGACGTATCGGTTGGGGAGTGTGATGCCCGGCGCGTACGCGATCAGAATTTTCTTGAAGTCTTCGTCAAGGTATTTCGGAGGTGTTTCGGAACCTGGAACTGGAACTGGAACAGGTTCAGACATGGTCTTCAACCGCCATCTGACTTCATCGAGGCGCTCGATAAACCCACGCTTCAAAGTCAGGAACATGGTCAACCGACACTCGTTGTAAAAGGAGTATCCCCCGAACAGACTGCGGACTAACATTTCTATTATCTCTTCACGAGGGCGGGCATCTGGGTTTGCAGGGTCGAACAGCCGAGACTCGTCCTGGCCGTCGTGGAGGGAGTACAACGCGACGACGCTCGGGTGCACGCGCTCGCCGTCCGCGAGTTTCACGTGATCCGTGACTGTTTCCCACTTGTAATCCGCGTCAATCGCGCTGATGCCGTCTTCGAGACGCAGCTTAGGGATCTCCTCGGTCAGCGGCTCGACGACGCCTCGCCACGCGCGCGCGGCTCGTCTGGCCATCCCCGTGGGAACCGATTTCCACTGCGCGTGAACCTCTTTGAAGCCGTCTCGTCCTCGCTCGGCAGCGGCCGCGACGCGCGGGTCCATCGCGCTGAGGTCTTCCTGGTCGAACCACCGCCGGAGCATCGCGCGCCATATCGACGGCGCGCTCGACGCGCTGCGCCACGAGCGCGCGACCGCGCTCGCCCTGCACACGTCCTTCACGCGCTCGAGAGCGAAGAAATCGGAGGATTTCTTCGCGATGTCTTCATCGTCTCCGGGGTCGCCGGAATCGCTGGACGGCGCGGTGCCGAGGTAGAACAGGACAAGCTCGATCGCGGGCAGGGGGAGGCGTTCCGAGAGGCGGGGCATCGCGCGAGGCGTTTGTGAGGAGGCGGGGCGTGTCGTGGCGTGGATAATTAAGGAATTCTCGGACGGGAGGAAAAGGGGGCGTCAGGTCGGGTCCCCTCGAGAAAGTCGGCACCTCGGATCGGTCGATCGTCGGCCGTCGCCGGCCGCCGCCGCCGCAGCCGTGATGACCGGACGAACGACACCATGACGCGCGGGAGAGAGAAAAGGAGAACGCGATGAAATGAACTACGCCATCACCGCGACTATCACGCGTGCCTCCTACACCCTATCCCTCGTCCTTAAGCGCTCGCTCTCTCGCCCTCCACCGCAACCACCCGTTCATGAACTCAGGGTCGTTCCATACAAAGCGATGTCGGGGTGGAGTTGAAAGGCGTCAGAAGCGGAGTTGAAAGGCGTCGATGGCGGGGATTGAAAGCGATGGATGGGCGGAGAGACGCGCCGGGCAAAGTCCTTAAGGATCGGCGTTCACCACGCGAACGGGGTCGTATGGGGACCAGTATATAGAACGCACCTCGTCCAGACCGGGCCCGCCGCTCAACACGCCGTCCACGTCGCTCGTCTCAACCCCCGTCCGCACGTCCTTCACCAACTTGTACGGATGCAGCACGTAGTTCCTGATCTGCTGCCCCCTCTCCGCTCTCACGACGTCGCCTCGCACCGCGGCGACGTCCGCGAGCCGCCGCTCCTCCGCGACGGCGGCGAGCTTCGCCTTCAACCGCGCAATCGCCTTGGCGCGGTTCATCGCCTGGCTACGTTCCTCCTCGCACCGCACGACGATCCCGGTCGGGAGGTGCTTCATCCGCACCGCGGTCTCCACCTTGTTCACGTTCTGCCCGCCCGCGCCGCCGCTGCGCATCGTCGTGATCTCGACGTCCGCGGGGTTCAACGCGATCGCGGCCGCGTCCTTAGGGCCGTTCCATACGAGCGAACGTCGGGGTGGAGTTCATAGGCGTCAGTTGGAGTTGAAAGGCGTCGAGGGCGGGGGTTGAAAGCGAGGGGTGGGAGGAGAGAAACGCCGGGCAAAGTCCTTAAGGAATGGCGTTCACCACGCGAACGCGGTCGTATGGGGACCAGTGTATAGAACGCGCCTTCTCCTCCAACGTCGGCGCGACGTCCACGGCGACGAAATTCGAATGTCTCCCGCGCGGCGTCTGCCCCGCGACGCCGCCGATTCGCACCATGCGGTGCGCGCCTTTCTCGCTCGCGAGGTACCCGTACGCGAACCGGCCGTCGATCTCCAGCGTCACGGATCGCAGGCCGACTTCCTCCCCGGGCGTCCGAGCTTCCACGCGGACGGCGAACCCTCGTCGCCGCGCCCACGCGACGTAACACGACTCGAGCCGCTCCGCCCACTCGTGCGCGTCGAAGCCGCCGAAGCCGGCGTTTATGAACACCGTCGCGCCGAGCGCGTCGTACGTCCCGACGAGGAGCCGCCGCGTCTCCCACGTTTCGAGCGCGGCCTCGAGAGAGGCGATCGCGTCGGAGATCTCGGACGCGAGCTCGGGGACGACGTCGGACGACGGGTCGTCCGCGATCATCTCCAGCGCCGTCCGCGCGTCCCCGAGCTTGTCCTCGAACGCGGCCGCGAGCTCGAGCTGCTCGCGGACGTCCGCGAGCTGCTCCATGACCGCCTTCGCGTTCTTCGGGTCGTCCCACAGCGTCGCCTCCGACGCGCGCTTGTCCAGGTCCGCGAGCATCGCGCGCAGACTCGGAGGGTCGAGCGCGGCGAGCGCGTTCGCGACGGGCGACGCGAGCGCGTCGACGCGGCGTCGCAGCGCGTGCACGCTCACCACGGTGATACTGTCATCGGACGACGACGACGACGACGACGACGACGACGACGACGACGACGACGACGCGTGGGAAGCGGCGGCGACGCGGAAGCCTCGCGCGGCGGCGGGGGTCGACGTCTCGAGCGACCGGAAGCGCGACGGCGTCGACGTCAGATCATCCCGCGTCGTCGTCGTCGTCGTCGTCGTCGCGAGCGCGCGCACCGCATCGCGCGCGACGACCGCGCGCGCTTCGACGCCATCGCCGCAGAGGTACCGAAGGACCGCGCGCGTCGACCCCGCCGCGCGTCGACGCATCGCGCGCGCGCGCGACGGACGAGTGCACGACGAGGGTCGGCGCTGTTGGTTTTGGGTTTTCGACGAGGTGATGGATGTTGTCAGACGTACGCGCGCGCGCGATGCGTCGACACGCCGCGGCGGCGGGTTCTTCCTCGACGACGACGACGCGGGCGCTTCTTCGCTACCTCCGCGGCGATGGCGTCGAGGTGCTCGCGACCGTCGCGCGCGACGCCGCCGCCGCGAGGCGCGCGCTCGCGACGACGACGACGGCGACGACGCGCGATTTGACATCGGACGCGCCGTCTCCGTCGCGCTGGTGCGCGTCGCCGTTCGTCGCGTCGTGGCGCGGGTTCGCCGCGGGTGCGCATCGTCCGGCGGGCGGTGCTCGCGGGGGTCGCGGCGGGCGCGGTGGGGGTAACCTCGCGGCGGCCATCAAGCTGAACGGGGAGATCGTCGCGTCCCGGAGCGCGGCGGAGCTGCTCTCGATCGTCGCCGAGCGCGGAGGCGATTTCAACGAAGTGAACGTCGCGACCGCGGTGAACAAGCTCGCCAAGGTCGCACGCGAGCGCGATAACCTCCGCGGGGACCCGAGGTACGCGCGTTTGCTCGAGCTCGTGCGGTTGCGTTGTCGCGAGCTTCAGGCGAGGCATGTCGCGAACGTCGTCCACGGCCTCGGCGTTTTGTGCGCGGACAAAGGCGCCGGCGACGTCGACGCGGATACGGCGGGGGAGTTGATCCGGATGGTGGAGAGGAACGCGGGGGGGTTTAACTCGCAGAACGTCAGCAACGTCTACAACGGGCTCACGAAGCTCCCCGCGGCGGCGGCGGCCATGTCTCTGGAGCGATGGAGACGCCTCTCTGAGGCGGCGTCGCGCTTCGCGGCGGAGATGAATAGCCAGGACATCGCGAACACGCTCAACGCGCTCGGGAAGATCGACGCCGCCGCCGAGGTGATCTCTCGG